GGCCCGGCCCTCGGCCGCGGCGGCGACGCCGGCCGCGGCGGCCTCGGCGTCGCCGCGGCGGCCCGCGTCGGCGGCGTCGCGCGCGGCCGCGGCCGTCGCCGCGGCGGCCTCGAGCGCCGCGGCCGCCTCGCGCGCGGCCGCGAGGTCCGCGTCGCGCTGGGCGACGTCGGCGCGCAGCTCGCGCTCGACGGCGTCGGCGCCCTCGAGGGCCGCGCGCGCGAGCTCGAGCTCCTGGCGCGACCTGGGCCGCGAAAAGATGCGAACTTCCCAGCGTCAAAGGCTCCTCTCTCGGCCGTTTTCCACTCGTTTCGGCTCATCTTTGGACGAGCGATCATCTCTCGGAGCGCTCTCGAAGCGCTGATTGTTTTGCCGAAACGCGCGCGCGTGGAACACTCACGTTGAAGCGACGTTGCATCACCCTTTCGCGGCCCCGGGCGCGACGCGTCGAGGTCGTCGTCCGACGACGCGGGCGACGCGTCGGCCGGCGACGCCCGCTCCTTGCGCGGCGTCACGAGCTCGCTGTAGGCCGACGGCGACGCCGGCGTCGCGGCGACGTCGTCGGCGAGCGTCGCCGCCGCCGCGTCGGCGTCGAAGTCCGCGGCCGCGGCCGCATCCGCCGCGTCGACGTCCGCGCGGCCCCGCGCGGCGGCGCCGTCGTCGTCGTCGCGCGCGACCGCGAGCGACTGGAGGTGCGCGTCGAGCCTGCGATGCGACGCGGTTTTTCGGGCGCGAGAAAAACGACTCTCTTCCGAAAAGAAGCGCGCCTCCGATCGAGCGGTTGTTCGCGTCCCGCGCGGCGGCCGCGCTTGCCGAGGTGGCCCTCGAGGAAGGCGACCTTGGCCTCGGCGCTGCCGAGCTGCTCCTCGAGGCTCGCGATGGCGCCGTCCTTGGCGCCGAGCTCCTCGGTCAGCGCGGCGATCTGCGCCTCGTAGGACGTCAGCGGCGACGACGGCGCCGCGGCCGCCGAGGGCGCGGCAACGGCGTCGCGGAGGCGCGCCTCGGCCTCGGCGAGGAGCGCCTCGGCGCCCGCCGCGCGCTTCGCCGCGTCCGCCGCGGCCTCGTCCGACTGCTTCGCGGCGCCCTCGAGCTCCGCGATCCGCGCCGCGTCGAAGCGGTGTCGGTCCGCGGCCCGGCGCTCGGCCTCCTCGCGGGCCTCCGTCGCCGCCGTCTCGTCGACCTGCCGCGCCTCGGCGAGGGCCGCCCGCAGGTCCACGGCCTCGGCCCGGAGCCGCGAAACGTCGGCGTCCGCCGCCGCGAGCCGCGACTCGAGCTCCGCGGCCCTGGCCCCGAGCTCCGTCGCTTCGGCGGCCGCGGCCGCGAGCCGCGCGTCCGCGTCGGCGTCGGCGGCGGCGGGCGGCGGCGCCTCCGCGGCCGCGGCCTCCTCGGCGAGCTTGTCGTTGAGGGTCCGGCTCAGGCCCTCGTACTCCTCGCGGAGCTTCTCGAACGCGGCCTCGAGCGCCTCGTTCGACCGGTCGCCGCCGCCGCCCGGCGAGTCGCGGAGCGCAGCGTTCGAGGCCTCGGCCCGGGCCGCGCGCGCCTCGCTGAACTTGAGCCGCTCCTTGAGGGCCGCGACCACGCGCATGACGTCGACCTCGTCGAGGCGCGCGTCCGCCGCCGCGGCCCGCTGCGCGGCGCGGACGAACGCCTCCCGGTGCTTCGCGCGCTTCAGCGGCAGCGACGCCGCCATAGGGGGGTTTGTGTGCTCCGGTGTGGCTCTGGCCCGCGTGAACTCTACGGAACTGGCTGCCCCATTTGACGAGTTTTTGAACAGGGGCTGCTTCTTTGGCGTAAAGTTTACTTCAAGCAACCGAGCAGGCGTTCGCTCGTCCGTCAGCGGCGTAATCCGGACGCGAGGTCACGCTTACGCGTATGTAAACGCTCCCCCGATGCGCGTAGAAGCCCTCTAGAACCCCCCTGCAGGCGTTCTGAATGGCGCGAGAAGTAGGGTTGCTTCGACGCGCCGAGGCAGGGGTGCGCGTCCGTGTCAGACTCTTCGAAGGGGGGTCGCCGGGGATCGTTTCTCAAGCCGCCATGGTGAGCAAGGCTCCGAGTTCAGTCTTGATCTGGCAGGACGTAGCCGATATTGACGGACCATACGTCATTCGAGTGCCCCTCGAGCACGCGCTTGCACTCGCCGTCGTCGACGCCCCAGAGCCGGACCATCTTGTCGTCCGATCCCGACGCCAGCAGCGCCGCTTCGCCCGGCCGCGCCGGCGCGAACGCCACGGAGTTTATCTCATCAGAGTGACCCTCGAGCACGCGCTTGCACTCGCCGTCGTCGACGCCCCAGAGCCGGATCGTCCTGTCCTTCGATCCCGACGCCAGCAGCGCCGCTTCGCCCGGCCGCGCCGGCGCGAACGCCACGGAGTATACCGTATCCGAGTGCCCCTTGAGCACGCGCTTGCACTCGCCGTCGTCGACGCCCCAGAGCCGGACCGTGTTGTCGCTCGACGCCGACGCCAGCAGCGCCGCCTCGCCCGGCCGCGCCGGCGCGAACGCCACGGAGTATACCGTATTCGAGTGCCCCTTGAGCACGCGCTTGCACTCGCCGTCGTCGACGCCCCAGAGCCGGACCGTGTTGTCCTTCGATCCCGACGCCAGCAGCGCCGCCTCGCCCGGCCGCGCCGGCGCGAACGCCACGGAGATCACAAAATCCGAGTGCCCCTCGAGCACGCGCGTGCGCTCGCCGTCCTCGACGCCCCAGAGCCGGACCGTCTTGTCGTCCGATGCCGACGCCAGCAGCGCCGCCTCGCCCGGTCGCGTCGGCGCGAACGCCACGGAGTTTACCTCTCCAGAGTGCCCCTGGAGCACGCGCTTGCACTCGCCGTCGTCGACGCCCCAGAGCCGGACCGTCTTGTCGCCCGATGCCGACGCCGTATAGCACGGCACCGCAAAGCCGGCGGCGGCGACCACATCGGGAATCAAGCTCTCGAAGCCGCAGCGCGCCTCGTCTGCCCGCAACTCCGCCATCTTTTCCCGCAGCATCGCGACCGCGTCCGCGTCGCCTTCGGCCTCGAAGGTCGCGACGGCAGCGCGGATTTCCTTCCGCGCTCGCTGCGCGAAGTAGACGTCGCCGACGGACGCGCCCGCGGCCCGGAGGCGGCGCGCGACGTCTTCGGGCGCGCCGGCCTGGAGCGCGGCGAGTTTCTTGCGCAGCTGCTCCGCTTTCGCCTTGAGCTTCGAGAGGCGCGAGACGTCGCCCTTCTTCATGGCCTTGGCGAGGGCAGCGTCGATCGCTTCCGCCTCGCGGCGCGTCTTGGCGTTCTCGATGTCGAAGGCCTGGCGCGCGTCGAGGTGGAGCTGGAGGCACCGGCGGCGGTCGGCATCGACGTCGTCGTCGTCGTCGTCGCGATGGCGCGGAGCAGCTTCTTGATCGCGAGCGCCTCCTTGGAGAAGCCGCCGGCCCGGGCCTCGGCGTCCGTCGCGAGCCCGACCCTGATGCGGTCCGCGAGCGCGAAGCCGGCGCGGTCCGCGTGCTCCGCCGTCCAGCCGAGGCGGCCGACGCAGCAGCTCTCCATGTACTCGCAGAGCTCGGAGGCGTTGCGAACGGTTGTAGACGCTGTGGCCCGAGAGGCCCGCGCGCGCAACGAGCATCTGGCGGTGGACGACCTGGACCTCGCACACGTGCTTCGCGTCGTCGTCGGCGAGGTAGAAGTTGAGCATGAGGTCGCGCCAGCCGCCGGCGCTCGCGGCGGCGTCGTCGTAGCGGTTCTTCACGCGCGTGAGGACGACGCGAGAGTTCGAGCCGAAAGCTTTGACCACCGCGGCGACGGCGGCCATCGACGGGGCGACGAGCATGCCCCGGACGACGTCGAAGACGCCGTCGACGGTGCCGGGCGGCGCGTCGACGCGGAAGAGGCTCTTCTCGACGATTCGCGCGGTCGACTTCAGGCCCGCGGGCAGGGAGAGCTCGACGGCGGGGACGCGCGCCGCGATTTCTTTCACGAGCGCGTCGAAGCCGGGCTTCGCGCGCGCGGCGTCCTCGTAGAGCGCGACGACGTCGTCCCGCGCGCTGCTTCGCGCCCGCGCCGGGCAGGTCCGTGAGCTTTGCGACCGCGGCCGCGTAGGCGGCGAGGCCTACCGAGTGCGACGGGGTCGGATTTCTTCACATCTTCAGGCGAAGTTCACGCGAAAAAACACTCCTGTCGCACGACGCTGGGCGAGGCCCTCGGCGTCCGCGTGGGCGATGGTCGTCCACATCGAATTGTAGACGGCTCGAAAGTCTCGGTTGCCCTCCTCGACGACCGCGACGCAGCGCGAGAAGATCCGCGCCTCCCCGAGGCGCGCCGCCACCGCCGCGCCGATGACCTTTTCCAGCTCCGCGACGAGCGGACGAAGCGCGGCGACGGACTCGGCGCTCGCGCGCGACGTCGCGACCCACCCCTCGCTGCGCTTCAGCTCCGGAGCGGCGACGAGCCGCCGCGGCGCCTCGAGCTTGCACAGCGGCGTGAAGTCCCGGAGCACGGCGACCATCTGCGCCTCCTCCGCGTCATCGGCGGGCTTCTTCTCGGACCCGGAGGTTTCTTGCGGGTTCGCGAGCTCGGACCGCGCCTCGAAGGCCGAGAGCCGCGCCTTGAGCGCCTGGTTCTCCGCCTCCAGCCGCTCGAGCTTCGCCTGGAACGGCGCCGTGGCCTCGCGCACCGCGGCGCTCAGGACGTTGCCCAGGGTCGACTCCATTTCCTGGGCCGACGTCAGGCTCTGCTTGAGCTTGGAAGCCATGGCCTTTCACTTCGGCGTCACCGAGGTGCTCATGCGGTGCGGGCGGGCCCTTGCGCGGCGTTCCTGCAATGAAAATGAAAGCGCCCTCGCGAGCTGATCCCTATCATGGATACTTGCTCGATGAGTCGCAAGATACTTCCCTTTTTTGACCGGGGGTGTGGTTACTGGTTAGGGCTCGTGTATTATTATTATTATGGGTGCTTTAACGTGGGACTAGGACGGCGGCCCGTGGGCGGCCGTCGGCGCACGCGGATCAGGTCGGAGATCGGAAGGATCACTCAGCCGAGAGCCGAGGTGTGCAGGTAACCGGAAACGCCCGCCCAAGGCGAAGCCAGTTGAGGAGGCCCGTCTGTCAGCCCCTCACAACGGACTGGACGGTGGGAAGCCGCGGTAGCAAGTCGTCGAGAGACCCCGCGGGCTGGAGATCAATCGACGGCCGTCGGGGACGGCGGGGGGAGCGCGGCGAGCCAAGCCAGGGTAGATGGCCCTGCCGAGACGGACGAGGCCGCGCGCCAAGATAGCGGAAGGGAGAGTCGGAGGGGGCTCGCTCCCCGACACCGGGCAGGCCCGGAGTCAGTGACCGGGGGCGAGCGGGGGAAAGAGGGGGAAGAAGAAGAAAGGGGGGGCCAGCCGCCGCGCGCCGCGGGGCGGGGCGGACCGCCGGCCGAGGCCCTGTGAGGCTAGCCGTCGCCGTCGTCATCAGAGCGGCCCTCGTCCAGCTCGTCGGCGCCCCCCAGGCCCGCGACGTCCTCGCCAGAAGAGCCGCGACAGAGATCCCAGATCGGCCACCAGAGCTCGCCGGAACACAGCGCCCGGAACTTCCGGATGAACTGCGAGACGGCTGCCTCGCCCTTGGCGGCGACCCCGTCAAAAAGAGGGCTAGACGGAAAGTGACCGGTCACGAACCGCAGGGCCCGGGTCTCCGCCAGGGTGCCCTCCCCGGAGCGGAGAGCGCCGTCGGGGAGAAGGGTCAGGGCCCGCCGGAGGAGGTCCGAGAGGACTGCTGCGCTCAGGCCGCCGCTTCGGGGCGCCGCGTATGTTCGCACTGCCGCAACGACGTTGCCGTGAAACGCCGTCCGCACCGCCACCACCGCAGGGGCCAAGCAAGAAACCAAGAGGTGCATCAGGGTCTCGGGGGAACGCCCGCAGCAACGGCACTGGCGCTCCGCGCGGCCATCGGGGTGGAGGGCCTTCCACGACGAGAGCCGCGAGAGTGTGGCCAGTTGGCCCCACATGAACTTCGCGGACTCCGCCCGCTCGCGCACCTCCTTGCGTCGCGCGAAGAGCCGGGTGAACGACTGGTTCGGAGCATACGGAACCCGCGCGTCGGAGCCATCCTTGGGGGCGTACTCGAGTGTCCGCCGTAGGCCGATCGCTTCCAATAGCGGGTGGGCATCGCGAACATCCACGACCCGGAGCCCGCCGAGCCATATCTGCCAACGGCGGCCGTGGTCGAAACCGAAGTCCCTGGGGACGTACCGTCGGCCCTCGCCTGCCATGCCGTCAGCGAGATGGTTAAGGAGGTCGAGGTCCGACCATTTCCGCTGGTCGGGCTCTCGGCGCTCGGCGTGCCCGGACGTCCAGGCCACTGATACGTCACCGGGACGCCAGCGCCCCTTCCACCAGCGAATCTCATCCCAGACATCGACGGAGCACGAGACGTTCCGAGACTCACAGTCCTGGAAGACCCGCACCACTGCCGCGTTGTCCAGATAGACGGCGATGGGGGCCGGCGCTCCGAGGGCCCATGCCATGCGTAGAGCATCGAGCAGCCCGTTGGCCTCGGACCGATACGACGAGGGGCGGCACCGCCCGGGGCTGTCGGAACGCGCCCAGACGACTGGGAGGTCCTGGCCCGGGAGAAGGAGCACCCCACCGGAGGAGCCGTCCTCGAGGACGAGGGCGCCGTCGGTCACCGCCAGCGTCCCTGCCCGGCGGTTTGGCCGCAACGTGTGCAAGCGTTCCGAGATCACCGTGGAGTGCGGGGAGAAGCCAACCTGCTCCATGACCGCGACCGGAGGCGGCGGACCGGGGGAACCGGGGGGTCCATGAGGAGGAGCGGCCAGCCTGGCCACTGTCGGGGCCGTGCCAGAGGAGCCTGCCCACGACCACGACGACGCGAGCGCAGCCTGAAAGCGACCGGACAGCAGAACCTTCACCGGAACACGACTGCAGTCCGGGCGCTGCAGGGCGCTACGCGATACCGGGAGCTTGACCCCGTGCGAGCCGTGGAAGACGACGGGAGGACCGTCCTCGACCCATTGCGCATCATCGCCAGGCCAGACCGAGGTGGAAGTGAACGCGACCGTGTTCTGGGTGAAAGGGTGGACGTGCGCGTGCTTCTCGCGAGCGGGCTCCTCGTCCGGGTCCGGCCACGAGACCGTCGTAAAGTTGCGCTCCACCAGGGCGATCACCCCCTCGTAGTAGACCTTGTGGCACTTCATCGTCGCCCTGGTGCCCACGGGCCACTGGTCGCGCCGGCCGAGGTAGATTCGCCGCGCGAGGCGGACCGCCCGGAAGGAGGTCCCCGAAACGGAGCGGACCGCGAAGAGGCCCATGGCCGGGGCGCCGGCCACCTCCGGCGGCTCAATGCCCAAGGGCCAGAAGAGGACCTGCCCGGGAGCGATCGAGTTGCCCAGGGAGACGCGGTCGGGCGTCGCCAGATCGTCAGAGATGAGCCCCGCGGGGGACACGTCGAGCGCAGCCCGTATCGAAGCCAGGATGCCGCGGCCTTCGGTCTCGTCGCAGGCGACAGGGCCGTCGGAGAATGTCGCGCCGTCGAGAAGGGTAAAGTCGGAGGGCCACCACGCCTGGAACGCGGAACATGCGCGCTGGACAGCATGCGCCGGCCGTGCGGCGAGGTCGGCCACAGAGGCCTCCTCGCCGGGCACGGAGCCTGCGAGCCCGGGGGACCCGCGGAGGGAGATCCCGTTCGAGCCGCACCAGACGGAGAGGGTCCCAAGGAAACCGCCGTCGTGGGCGGAGGGCGCCCACAGCCACTTCCCGCCGGCCGCGTCAGGGGACTCCAAGACCGGGGAGGCCCGGGCGAACCGACGCTGGAGCCGTGCCAGAGCGGACTCGAGGAGGGCCGAAGCTGCGTGGCCGCGGTCGAGGGCTCGGTAGACCCACATGAGCCTGTCCGACATGACCCGGTCCCACCACCTGACATACCCGAACGTCCCGAGTTCCGACGAGCCCCGCTGCACGAGCAGGTTGGCCCTCGTCGAGAGCCGTGCCCGGAAGGCGAGTAGGCCTCCTGTAGCTCACGTGTGTAGGGACCTCGGATCGCGATCGAGAAGAAGGCCGGCGCAAGCGCCTAGCGATCTCAGACGCCCCAGGGCAGCTCTCGAAAGGCGCCTCTCGACGCGCGGCTCGCGGCGGCGTCGGTGCTTGCTTCTTGGGCTTTTCGCGCTCCAACTCAGAGGAACGCGAAAGCGGCCGCGAGGGCGGACGCGGCCGCGGCGCCGATCTTGGCGGCGCCGTCGGACTCCGCGGGCACCGCGGCGCCGTGGTCGTGGCCGTCGTGGTCGTCATGGGTGTCTTCGGCCGCGGCGCCGTAGGCCGGGCAGTCGAGGTCGCAGACAAGGCCGATGGACGCGGCCTGCGTCTCCCAGAGGAGTTCCGAGTAGGCGCGCACCGCGCTCTGGCACTCGCCGCACGTCGCGTCCGCGCTCTGGCAGAGGAACGTGAAGTCGAGCGCGCCCTCGACGGAGTCGCAGGTGCCGTCGAACCAGTCGTCGTCGCCCATGTAGGAGTAGGAGTAGTACTCCGTGTCGAAGCCCTCGGGGCAGTTCGCCGCGACGCAGTCGACGGCGGCGTGCTCCGCCTCGTCGAGCTCGTCGCCGTGCTCGTCCTCGTCGTGGTCGTCGCCGTCGGGTCGTCGTGGTGCTCTTCTTCTTCGGCGTGCTCCGCCTCGTCGAGCTCGTCGCCGCCGTCGATCGCCGGGACGCGGTCGAGGGTCTCGTAGCAGACGCCCGCCGCGCGCGAGCCGTCGGCCTCGAAGCAGGCGTGTTCGTACCCCCAGAGCGACTCGTCCTCCGCTCCGCAGGCGCCGGCGTTCGACGGGCAAGTCGTGCCGTAGATCTTGCCGACGTCCGCGCACTCGTCCGCGGCGCAGTGCGCGTCGACGCGGTCCGCGTGGTCCGCGCAGTCGCACCCGCAGCCCGGGAAGTGGTCCGGATAGGTCACGCCGAAGGCCGACGCCTCGTCGTCGACGGCGTCGTCCGCCGAGTCGACGCAGGGCCCGTCCCACATCCCCTGCGCGACGGTGTCGCGCGCCTCGGCGACGGCGGCGCACTCGTCGCAGAGCGGCGCGTCGGGCATGTAGCCGTAGTGCGGGTACAGGCACGCGTCGGGACCCCACGTCTCCATGGTCTCGAGGAAGCCGGCGTCGCCGTAGGGCCGCGTGTAGCGGCGGTCCGCGGGGACGTCCGACAGGGGCTCGACGTCGGACCACGTCGAGTCGCCGTCCTCGACGATCGCGCTCCCGAGGTTCGCGCTCGACGCCGCGGCGTCGTAGGCGCAGGGGTCGTCCCGCGCGAATTCGGCCTCGAACTTGGCCTTGAAGCTCGCCTCGAACTCGGCCGCGGTGGACGCGCCGACGTCCTCCGCCGCCGCCGCGCACGTCACCGTCGCCTCGGACGCCGACGCGTCCGCCGCGTAGCAGCCGAGCTCGCCGTCGAAGAGGCCGTTGTTTTCGAGGTGGTAGCGGCACGCCTCGCCGAGGTCGCCGGCGACGACGGTCGTGAAGCGGCGCCGGAGCTTGGGGTGGTCGAACGCGTCGTAGTCGACGACGTCGTCGCAGGCCTTGTGGACCTGGGCGCAGGAGGAGCAGCGCTCGGCGAGCTCCGCGATCGCCGAGCGGCACGCGAGCGGGCACTCGTAGCGCGGGTCGCCCCGGTCCTCGATCGCGTCCGTCGCCCCCTTGCAGGTCCCTTCGGCGGCGTCGCCCCAGATCGCGTCCTGCTCGAAGTCGTCGATGGCCTGCTCGCAGGCCGTGAAGGGGAGCGCGCTCTCCTCCTCGCGCGCGAGCCGGCGGCGGCGCGCCGGCGCGGCGACCGCGGCCCGGAGCGCGCGGCGCTGCGCGGGCGCGTCCGCGTCGACGTGGCCGAAGGACGTCGGGTGGCGGTAGAGCGTCGCGAACCCTTGGCCGAACTGGACGTTGGAGACCGCGTGGTCGACGGCGCGCGACGACGCGAGCCACGCGTCCGCGGCGCCGCCGAGCGCGAGCGCGGCCGCGAGCGCCGCCTCGGCGTCGGGAGACGCGCCGGGCCCCGCGCCCTTGAGCTTGAGGCCGGCCTTGGACTTCTCCGGGGACGCGCGCGGCGTCTCGTCGCCGGAGAGGAACGGCGGCGTCACGCTCACGTCCTCGCTCGCGACGTCGCCGAGCGCCGCGAGCGCCGCGACCGCGCCGGCGTCGACGAAGGCTTCGAGGCGGCGCGCGGCCGTCGCGTCGGGGTCCGCGACCGCGTAGTGGCGGAGCGAGACCTCGGGCGCGCCGAGGCGCCACTCGAGGCTCGCCATGCGGTTCGCGCCGGACTCGAGCGCCTCGGCGCCGGGGAGCGCCGGGAGCGCGCGCCCGCCGTAGGCCGCGACGTAGACCTTGGCGGCGTTGGCGTCCTTGTCGACGCCGAACCCGACGGACGGCAGCGACGCCCCCGCTTCGAGCGCGTCGATCCAGGCATGGACGAGGGGCGGCGCGTCGAGCCGCTCGGCGACGTCGCGCGCCGCGGCCGCGACGGCCTCGGGCCCGAAGGTCCAGCAGTCGCAGGGCGGCTGGAGCGCGACGTGGTAGCGGCCGGCGCTCACGTCGCCGCCGCGGACCTTGGCGCTCACGCCGACGGCCTCGAGGGGGACCTCGCCGCCGAAGAGGCCGTCGACCGCGCGGAAGGGGGCGCCCCAGGCGGGCTCGCCAGAGTCGATGCCCGTCGCGGCGAAGAGAGAGGCGGCGGTGGCGCGCGATTTTGCCCGCGGCGACGGCGGCGGGAGGGCCGCGCGCGCGCGCCGCGCCGCGTCGTCGCCGCCGAGGCGCCGGTAGCTTTCGAGCGCGTGCGCTTCCTTGCGCGCGAGGGCGTCGAGGGCCCGGGGCCCCGGCGCGCCGCCCGCGGCCGCGCCCGCGACGGCTCGCCCGTGGCGGTCGAGGAGCGAGCGCGCGCGGTCGCGGAGCTCGCCGGGCAGGAGATGGCCGTGGGCCTCGAAGAGGTTTTTCGCTTTCTCGTGGCGGCCCACCGATCTCTCCAACGCCTCACGCACAGGATCTTCTGCGCCCTCCAGGGCTTCGCGAAGCTCACGCGCCGAGACGAAGGGGAGAACGAGCACGACGAGGCGCACGGCCCGGCGGAGGAGGGCCATTTTTTAGCGTGCCCTTGCCGACTGCGCGAGGACTTTTTTGCGTTGATGCGTCTCTAAACGTAGGGGACCGGGAGGATCCGCCGGAGGACGGGAGGTTCTACCAGGATCTGGAGGGGGGTTAATTTTGGCCACAAACCCGCCTTGACGCGTCTCTCTTAGGGGGCCCACAAACTCGCCACAAAATCGATTTCTGCCACAAAATCGATTCTCTAGAGGAGGGCTGGCGCCCGTGATTTAGCTAGTCGCCGCTGAACGCGACGAGAGGATGAGCTCGGGCGGCCTCGGTGGCCTCAACAAGTCGCCGAACGGCGTGGTCATCGGCGTCGTGCAGCTCCAGCTGCCGACGGTCAAGACCAAGGCCGACCTCGCCGCGCAGACGCAGAAAATCGTCGCGATGGTCGGCAAGGCGCGGCGCAACCTGCCCGGGATGGACCTCGTCGTCTTTCCGGAGTATTCGCTGCACGGACTCTCGATGGACACGAACCCCGAGATCATGTGCGCGCTCGACGGGCCCGAGGTGGGGAGCTTCCGCGCGGCGTGCGAGGCGCACGAGATCTGGGGTTGCTTCAGCATCATGGAGTACAACCCCGCGGGCAACCCCTACAACACGGGACTCGTCATCGACGCGAAGGGTAAGATCGCGCTCTACTACCGCAAGCTGCATCCCTGGATCCCCGTCGAGCCCTGGGAGCCGGGCAACGTCGGCGTCCCCGTGTGCGTCGGCCCGGGCGGCTGCAAACTGGCGCTCATCATATGCCACGACGGCATGTTCCCCGAGATGGCGCGCGAGTGCGCGTATAAAGGCGCGGAGATCATGCTCCGCACCGCGGGGTACACGGCGCCGATCCGCGACTCGTGGCGCTTCACGAACCGGAGCAACTCCTTCCAGAACCTCATGGTCACGGCGAACGTGTGCATGTGCGGCAGCGACGGCGATTTCGACTCCATGGGCGAGGGCATGATCGTCAACTTTGACGGGTGCGTGATCGCCCACGGCCTGACGGGCCGCGCGGACGAGATCGTCACCGCGGAGGTGCGCCCCGACCTCGTGCGCGAGGCGCGAATCTGCTGGGGCGTCGAGAACAACATCTACCAGCTCGGCCACCGCGGCTACGTCGCCGTCAGGGGCGGCGCGAAGGACTGCCCCTACACGTACATGAAGGACCTCGTCGCGGGGCGCTACGCGCTGCCATGGGAGGCCGACGTCCGGCACACAGACGGCACCGCGTGCGGCTTCGACCCCCCGGAGCGCGAATACGTCGGCGAGGAGGCGCCGCCCGCGATGCAAAAGTGAAGTCGACAAGCGAGGCGCGCCCATGTGAACACACTCGTGCCCTGCACATTATACATGTACTCTTTTACTTAGTAGGAGTATCTAGAGCGCCCCAAATAGCAGCAGCGCCGCCGCCGCGGCGACCGCGGCGCCGGCCGTCGCCGCGCGCGGGGCCGCGCCGTCGGAGGCGAGGACCGCGCCGTCGGACTCGGGCTCGACGGTGTGGCCGTAGACGAAGAGGGTCCAGGAGACGAAGAGGCCGTCGCCGGCGCCGGCGCGCATGTCCGCGAGGCGGAGCGTGAAGGCGCCGCCCGCGTCCGCGCGCTCGCCCCAGTGGCGCGGCGTCGTGTACTTGTGCTCGTCGTAGCCGTCGCCGAGCTCCGGCGAGTCGCGCGCGAGCACGCTCTCGACGCCGCCCCGCCTGTGTGGAATTCAAATCTTCAACCCGACTTCAATGTGCGCATATGCGACGGTTTCGACGCAAGGCTTTCTGCTGTGCTTCGAGAACTCGATGAGAGCAATCGATTCGTCCAAAAATCAGCCGAATCGACTTCGATTTGACCGAGATAGAGAGTTCTGAAGTTTGGTGGGGACCCCCCAAACCAGTGGTTGATTTCCACACAGCGCCCCGCTCGAGGATCACGCGGACGTCGCCGCGCCGTTCGTGGGCGACGGTGAGGAGCACGGCGACGTGCTCGACGACGAAGTCGCCGTGGCCCGCGAAGCCCGTCGCCTCCGTCGACGCGACCCAGGTCTCGCCCGCGCCGCCAAAGTCCGGCAGCGCGCGGTTCGCGTAGGTCTTCGACGCGAGCACGTGTCTCGGGGCCGTAGGTCGCCCAGGTCCGCGCCGCGGCGACGGCCGCGCCCGCGTCGACGACGCCGAAGCCGTACTGGTAGCTGTGGCCGATGGCCGCGGCGTTGAGCGACCGCGCCGGGTCGCCGGCGTCGTCCGGGAGCCGGGAGGTCGTCGCGACGACGCCGAAGACGTCGCGCCAGCCGAGGTCCGGGTTCGCCTCGAGGACGAGCGCGACGACGCCCGCGACGAGCGGCGCGGCGTAGGACGTGCCCATGCCGACGTCGCCGCAGTCGTCGGCGCGGCCGAGCCACGGGGGCAGCGCGGTGATCATGTTGTGGACGTGGTCCCCGTCGCCGCCGGGCGCGGCCGCGAAGACGGGCGCGCCCACCGACGAATAGGACGCGTGGAGCCCGTCGCGGCCGACGGCGGCGATCGACATCGTGTACCGGCTCTGGAGCTCGCCCTCGAAGTTCACGTCGTCGCCGCTCGCCTGCGAGGGTGCGTCGGTCGGAGGGTCGCGGGCTCCGGACGACGCCGCGGCGCGCGTGCTCGTTGCCCGCCGAGAAGACGTAGACCGTGCCTTTGCCGCCGCGGCCCTCCGTCACGCCCCGCCGGAACGCGGCCGCCTCGGACCGCGACAGCTGGCCGTGGCCGCAGGTCACGAAATACTCGTCGAAGTCGAGGCACGCCTCCGGGTCCGTCTCGAAGTCGAGGTCGTGCGTGCACCAGCCGACGACGGCGTCCTCGCACGCGTCGCTCAGCGACCCGGACGCCCAGTCGTCGCCGTCGCACGCGCCGCAGACCTCCTCCGACGAGAACGGGCACGCCGCGGCGGCCTCGAAGTCGAAGTCGAAGCCGAAGTCGAAGTCGCGCCTCGACCGCCGCGCGGACTTGTCCTTGGACCTGGACTTGTTCTTGCGCGCGGCGTCGGGCTTGCGCCCCGCGGCGGTCCCGCTAATGTCCTTGCGCGCGGCGTCGGGCTTGCGCCCCGCGGCGGTCCCGTCCGACCCGCTCCACCAGTCGTCGTCGTAGGTCCAGTCGAGCCAGTAGTCGTCGTCGTAATAGTAGTAGTAGTAGCCGTCCGACCCGCTCCACCAGTCGTCGTCGTAGGTCCAGTCGTCATAGTAGTAGTAGCCGTAGTAGTAGACGCCGGAGAAGACGCAGGAGTCGACGCCGTAGGAGTTGCTGGAGACGTCGTTGTCGCCGCTGTAGAGATAGCTGCCGTCTGCGGCCTCGGGCGACTCGTGGTTCCCGTAGATGGCGCACGCGCTGAGGCTCGCGCCCGGCGCGACGCCGACGCCGCAGTGGTCGTTCGCGCTGGCCGCCGCCTGTGTGGAAATCAAACAGTGAGCTGGGTTATCCCAACCAAACTTCAGAACTCTCTAGCTCGGTCAAATCGAAGTCGATTCGGCTGATTATTGGACGAATCGATTGCTCTCAGAGCTCGCGTCGAAACCGTCGCATACGCTCACATTGAAGTCGGGTTGAAGATTTGATTTTCACACAGCCCGCCGCGAGCGCCGCGCACGCCGTGCCGTGATCCTCGCCCGCCTCCTCGAGGGGCGCCCAGACCTCGCACGAGTCCGCGACGGACACCTTCGCGAGGTCCGGGTGCGACGCGTCGACGCCGTCGTCGTTGACGCGGATCCGCACGCCGGCGCCCGTGACGCCCGACGCCCAGGCCGCCTCGACGTTCATGAGGTCCAGGTACCACGCCGCGGCGCCGTAGTAGGGGTCCGGGCTCGCGGCCGCGCGCGTCCCGCACGTCGCGACGAAATCGTCCGCGGCGCACGTTGAGACCTTGCCGTGGCCCGCGAGGAATGCCGGTGTCGGCACGTCGTCGGCCGGCGCGCAGAGGCTCTCGGCCGCGCAGTACACGCAATCGCCCCGGCTCGCGCAGGCCTCGCAGGTGACCAGTCGGCCGCACTCGCTGCAGTCGAAGGGGTCGCAGTCGCACCCGTTGCCGACGTCGCACTCGCCGTCGAACTGCCAGGGGCAGTCACAGGCGCGCGCGACGCCCAGGGCGACGAGGGCGAGGGCGCCGGGTCGTGCGAGGAGCATGCTCCACAAATGTCGCAGCGTTTGCGGCGAAACCTCGGCGACTGCGCGAAGGCCTCTCACACGACCGGCCGGACGTTTAGTCGTCGGGGGAGGGGAGGGGAGGGGCTGCGGCCTTTGGGATCTCGGGGCGCCTCGCTCAGGCGAGCGCGGCGACGGCGGCCGCGACGACGGCGGCGAGCGCCGCGACCGCCGTGGCCGCGGCGCCGTCGCTCTCCGCGCGGCAAGTGAGGTCGCAGGCGAGGCCCGCCTCGCGCGCGCGGGACTCGTAGGAGCACTCGGCGTAGGCCGTCCAGGCCGCCTCGCAGGACTCGCCGCCGTCCTTGGGGTTCGCGCACATGGCGCGGAACTCGGAGCTGCGCTCCGCGGCGGCGCACGTCTCGCCGAGGAACTCGAAGTAGGCGATGGGCGCCGCGTCGTCGTCCGTCGGGATGCCCGCGTCGAGCCAGCAGCCGACGACGGCGCGGCTCTCGGCGGCGCAGTCCGCGGCGACCTCGTCGCCCGTGGCCGCTGGATCGGCGGCGGACTGGTCCACGGGGTCGTCGTCCTCGTAGGAGTAGGACCACAACTGGGTCTCGAGCGGCGGCACGGTGCCCTCGAGCGAGTAGCCCTCGTAGCCGCAGGGCTCGTGGGCGATGCACGCGGACGCGTCGAGGTCCGCGAAGCCGAAGCCCTCGAAGTAGGCTTTCGCGGCGGGGGGCGAGCAGACGCCGGTGCAATCCTCGTAAAAGACCATGAGCTCGTCGCCCTCTGCGCACTTGACGCAGTCGGCCCAGTCCGTGCGATCGGCGAACTCCGCGCGGTGCTCGTCGTCGTCGTCGAAGAACCCGCACGACGCGCACGCGGAGGGAGGCGCGGGCGACGCCATGATCCAATCGTCGTCTAGGCCGTTCGTGGCGTCCGTGGCCACGTAGCCGTCCATGCCGTAGCAAAACGTCGTGGACGAGTGCGCGGAGCAGTCGGACCCCGTGGTCTCGGTCGCGAAGCCGCCCAGGCGGCTCGGCGCCGCGCGCGGGGGCGCGGCCGCGGCGCGGTCGACGGGGACCGGCCCCGCCGCCGCCGCCGCGGCGAAGTCCCCCCCCGTGAGCTTGCCGGTCGCGGCGAAGGCCTCCTTGAGGATCGGGTGGGCGGTTTCGACGAGTTTCTTGGCCCGGGGCTTGAGCGACGGCTTCGACGCCTTCGCGAGCTTCCGCTTCAGAGCACGATCTAGCTTGAGCACGCCGGTCTCCTGGGCGACCGCCGAAGCGGCCAGAGAGAGGAGCGTCAAGGCCTTCGAGAGCTGCATGGCGGCGGCGGCGCTGTGAAGCTCTGCAGCTCGGCGACCCCCCCGATCTCACGATCTGCTCACGGCGTTGCAGTCAAGGTGCCGCAGTGCCGGACGGAACGGATGGGGGTGGCGCGCGGGGTGACTTTCGGTAGAGGCGCCTGGCGGCGGGCTGGTGGCCCGACACGGGCCTCGGCGGGCGGGGCTCTCGCGCGGATCCCGCGTCCCCGCCGCGCGCCGGACGCCAGCCCTCGCGCCTCGACTCGCCGCGACTACGCTTTGTTGCTCAGCTTATTATGAGCTCGCGCCGGACTCGGAGATCGACTCTCCATCCGACGGGGCTGAATAGGGCGGGCGGGAGCCGCGCCGCGCGTCGAGAACGACGGGGCGCGCGCTCGGCGGGAGGCTGTCGGGGGGTCGCCGTCGTGCCGGTCCGCGTTGGGCGAACCGGAGCTGGGCGGCGATGGTGCGTGGGTGGGGGTCGACGTCGGCGGCGGCGTCGGACGTTAAGACCTCGCGCGCATGCTTCAGGCCCTAGGAAATGGCTACTTGGCGAGGCACTTCTCCTTCTTTTTCTTGTACTCGCAGCCGTCGGTCTTCTTGCACTTTTTCTTCGACAGCTCGGAGCACGAGATGCACGTCTTCTTCTTGTACGCGCAGCCGTCGGTCTTCTTGCAGTTTTTCTTCGACAGCTCGGAGCACGAGATGCACGTCTTCTTCTTGTACGCGCAGCCGTCGGTCTTCTTGCAGTTTTTCTTCGACAGTCCGGAGCACGAGATGCACGTTTTCTTCTTGTACGCGCAGCCCGCGGTCTTCTTGCAGCGTTTCTTGGCGAGTCCCGAGCACGTCGTGGATGTGGGCGCGGGCGTCGGCGCGTAGACCCAGTACGGCTCCGGGTCCGAGACGATGGAGTCCACCGTCAGGTCGTCGCCGATGTCGAGACCAAAGTAGTCCGCCCAGTAGAGGATGCGCTCGAGCATGGCGCCGTCGACGACGGCGTTTGCGACGTCCACGACGCCATGGTCGAGGCAGTCCTCGTTCGAGCTGTGGCCGAACGTCGCGCACGTGTCCATGGCGATGACGACCTCGATGGACGCGGCGTCGTCCTCCCCGAACGTCGCCGTGAGGTCGAGGATGTTCTGGGGCCTGGTGAGGAAGGAGACGACGTCGCTCATCGCGTAGGCGAAGGCCGAAAACCCCGCCTCGGAGACGAGGGCCTCGCCGTTGACGCCGTCGACGAGGAAGGACAGGTACATCCACGCGCGGGCTGCGAAGGATCGGTACATCCACGCGGATCGATCAATCCAGCCACGGCCGCGTATTTGCCGGCCGGGCACTCGTCGCACGCGCTCTGGCCGCTCTGCTCGGCGAACGTGTCCGGCTCGCAGAGGTAACACTCCGTGGACCCGGCCTCGGACGCGTAGGTGCCGGGCGCACACTGCTCGCACTCGCTCTGGCCGGCGACGCTGCGTGTTCCTGGCTCGCACAGGACATCGTCGGCGGCGTACCGGGCGGCGATGAACGCGAGGAGGAAGAGGCGGCCCATGTGGAGGGGGACGTCTCTATGAAATCACGAGCTTCGAGCCCGCGGAGCTTGCTATCGCTGAAAGTCGTCGAGAAACTCCGCGCGGTAGATGCGGTAGCTTCCGTTCACCTTGCACCTGCCGGTTGGGCTGCCCCGCGGTTATGGGCGTCCTCACGCCGCAAAACATGGCCGACGAACTCGAAGGCGCCGACGCCCCGTCGCTGCAGGACGCCTTCGCCAAGTTCCGGCGCGGCCGCCGCAAGACCAAGCCCACGGTGCCCGCGAGCGAGCTCAAGGTCCGCGCCGCCGCGCGCCGCGCCGCGGATCCCGCGGGCGACAAGGCGCGGCTCCGGAGGAAGTTCATCGAGAAGCTCAAGACCTACGTGGGCGTCCCCTACGCCGAGCGCTACCACAAGCCCGGCGACGCGCTCCACGGCCGGCCGCTCTACCTGGACTGCTGCGGCCTGATCCGCCGCGCGGCGCGGGAGATGCGCGCGGACTTCGGCTTCGACCTCGGCCACTGGAACCAGGCCTACCAGTTCGCGACGTGCCCGACGGCGCGCGAGTTCCCGGCGACGGTCGAGCCCGGCGACCTGCTCTTCGTCAAGGGCACGTACTTCAAGGGGCGCAGGAAGCCGCAGAAGGGCGACGTCGTCCACGTCGAGGTCTTCCTCGGCTCCGAGTTCGGCGCGGGCCCCAAGTCGACGCTGAGCTCGCGGGACCACTACGGCTGCGTCGAAATCCACGACAGCTTCGAGTACGACTCGCCCTGGTACGCGATCACGGCCCTCGAGTGGCGGAGCCTCGACGACTGGCTCGAGGGCCGCTGCGACCCCGTCGCCATGCCCGGCTGCTTCGCGGACCACGACCCCTACGGCGACGCGGCCCTGCGCCTCGGCAAGAAGTCCATCTTCGACGAAGCCGCCGACGGCGACGACGAGTCCGACGACGGCGACGGAGCCGCCGCGCTCGCGGCCGACGCGGCGTAAGCTCGCCGTCGTATTTTCCCGGGACGTCGCGCCGTCCGCTGCTCTTTTTAGTTCCGGGCGCGCTTCGCGGTCTTGGACGAGTGCCAGAAGAGGATCGCGGCGAGGACGAAGAAGCCGCCGTTGACGACGACGACGGCGTAGTCGCGGAGGCGGTAGTACTGCTGGGCCGCGAGGCTCGCCACCGTGAGGGCGAGGAGGCCGAGCGTGTGGGGCAGGGAGAGGAAGTGCTGGTGCGTGCGGTAGACGAAGCGGTCCGGGTCCGCGGGCGGCGGCGGCGGCGCCGCGGGCCGGAGGAGGCGGCGGCGGCCGTGGAGGAGCGCGGCGTGGATCGCGCGGAGCGCCGCCGGCGAGCTCGGCTCCTGGCCCGCGCTCGCCGCGGCGAAGGCGCCGACGTCGGCGCCGATCCGCGCGAGCACGTCCTTGGCGAGCGACGCCGCGCCGACGGCGGCCGCGGCCTCGAGCGCGTCGCGCGCCGTCGCGGGCGACGCCGCGGTCGCGTAGGCGGCCTCGCACTTCGCGCGGACGTCGAGGAGGCCGTAGCGGTCCGCGGCGAAGAGGTCCTCGAGGAGCGCGCGCTCGTCGCCGTCCGCGAGCGCCTCGCCGTAGACCGCGCCGAGGAGGCGCGCGACCGTCGCGGCGCCGTCGGGCACCGCGACCTCGACGCGGGGCGCCCGCGCCGCGCCGTCGCCCCAGAGGTCGCCGCGCCTTCGCTCGCGCGTCTCCCGCATGCCCGACGCGAACATGGCCCGGAAGAAGTCGCTCCGCGCGGCGAGGACCGCGCGGTGCGCGTAGACGGGCGACTCCGGCGCGTCCTCCGGCGCGACGGCGACGTCCCCGAAGGCGCCGTCGCCGACGAGGCCCGCGAGGTCCGCGCGCAGCGTCGACGGCGCGACGTGGACGGCCCGCAGCTCGTCGTCGTCGCCGTCGTCGGCGTCGTCGGCGTCGTCGGGCGCGCCGAGCGCGGCGGCGCAGACGTCGCGGAGTCGGGGGACGCCGTAGCGGCGCCCCGCGGCGCCGAGCTCCGCGAGGAGCGACGGCGGCGGCGGGTCGCGGCCCGCGAAGACGTCGTCGCAGTAGAGGAACTCGAGGAAGAGCGCGCAGACGCGCGGCGACAGGTCGGGCACGAGGAGCTGGAGCAAATCGCCGTCGTCGCCGTCCTCGCGCTGCTCCAGGAGGATGAGCTCGGCCATGAGCGGGCTCCGCGCGTTGAGCACGGCGAGGTGGGCGTAGAGGGGCGCGCCGCCGCCGGGCACGAGCATGCAGTCGACGAGCGCGGCGCCGCCGTCGTCGTCGTCGTCGGAGCCGCCGCCGTCGTCGCCGGAGCCGGCCCAGGCGCGGTCGTCGCCGTTGAGCTCGCGCGTCGCGCTTTTCGCCGCGCGGAGCAGGCGGCGGCCCACGGTCTCCGCGGCCATGGGCCCGTCGACGAGCGCGACCGTGTGCTGCCCGCCGCACGCGACCCGGGACACGCGGGACCCGTCGAGGCCCGGCAGCCACACCGCGGACGGCCGCCTCGGCACGTCGACGACGGCGGCCGCGACGGCCGTGCGCATGATGGCCTCGTCCTCCGGCGACGGCGGCGCGTCGGCCTGCTTGGTCCGGCGCTCGTTCGCCGTGTCCTTCAAGCGCGCGGCGCGCTGCGCTTTGGCCGCCGCGTGCGCGAGGGACCCGACCTTGGCCGACGCCTCCTCCGTCGCCGACGCGCCGAGGAAGGCGAAGCCGTCGCCGCAGAGCAACAGGTCGCCGGCCGCCGTCGAGAAGGCGCTGTGGCGCTCGCCGCAGGCGACCGCGGCCACGGGTACGCCGTCGAGCGCGACGACGCGCCGCGGCCACGCGAAGCGCGCGTCGCGCAGCGTCTTCGCCGTCTTGTCCACGGGGCCCCCGGGCCGCCGCTTCTCGAGCACGCGCTTCGTCATCCAGTCCGTCGTGCTCTCGAGGCCCGCGTTCTCCGGCGGCCGCTCGCCGTGGCCGAGCGCCGCGCCGCGCGACCCGCCGCCGCCCCAGGTCCACGTGGCCCCGCGCTCGTCGACGACGGCCGAGTGCGTCGCGCCGCAGGCGGCGACGGCGACCCGCAAATCGCCGCCGCAGAAGGGGACCACGGGCGTCGGCCGCCGCTCGTCGCGGAAGTCGAAGAAATGCGACGGCCCCAGCCCGAGCTGGCCCTGCGCGTTCGAGCCCCAGGCGTAGAGCGCCCCGTCCTCGGCGACGGCGAGCACGTGGGCCTCGCCGCAGGCCACGGACCGCCAGCGCGGCGCGTCGACGAGCGCCGCCTCGAGCTCGTCGCCGTCCGCGGCCGCCGCGGCCGCGTCGTCGTCGTCGTCGGCCTTCGGCTTCTTCTCGTCGCGCGCCTCGCCGCCCGTGCGGTGGTAGTCCGGCGCCCGCGTCGCCGGCGCCGGGCGCGCGCGGAGGATGGCCCGCGGCGACAGCTGGAACATGGCGCGGCGCTGGCGCGTCGCGTCGACGCGCGCGTCGCGCTCGAGCGTCGGCGTGTCGCCCAAGCCGAGGCGCCCGCCGGACCAGAGGCCCCAGGCGTAGGCCCGCCGTTGCTCGTCCAACGCCAGGCCGAAGGACCCGCCCGCGGCGACGTCGACGATCTTCGGCAGGTCGTCGCCGTACTCGACGAAGGACACCTTTTGGGGCCGGAGCACGGGCTTCGTGTTCCGCAGGCCCGTCGCGACCTGCGCCAAATTCAAATCTTCAGCGTGAGCGCACGCGACAGTTTCGACGCAACCTCTTCGGCTCTGCTTCGAGAACTCGACGAGAGCGATCGGTTCGTCCAACAATCAGCTCGAGAGGTTTGAAGTCTGGTCGGGACCACCGAAACCGACGGTTGAATTCGGCGCGGGTCGCGACGCCGACGCCCCAGGCGTAGAGCCCCCCGTCGGCCGCCGCGGCGAGGGAGTGGGCGCCGAAGACGTCGGCGCCCGCGGCGATGGCCGCGACGACCACGGGCGCGCCGTCGGGCCACGCGGCGGCCGCTAGGCGGTCGACGCGCGCGGCGTCGCCGGGCGCGCCGCACGCGCCGTCCTCGTTGTCGCCGCAGGCGAAGACGCGGCCGCTCGCCGCGAGGACGAGCGTGTGGCGCGACGAGCAGGCGACGGCGCGGACCTGCTCCTGGGGCAGGTCGCGGCTCAGCACGGACACGGGCTGCGGCAGGATCGCCGCGCCGACGGCTCCGAGGCACCGCTGCGGCGCCTCGCCCCAGCCCAGGAGCCCCGCGGTCGCGGGCCGCCGGCGCCGGGGCTTCGAAATCTTCGGCGCGAAGGGCTTCTGCGTCGTCTTCGGCGGCGCCGCGTCGTCGCACCAGAACTCGAAGTGGAGCGTCCGGGGGCCTTCCGCGTCGTCGTCGACGTCCGCGTCGCTCGCGCCGAAGCCGTCGAGGGCGCAGCGCAGGCGGCCGACGCAGCGCAGGCGCGCGCTCGGGAGGTCCGCCTCGTCGGCGTCGCCGGGCATGGGCGCGACGTCGACCGCGGACGCCGCGAGCACCTCGACGCCGAGCGCGTAGCCTGGGCGGGACAAGAGAGCGAAATGCCCAACTTCAAAGGCTCCTATCTCGGCCGTTTTCCACTCGTTTCGGCTGATTTTTGGACGAGCGATCATCTCTCGGAACGGTCTCGAAGCATGGATGCTTTTTTTAGAACGGGAGCGCGCGGAACACTCAAGTTGAAGCGACGTTGAATCACCCTTGTCCTGCCCTGCGCGTAGCCGTCGCCGGTCCAGTTCGCGCGGCCCACGCGGACCGTCGCGCGCTTCGGCGGCGCGCGCGCGCGCCCGTAGCGCTTCACCTTGGCCGGCGCGATGCGCGCGCAGCTCGGGAGGAGCGCCAGGACCTTGGCGTCGGGCTCGTGGAGCCGCAGCGCGCCGAAGACGCCGACGCGGACCGCGGCGACGGCCAATTTCGCGACGACGGCCGCGCCGAGGCAGCGGTCCGCGAGGCGCAGGGCCGCGGCGACCTCGCCCGCCGCGGCGCCGACGGCGGACGTGCGCGACCCCTCGAACTCGTCGTCGACGCGCTCCTCCGCCGCGGCCTCGACCATCGCGCCGTCGAACGGCAGCGCGGGCAGGTCGCAGAAGCGCCGGCCGTGCAGGTCCTCGACCGCGAGCGCCACGCGGCCCCGCACGAGCTCGTCCTGGGCCTCCTCGACGCTCGGCAGGGCCTCGCCCTCCGCGACCGCCTCGGCGACGCGCACGCGCGCGCCGGCGGGGAAGCAGGCCCGGAGCGCCGACGCCGACGGCGCGGCCGCGAGCGCGCGCCGCTTCGCCGCGTCCACGGCGCGGACCTCCAGAATCTCGGCGCCGGAGGCGGCGCCGAGCAGCGCGTCGACGCGCCGCCGCGCCTCCATCGCCGAGCGCAGCGCCTCCATCGTGTGTTCGAATGGTGGGCTGCCGGACCGAAATTGAGCACGGCCGTGCAGTTTTTTGCTTTGTTGAACCTTGTGGCAAAGGCATGAGCGAAGTGCCTGCGCCCGAGTCGCCTCCTCCGCCCGCCAAGTCGCCGCCGGTTACACCCACGCACGATCCGCTGCTGGACCGCCCGGTCGAGCTCAACATCCGCGACGACGAGCACTTCGACGAGGTCGCGGCCCACGTGAAGGCGCTCCTCGAGAAGGCCGCGGCTCTGGGCAACCGCGAGGCCCTCTGGCGCCTCGGCCGCCTCAGCGAGAAGGAGGCCTTCGGTCCGCAGCAGAAGGTCGAGCTCGAGGAGGACGAGGAGGACGAGGAGGACGAGGAGGAGGAGGGAGAAGAGGAGGCGGCGCCCGCCCCCGAGGAGGAGGAGGAGGAGGACGACGACGACGAGCGTGGACAACGACGACGACGACGGCGACTACCCCGCGGCGAAGCGGTACCGGAGCGAATGAAACGGCTCGTGCTCCTGCTCCTCGCGCGCGGCGCCGGCGCGCTCCGGTCGTCGGCGGGCGAGCGCCTGCGGCTGACGTTTCCCGGCGTGGAGCCCGCGGCGCTCGGGCCGGCGGCGCGGCGGCTGCCCGGCGTCGCCGCCGCGGAGCGGCGCGGCGCCCTCGACGCGAAGCTGAAGTTCGCGCGCCACGTCCTGGGCCTCGCCGACGCGACGGACCTTTTGCTGTCGACGCCGCGGTTCGCGTCCGTGCCTCTCGCGGTCCTCGTCGCGCGCCACGCGGCTCTCGAGCGCGAGGGCGTCGCCGACGCGTCCCGCGGCGCAGCGGACGCCGTCTGCGGCGGCGGCGCGAGCCACGACGACTTCTGCGCCTACTTTGGGCTGCGCGCGACGCCGGCGGACGTCGCGCGGCGCGTCGCGTCGGTGCGGCGGGGCGGCCGCCGCGCGGCCGCGGACGGCGACCTCGACGTCGTGCGCGACCTCCTCGCGCGGGGCTGGGACCCGGGCGACGACGCCGATCGCCGCGGCGCGTCGGCGCTGCACCTGGCCGCGGGCCGCGGGGCCGCGGACGTCGCGAGAGTTTTGGCCGCGTCCATGGACGTCGACGCGCTGGACGCGCGGGGCGCGTCGCCGCTCCACTACGCGGCGTGCGGCGTCCGGGGCAACGCCGTCGGCGTCGGCGGCGAGCTCGGGGCCCTGGACCTGCTGCTGGAGCTCGGCGCGGACGCGCGCCGCGCGACGTACGACGGGAACACGGTGTTGATGTGGGCCGCGTGGGCCGGCGGGCCCGGCGCGGTGCGCCGGATCCTCGCGGCCGGCGCGGACCTGGCCGCGCGGAACGACCGGGGCTGCACGGCGGCCCACTGGGCCTGCGCGGGCGGCGACGTCGCCACCGTGCGGCTCCTCGGCGGCCTCGGCGTCGACTTCTCGGCGCCCAACGACGCGGGCCACACGCCGCTCGAGCACGCCGTCGCCTACAAGCGCGTCGCCGCGGCGGAGTGGCTCGTCGCGGCGGGCGTCGTCGACCCGTCCGCCGTCGAGTACGCCGCGCGGCTCGCGGCCCTCGACGGCGACGGCGACCGCGCGGCCATCTCCACGGCCCTCGGCGCCTTCGCGATGCCGCCCATCTAGGTTGACTCGTTGGCGCGCTCGCCCGGCCGCCCGTGTAAGCTAAAAGGAGAGTTAGGACGACGTCGCCTGGATCTGGGCGACGATCTCCGCGAAGGTCGCGACGATGATGACGAGGATGACGAAGAGCGCGGTCCAGGCGACGGCGCCGTGCCAGCCGCCCGGGTAGCGCGCCTTGGGCTCGCCGTCCGGCGGCTGCTCGGCGCAGATCGTGTCCGTCTCCGCGAGGGACTGGAGGAACCAGGCGCTCGACGCCGTCGGCGGGCACGCCTCGTCCGGCGGCGGCTTCTGCATGGCGAGGTAGACGACGAAGGGCACGACGAGCGCGAGCGGCGCGACGACGAGCAAACCGCTGTAGTCCACGAGGGTCCCGAAGGCCGTGGACTCGTAGACGATCCAGGAGATGCACCAGGGCAGGACCATCGCGAGCGCGTTCGCCGCGCCGCGCGACATGCGCGCGGCGAGCAGGTTGTCCCGCGTGATGATGATGTTCACGGGGATGCCCGACACGAGCACGCCTAACCCGAAGGCGTAGGACGCCACGCGCACGTAGGTCGGCCGCGACGTCGCCGAGAGCACCGTCGCGACGTCCGTCGTCACGGACGTCCCGAAGACGCACGCGAGCAGCGCGCCGATGACGACGTAGATGATGCCGGAGAAGACGGCCGACGTCTTGGCGATCTGCTCCGCGGACACGTCCGGCGCCTTCTCCGAGAGCCAGGACGTCGTGAAGACCGTGTACATGAAGTTGAAGATCAACGTGCCGGGGAGGTTCGTCATCCGGTCCCAGTCCGCGTAGGGCATGTCCCCCGGGAAGCCGGACGTCGCGTTGGCGCCGGCGTAGCACGCGTAGACGACGAGGCAGACGACCAAAATGACGAAGGACCCCCACTGGAGGCCCATCTGGTCGTCGAGCTTCGCGTTGCAGAAGGGCATCGTGATGCAGAACAAAGCCGCGTAGCCCGCGGAGACGATGAGCGTCGACGTCGTGATGGAGTCGTCGCCGCCCGAGCCCGTGAAGAAGGGCTCGCACGTATCTAGACCGTCGCACTGCGACTCGTTCCACGTGAAGAACGTGCCCGCGAGGTCGCCCGTGACGACGAACGCCCAGGACCGCCCGAAGATGAAGCCGCAGATCTCGTCTAAAGTCTGCGCCGCGGGCGAGATCGTCGCCACGGTCTGGCAGAGCATGGCCGCGAAGAAGAAGACGTGCGCGACGCGGTTCGCCTTGGGCCCGACGAAGTGCTCTATGGGGTCGCAGAACGCGAGCTCCCGCGCGTAGTCGACGTTGTTCGGCATGCGCTTGACGACGTCCGCCGTCAGCAGCACCGCGTAGCACGCGATGACCGACGCCACGAAGATGCCCACCGTCGACGGCCAGAAGCCGGATGTCGCGTAGCACCAGGGGATGGCTAAAATGCCCGGCCCGATGATCGTGTTCACGAAGAGCACGAAGGAGCCCATCCAGCCGATCTTGCACGACGCGCAGGGCGTCGTGCAGATGAGGCGCGTCGGCGTGTAGGCGACGATGACGTTCCCGTCCTTGTCCTCGACGGGCGGGTGCGGCGTCGCGACGTGGCCGCCGGACACGCGCAGGCCCGGGCCCGCGCCGGCGTCGGGACCGCCGGCGAGGGCGCTCGGCAGCAGGCCCTGCTCCTCGGGCGCCGTGTGCTCCATCGCGCTCGCCGGGGCAGCCCGCCTACGGCTTCATCGGGGCAGCCCGCGCCGGCGTCGTCAGCCCTTCGGGATATCGATGAGGTGCGACAAAAACTGCACCTTTACGGTACTTTCGGGTGAACATTAGCGCGGGGGCAAGCTCTCTCAGCCGATGGCTTTGCCGAGCTATTTCAATCTCGAGTGGCGGCTCGACGTCGAGGTGCGCGTTGTTTCACCATCGCGAGCCGGTCCGACGCCCCCGGAGCGTAGGTCGCGCGGCGGTCCATCCACCAGGTCGCCGACCCGACCTTCGTCCTCAAGCTCGACACCCTGGCGCCCGGTGCGCCCCGCGCCGTGCCCCAGCCGCGCGCGCGCGCGACGGCCCCGCGCTCCCGCAGGCGCGAGCGCGACGGACGAGAAGAAGAAGTCGTCCGTCGTCTTCGAGGCCGACAGCGCGACGATGCAGCACCTCGAGACGCAGCTCGCCGCCGCCGTCGCGGAGCTCGACCGGCCCCAGACGAGCCGCACGATGAAGTACATCCGATGAGGAGGTAGACACCACCCTCTAAATTCCGTCGTATATAAGCACGCTCCGTCGCCGCGGAGCGGGGGTCGGGGGCGCGCGCGCGGGGGCGCTCCCCGCGCGCGCGGGTCGCGGGGGACCGGGGCGCGCGGGGCCCTCAGGACCCGCTCTTGCCCTCGGCCTCCTTCATCTCCTGGGCGACGGAGGCCTCCTCGGCCCGGTCGGCCCAGAGCTCGCGGTTCCGCTTGCAGTTCGCCTCGAGGTCCGCGAGCTCCGGGAAGAGCTTGACGACGACCTGGGCAGGACAAGGGTGATTCAACGTCGCTTCAACGTGAGCGTTCCGCGCGCGTGCGTTCCAAGAAAAGCATTCACGCTTCGAGACCGTTCCGAGAGATGATCGCTCGTCCAAAAGTCAGCCGAAACGAGTGGAAAGCGGCCGAGATATGAGCCTTTGAAGTTGGGAATTTCGCTCTCTTGTCCTGCCCTGACGACGACGGTGATGAGGGGCCCGACGACGTAGTCGATGAAGGCGACCTGGGACATGGCGACGTCGACCTCCGTGCTGAGTTTGGCCATGAAGGGCGACACGGGCAGGCCCATCTTCGACTCCTTGGCCGCCTGGTTCTGGAACTCCTCGACGATCTTGTAGCCCCACTTCTTCGCCGTGTCGTAGGACGGCAACGCCTGGCCCGCCATGTCGCCGAGGTGGATGATCGTGTCCATGTAGAACTGGCGCCGCTCGTGCGTCGGCGACTCGTCGTCGACGATCTTCCCCGAGGCCTGGCGGTCCACGAAGCGCCGCAGCTCGTCGACGTGCTTGCCGTGGCCGCTCATGTCCGTGGCCAGGATGCAGGAGATGACGACCTTGCGCAGCTCCTTCCTCGCGTCGGTCGCGATGGACGCCAGGAAGTCGAGCTCGGGCCTCCGGAGCAACACCCCGAACGTGTAGGCCGCGTGGTGGTTCTCGAGCACGGACACGTCGTTGTAGAGCAGCGCCTTGTCGCTGCTCGAGTTCACCTCGAAGTCGTTGTTCCAGCCCGGGTGGTCGATGTCGTGGCAGAGCGCGGCGACCTTGAGCGACAGGATGTCGAGCGACGTGAGCCCCTTGGCGCGCCGCGTGTGGCAGAGCGCGACGAAGCTCAGGTGGAGCACGGCGACGCCGTGGCGGAAGTTGTGGTAGGGGTTGTCGTTGTAGGCGTCGCCGACCGCGCGGATGAACGCCTGGAACTTGCGCTCGTCGCAGTCGTGGCGCGACAGCGACGCGTGGTGCGCGAAGACGACCTGCGTGGAAATCAAATCTTCAAGTCGACTTCAATGTGCGCGTAAACGAAGGATTTGGACCGAAATCTTTCGCTCTGCTTCGAGAACTCGACGAGAGCGATCAATGCGTCCAAAGATCGACCGAATCGACTTCGATTTGGCCGAGCTAGAGAATTTCAAAGTTTGGTCGGGACGTCCCGAACCAGTGTTTGATTTCCACACAGAAGACGACCGTGATCGCCTGGTAGAGCGACTGCTCGGAGACGGCGAGCGCGTCCCACTCCAACGTCGCGATGACCCGGTCGTCGGCGTCCAAACCCTCGCCGTGGTACCGCGCGGACTGCACCGCGTCGACGGTGCCGCGCCGCGCGGCCGCGGACGTGAACTGCTGCAGGTACCCAAACTCCGAGTCCGTCGCCGCCGCGCGCTGCTTGAAGGCCTCCTCCGCCGCCGCGCGCCGCAGCGGGCCCCGCAGCTCGTCGCAGATGGTCTTCAGGATGAAGACGTCCTCCTCGTCGAAGCCCCGGTCGTCCTCCTTGTTCAGCGCCTCGATCACCGAAACCGTGACGCCCGCGTCGAGCACGGGCGCGCACAAAATGGACCGCGTGGAGAAGCCCGTGAGCTTGTCCGTCTGCACGTCGAAGCGCGCGTCGTTGTACGCGTCCTTGACGTTGATGAGCTCGTGGCTCTCGCCGACGATGCCTGGGCAGGACAAGGGTGATTCAAGTTCGCTTCAACGTGAGCGTTCCGCGCGCGCGCGTTCCGGGAAAAGCATCCACGCTTCGAGACCGTTCCGAGAGATGATCGCTCGTCCAAAAATCAGCCGAAACGAGTGGAAACTGGCCGAGATAGGAGCCTTTGAAGTTGGGCATGTCGCACCCTTGTCCCGCCCTGGACGATGCCCGCGATGCCCTTGCCCATGGGCAGCACGATGTCGTGGCTCGTGCCGTCGCTCCGCGTGCCCAGCGGGTTCGCGGCGATGAGCACGTTGCGCGCGGCGTCGACGAAGAACATGGTCACGTGCTCGCACTCCATGATGTCCTTCGCGACGGAGAGCAGGTTCGTCACGAGCTGGCGGCCCTGGCTGTCGGCCTCGTGGACGGCCTTCATGACCTGGAACAGCGCCGCCGCCTTGCGCCGCTCGCGCCGCTCCGCCTACGATTTTTTGGTCGCGCGTGACCGCGCCGCGCGGGGCAGCCCCCGGACCGGAAGCGCGCGCGCGCGCCGGCCGCGCGGCGCGGCGGGTCGCCGCGCGCGCGCGCGCGGCCGCCGCGCGCGCCCGCGCGGCCGCCGCGCCGCCGCGCGGGACCGGCGCGCCGCGGCCCGGCCCCCGGGCGCGCGCGGCCGTTCGGACGCCGGCGCGCGCGTCGGCCACGTGCCGCAGCTCCTCGAGGTCCATGCCGGCGAGCTTCGCCATGCCCCGCGTTTTTAGGGCGCCGTCCATCCTTTGCGTCGGCGCCTTGTCGGGCACGGAGAGCAGGGACTCCGTCTGGCCCTGCTGCTCGGTCATACGACGGAGGGAGCCAACGCGGAGGCTTTTGGAGAGCTCGATGCCATCCACTCTAAAAGATGAGCCGTTTTTGTTGGACTTCAACCTGGTAGCTCTTGAAATTATCCGGCACGAATGCGCGGCGGCTGCCCGCCGGCGTTGACACACGACAGCAATGATGGCCGCCCTCCTCTCCGCCGTCGCGCTGGTGGCGTCGGTCTGCGTCGGGCAGGACGCCGCGACCGCGGCGCGCCTGCCGCTCGCCCCGCCGCGCGCCGTCGACGCCGTCGAGCTCGCGGCGGCCCTCGGCGCCGCCGCGGGCGTGCGCGGCGACGCGCGCGGCGGCCGCGTCGGCGTCACGCGCGCCGAGACCGCGGACGGCGCGCGCGAGTTCTGGGTCGCGGCGCCCCTCGACGGCGGCGGCCGGCGCGTCCACGGCGCGACGGTGGGCGGCATGGTCTGGGCGTCGGGCGGCTACGCGCTCGTCGAGTCCGCGCTCCTCGCGGCGGTGCTCGCGGAGGTCGACTCGGCCGTCGTCGTCGACGTCGGCGCGCACTGCGGCTACTTCTCGCTCTTAGCCGCCACCGGCGGCGCGCGCGCGGTCGCGCTCGAGCCCAACGCGGAGCACCACCCCCTGCTGCGCCTCGGCGCGGCGCTCAACGGCGTCGGCGACGACGCCATCGCCCTCTTCGGCGCGCCGGCCGCGGACGTCGCGGAGGTCGCCTACGACGGCTGGTCGACGGACGACGCGGGCCGCCCGGGCTTCAACGCGTCCGCGTCGACGCCGCGGCGCGCCGTGCGGTGCGACGACGCCGTCGAGGCCGCGGAGGCCGGCTGGGGCGCGCCGGTGCGGCCCATCGCGTGGCTCAAGGTCGACGTCGAGGGCCAGGAGCTCGCGGCGCTCCGGTCCGCGGCGCGGCTCCTCGACCGCCCTCCGGGCCTCCGGCCGGGCGTCGTCTGGGTCGAGCTGAGCTGGCTCGACGGCGACGCCGCGAGCCTCGGCGCCGCGGCGGCGACCGTCGCGCTCCTCGTGCGCCGGGGCTACGACGTCCGCGCGGCGCGCGAGGGCGGCATCGCCTGGGACTGCGCGGAGAGCGCGCACGACTGCGACGACCCGCCGCGCGACGCGCGCGGCGAGGGCTGGCTCGACGTCGTCGACATCGAGCGCGGCTACGAGGCCGAGGGCGCGCGGCGGCTCCTCGAGGCCGCGGGCTACTGCGACCGCCGCGAGGCGTCCACCGCGCGCGGCGGCTGCCAGCTCGAGGTCGCCGCCGTCGCCGTCGAGTTCACGGCCGCGTTCTCGAACGCCGTCGTCCCCAGGGCCGCGGCGGCGATGAACGCGCGGCAGGCGCGGGCCGCCGGCGGCGAGGCCGCGGACTTCTCCATGTACGTCGCCGTCGGCGAGGAGGCCCACCAGGTCCTCTTCAGCGCGGCGGCGACGGACGACGAGATCCGCGACTTCTTCCACGCGGACGTCTGCGCCGCGGGCACGCGCGCCGTGTCCCGCGAGCTCTGCGACGCGTCCTGCGACGCGACCCTCGCGGAGCTGCGCGAGAAGCGGGCGCGGCGGCGGCGGCGCGCGGCCGAGGCGTCGTAACGCGAATCGCAACCGTCATCTTTAGACGCCGCGGGCCGGGGCGCGCGCCGCGGGAACGAGGGGTCGGCGGTCGAGATGTTCATTATCTGCGGGATGTAGTGGATTAACTGCGAGAGGGCGGAAAGCGATGGGGTCCGGCGCGGGCGAAAGGGGGCGAAGGGGGGCGCGGGCGGGACGGGCGCGCACCGGGACGAGGCGACGAGGAGGGGGACCACTCACGTGCCGTCGTCCTCGTCGTCGAAGCCGGCGGCGACGACGGCGCCCTCCGTCGCGGCGACGACGCACCGCGCCGCGGACGGGATCGCGGCGGCCGGCGCCGCGGCGGCCGGCGCGTCTCGTCGTCGCGACGACTCGCTCGCGGGGCGGCGCGCGGCGGCGTCGGGGGCCAGGGCGACCGCTGTCCGTCGCAGGTGTGTTCTCCGCGCCGTTCGTGTTGTCTGGAGCGCGAGGCGCATGGTCGAAGCGGTGCGCATGATGGTGTCGCGGTCGGCGGCGGAGGTGGTGCCCGAGGCTGAGGAGAACGTCAACATCCCGATCGCTGCCAAGGTGATGTTTGAGCAGTAGATGCTGCCCCTAAAAAACTACCCGCGCTCTCGATAACGATGAGCTAGCACGACGTGCCAAGAACCGCGCGTGTCGTGCGGCGAGCGCACGCGTTGCAGGAACTTTAGAGCCATGGGCCGCGCGTCGCGCGACGGCTCCATGGCGTCGTCCGAGGACCAGGGCAGCCTCTCGGGCGCCGCGAGCGTCGACGCGACCGTCGACAGCGCCATCACGGGCGCGACGTCCGAGGTCGTGCGCCACTTCAACTTCGAGGACCAGGACCACGAGCGGGCGACGTCCGCCGGGGGCAAGTTCAACTTCGAGGAGACCATCGGCGCCGCGGACTACCGCTTTACCGGGGACATGTCGATGTACAACGACCGGAACATGCGGACGCGGCGGCGGCTCCGCAAGGAGCCCAAGATCCGCGCCTGGCTCATGACCTTCTTCAACACCTTCGCCGTGGACCGCCTCAAGCGCCAGCACATGTACGACTTCGAGATGTGCTGCTGCAAGGCCATCTTCGCGTCGTCGGCGTTTTCCATGGACGAGGCCGTCGAGGCCGTCGAGGCGGACCTCGAGCACGACTTCCACCACGAGATGACGGCCGAGGACTTTTCCGATTCCCTCTTCGAGACCGTGGACATGTGGACGGCGTCCGTGGACATCGACGAGTACGTGGAATTCCTGCGGTGCCTGTACCTGCGGATCACGTACGAGGACGACCACGGCACGCGCAAGTTCCGCGACGTCGAGGACGTCGTCGCCCTCGACATGCGCGACAAGCGGAGCGAGGTGCCCCTGGGCGACATGCCGCCGGACACGGACGACAAGGTCAAGCTCGCGAAGCTCTGCCGGCGCATGACGAAGCGCCACGACGACTCGGACAGCGACGCGCGCGAGGACAGCGACGACGGCGACGACGCGGAGCACCGCGACTCCTTCCGCGCCGAGCCGGCGCCGCCGCCCCTGCGGCGCCGCAACTCCGTCCAGCGGCCGTCGCGCCGCGCGTCCGTGTCGTCCATCCACCTCAAGCACCGCCACAGCGACCGCGGCGCGCATTTGGAGAAGCTCGCGGACGCGATCAAGTCGCCGGCGGCCGCGCGGCCGCCGCGGTCCGCGACGCGCGGGGACCGCACGCCGAGGAGCCGCGAGCGGAGCCCGGAGCCCCGGCGCACGCAGCCGCCGCCGCGCGAGAACCGGAAGACGGACTACGAACTGTACGGGACCGGGGCGGGAACAGGGCGATTCAAGCTCGCTTCAACATGGGCGTTCCGCGCAGGATCGTTCCGGAAAAAGGATCCACGCCTCGAGGGCGCTCCGAGAGATCATCGCCCGTCCAAAAATGAGCCGAAACGAGGGGAAACTGACCGAGAGAGGAGCCTCCCAAGTTGGGAATGTCGCACGCTTTTCCCGCCAGGTACGGCACGGACGCGTACGACGACGGCCGCGGCACCGTCGACGCGCGCGCCGGCGGCGCCTTCGTCGTGCGCGCCGTCGACGACGACGGCGGCGATGCGGGCTACGACGGCGAGCCGGAGACGCCGCGCGCGACGAAGGCCGCCGCGCCGCGGCCGCCGCCCAAACCGAAGCGGAAGAAGGAGCCCGCGCGGAAGCTCCAGACCTTCTCCAAGGTCGTGTCGCGCATCGACACGGGCCAGTCGCCCAAGGTCAACCCGAAGCGCCGGATCGAGCAGCAGAAGAAATTGGCGGGCAAGACGCCGGGCGACGGCGTGCTCAGCTCCGGCGACGACGCCGCGCGCGTCCCGGACGAGCCCCCGAAGCGCACGATCCAGGACCAGCGCGCCGAGGAGGCCGAGCGGAAGAAGGCGCAGCTCCGCGAGCGCAAGGCCGCCGACGAGGCGCGCAGGAAGCGCCTCAAAGCCGAGGGCCCCGCGCCCGGGTCGCGCGCGGCCGTCGCCGCGATTCGCCAAAGGCACGCGGCGCCCAGGGCGTCGCCCTGGGTCATCGCCGACGACGACGGTTCGAGCGTCCAGTCCTCCGTGACCGCGTCGACCCAGTCGACCATGCGGCCCAAGCCCCTGCCGACGGGCCGCGCGTCGGCGCGGGCGATCAAGAGCCACCACCCGCCGCGGACGGGCTCGCCGAAGAAGGCGCCGCGGCCGTCCTTCGGGTCCGCCATGCGCGAGAAGAAGCAGGCGCGCTTCGACCCGACGCCGGCGCAGGGGTCCGCGCTCCCGCCGCGGCGGCCCGTGGACCACGTGCCGCCGCGGACGCCGCGGTCGACGCCGGGCACGCCGCGGAGCCGCGGCTCGCGCCGGGGCACGCCGGCGGACGCCGAGGACCGCGCGCGCGGGGGCCTCGGGGACGTCGAGCCCGGCGACGGCGAGCTCAACGCCTACGCGCCGTCGGTGCACGACTACCCCTTGGAGCACGCGGAGCTCGTGCCCCACCCGGCCTACATCACGCAGCCGGGCCTCGCCGACGCGCTCGAGGAGGCGCTCGGCAGCATGTACGAGCCCGCGCGCGGCGGCGACGACTACGCCGAGGCGCCGCACCAGCACGCCATGCCCACGGATCCGCACGTCGCGTCCGCGACGACGCTCGCGCCGCGGCTGCCGCCCGCGGGGGCGTCGACGGCGTCCCTGGGCAAGGCCCTGAAGCTCGAAAACGAAGAGCGGCGCACGCTCCAGGACTGGATGGCCGAGAACGCGCCGCCCGAGGAGATCGAGCGCATCATCAAGAAATTGGCGAACGAGCCGGAGCAGCCGCTGCCGTCCTTCGCCCAGCTCTACGCGCCGCGCATGCTCCGCGCGTCCGTGCGGCGCCTCACGGGCTCGGGCGACGGCGCGCTGCCGCCCCTCTTCGGCGGCGACCAGCCCGCGCCGCGGCGGAGCCGCCGCGGCGCGCGGATCCGCGACGCGCTGCCGCGCGCGACGCGCGCGGCCGACGGCGACGCGCCGCGGCCGTTGCCGACGCTGCACACGGCCCTCGACGACCCGGCGTCGCCCTACAACCTGCCGCACAAGCCGGGCACGTCGAACCAGGGCCACCGCGACGAGCTCCGGCCGCCGACGTCGACGGAGACGGACCTCTTCAAGTCCGGGCTCCCGCCGGAGCTCGAGCCCCTGCCGCGCATCCGGCGGCCCGAGCGGAAGCACCGCTTCCGCCGGCCCAAGTTCCTGCCCGTCGTCGCCAAGGAGCCCAAGCCCAAGACGACGCGGCGGCCGCTCGCCTACACGGGCACGTCCATCGCGGACCTCATGCGCATGCCGAGCCTCGTCGCGCCCCAGTTCGAGTTCTTCAGCCCCCACTTCTAAGATTCAAGTCGTGTTGTTCTTTTTCGACGGGGGTCCCGAAGTTTTACACTTCACCTTGGGTGGTGGTGCTGACGGCCCCACGGGCCGGCCGCACGTCAGGATGAAATAGACAGATGGATAGTCGCGACGAGCACGAGCGTGCCGATCATCGCAGATGGTTTGGTCGACGGGCTTGCGCTGAGGGCGCATGATCCGTCGCCACCGCCGGACGCGAGGAAGGCTGGCGCAGAAGCAGCTGTCGGAGCCGACGTTTCGCATGATCCCCATACGATGACGTCACCGCCGGACACGAGGAAGGGACAGGGTCCAAACGGAGAGCACCCTCCCGGCTCGCACCAGAGGTGGTCGATTTCGAATTTCACTTCATCCGGGTTCTCGTCCTCGCTGACGCTCGCGAGGTAGCAGCCGTCGCTGAGGCAGAGCTGCTCCGTCGCCTTACCGGGACCGTCGAGCGACCCCGTGAACACGGCTATGCCGTCTCTGGCGTCGCTTACGTTCATCGACGCCCCTTGCCACCCATCGCCGTGTCCGCGCGGTCCACCGGTGTCGGACATCACGATGGTGATGCACTCCTCTGCGCCGACGAAGACGAAACTGCGCACAAGGAAGGGCAGGAAAGGATGCGTGATCTTCATGGTCGTAGTGTGTCACGGGCCCTCACGGGCTTGTGATGTCGTTGCTTGCTGTCGCGCGAGCTGCGGGTTTGGCTGAGATCATTACACGCTGGAATGCTGGGTTCTAAGTTCAGCGTACACTTCAATAACCAAAAAATCAATCGCGATGGGGCTGGTTCCGCCAACTACTGCCACCTAGCAAGCCCATGAAGGCTGCCATCTTGCTGCTGGCCGCGGCGCGCGTCTCCGCGGAGGACGCGGCGACGTCGGCGCCGAGTATGGCGCCGCTGACCTTCGTCGTCGCCGGCGTCGCGGACCTGCGCGGCGCCGTCGAGAACGCGACGGCGGGCGGCCCCTGCCACGACGTCTTCCTCCAGGGCGACGTGACGCTGGGCCCGAGCGACGGCACGATGGTCGTCGCCGCCGGCGCCTGCGTGTCCGTCGTCGGCGACTACGCCCGGGGGGGCAGCGTCTTCGAGTGCGCCGGGTCCGGCGCGGCCGCGGGCGTCTTCTTCGCCGACGCGGGCGCGACGGCGTCCTTCGCCTACGTCGAGATCCGCGACAACGTCGCCACGGCGTCGCGCGGCGGCGGCGGCATCTTCGGCGCGGGCGCGGCGTCGCTGACCGTCGCGAACAGCAAGTTCGTGGACCTCTGGCAGCCCGCGTCGAACGGCGGGTCCATCGCCTGCGTCCAGTGCGTCGCCGTCGTCGTCGCGGGCTGCGAGTTCGTCGGGTCCTACTCCTTCGCCGGCGGCGGCTCGCTGGCCGTCGTCGTCTTCGGGTCCCTCGCAGGGCAGGACAAGAGTGCGAAATTCCCAACTTCAAAGGCTCCTTTCTCGGCCGTTTTCCACTCGTTTCGGCTGATTTTTGGACGAGCGATCATCTCTCGGAACGGTCTCGAAGCGTGGATGCTTTTCTCGGAACGCGCGCGCGCGGAACACTCACGTTGAAGCGACGTTGAATCTCTCTTGTCCTGCCCAGGTCCCTCGCGGTCAGCGACTGCGTCTTCGAGAACTCGACCGCGGGCAACGGCGGCGGCGCGATCGCCGCGGCCTACGGCGGCGCCTTCGTCGCGGCGCGCGTCACGATCCGCGGGAGCTCGTCGGGCCTCCGCGCGGGCGCCGTCGCGACGCTGAGCGTCCAGGCGGTCCGGTGGTCCGAGGTCGTCGTCGAGCGCGCGGCCGTCGACGGCTACGCCGTCGTCTTCGTCTCGAGCGTCGCGTCGCTGGCCGTGACCGATTCCGTCGTGCGCGGCGCGACGGCGACGGGCGCCTGCGCGGGCTTCTACGTGTCCACGGCGGCGGCGACCTTCGACAACGTCACCGTCGCCCGCGCCGTTTCCGGCGGCGACGGCGCGGCGCTCTACGTCGCCGAGCAGTCGACGGCCGTCGTCGCGCGGTCGCGCTTCGCGGACAACGCCGCGCTGGGCAGCGGCGGCGCCGTCGCCGTCGTCAACTCGGAGCTCCGCGTCGCGTCGTCGGCGCTCGCGGGCAACGCGGCCGGCGGTTTCGGCGGAGCGGCGTACGCCGTCGACGCCACCGCGGTCGCGGCGGGCGCCGCCCTCTTCGAAGGCAACGCGGCGGCGGCCGGCGGCGGCGCCATCTTCGGCCTGCGGTCCGCCGTCGTCGCGCGCGGCGCGACCTTCCTCGCCAACGACGGCGGCGCGGCGGGGAGCGGCGGCGCCGTCGCCGCGTCCGACGCCGATTCGTCCGTGCTCGCGTCGACGGGCTGCGTCTGGCACCGGGCAGGAAACAAAAAAATTCAACACGACTTCAAAATGAATGTATTCGAACAGTTTCGACGTACTTTTTTCACTGGCCAAGAAGAACTCGCCGAGAGAAAGCGATCCGTCCAAAAATCAGTCGAATCGACTTCGATGTGACCGAGCTCGAGAGGTTTGAAGTTTTGGCTGGACAGGGCGTTCCACTGGTTGTTTCCGGCACAGGTCTGGCACCGCCTCTCCTTCGAGGGGTTCAACCTCGACGAGGACGACGAGGTGACCTACGCCGGCTGCGCGCGCTTCGTCCTCTGGAGCGCGGCGGGCGGGCCCGGGGCCTACGTCGACGCGCGGGGCGCGCGGCTCGCGGCGCGCGCGGTCTTCGGCGCGGACTGGGATTTTTGTTTAGCGCCGGGCGCCTACGAGCTCCGGGCGGACGCGGCGACGGCGCGCACGGACCCGGCGGAGTGCGGCACGGGCGGGTTGACCGACTGGGACGGCGTCGACCCGGCGCCGGCGCTGACCGCGCGGCGCGCGGGCGAGGCGGCGCCGGTCCTGTCGCTCGAGCTCCGCGGGGGCGACGACGCGCGGCGCTACGTCGACGCCGCGCTCGTCGTCGACGACGACGGCGGCGGCGCGACGGTCTTCGCGGGCAACGCGGCGGGCGTCGGCGGCGCCGTCGCGGCGCTCGACGGCGCGTCCGTCGACGCCGTCGGCGTCTTCGTCGAGGGCAACGCCGCGACGACGACGAGCCACGGCATCGCCGGCGGCGGCGGCGTCTACGTCGACGCCCTGAGCCGCGCGTCGCTCACGAACTGCTCGCTCGCGGGCAACTCGGCGCCGCGCAGCGGCGGCCACGTCTTCACGAACCTCCTGAGCGAGCTCGACCTCATTCGCTGCGACCTCTCCGCGGGCGCCGCGCGCGACGGCGGCGCCCTGGCCCTCGCCGGCGTCGCCCGCGCGACCGTCGTCGCGTCGGCGCTGCGCGGCAACGCGGCGTCGCGCAACGGCGGCGCGGTCATCATGCAGAGCGCGGCCCAGGGCGACCGGACGTTCACGCTCGGGTCCTTCTCCGGCAACGCCGCGGGCGACGACGGCGGCGCGGTCTACGCCTGGGAGCTGACGGCGGCCTTCGCGGGCGTCGCCTTCGACGGCAACGAGGCGGCGGGCGACGGCGGCGCGCTGATCCTCGCGGGCATGGACGCGGCGGCGACGACGTTCGGCGCGGCGTGCGGCGTGACGTTGGAAGTCGCGGCGGACTGGCGCTTCACGACGGGCCGCAACGACTCGAACTACAGCCAGGCGTGCCCGCTCAACGACCGCGAGGCCGCGGCGACGATCACCTTCGGCACCTGCGACGAGACGCCGACGTCCTGCCTCTGGAGCGAGGACCCGGACGGCGGCGGCTGGGACTGCGGCGGCTGCGTCTGTCCGAACGACGGCGTCGGCGGCCTCGAGCTGCGCCGGGTCGACGGCAACGCGTCGACGTTCGTCGCCAAGGTGCCCCTCGTCGCGAACCAGCGCGGCTTCGTCGCGGACCTGTGCTTGGAAGACGGCACCTACCGCCTCGTCGCCGAGGACACGGTCCACGGCGAGGGCTGGTGGGGCGGCCAGTTCGAAGCGCTGCTCCGCGACGAGGTCTCGGGCGCGACGACCTACGCGGTGCCGCCGACGGCCGTGGCCCCGGGCGTCGGCGCGGCCGTGGACTTTGACGCGTCGTTTCGCAAGACGGCGACGTCCGCGACGGGGAACGTCGCCGCCGCGGGCGGCGGCGTCGCGTTCCTCGCGGACTCGGGCGTCGACCTGTCCGCGGTCGTCCTGGACGGCAACGGCGCGTCCTACGGCCCCGTGACGGCGACGCCCGCGGCGACGCTGGTCCTGGCGACGCCGGGCCCCTACGCGCTGTCGTCGGGCGACGCGCTCGCGTCGGGCGCCGCGCGGCTCTGCCTCCTCGACGCGCTGGGCAGCGTCGTCACGTCCGAGTCGTCGTCGCTGCTCGCCGTGTCGAGCGCGGACGAGCGCGTCGTCGTGTCGTCGAACCTCTTCCGCTTCGTCGAGGGCTGCGCGAGCCTCGACGGCCTCGTGGCGACGCGGCGCGCGGGCGCGACGGCCACTTTGAACGCGACGGCCTTCGTCGACGGCCTCGCGGGCGACGGCGTCGCCTTTGACGTCGTGTTCCGGGCCTGCGGCGAGGGCGAGATGGAGGTGGCGGCGCAGGACGCGGGGAACACGGTCTGCGTCGACTGCGCGCCGGACGAGTACTGGGACGCCGGGTCGTGCTACGCGTGCCGCGACGGCATGGCCTGCGGCGGCGCGGCCCTCGGGGACCGCCTCCTCGCGACGCTCGACGCGGAGCGCGGCTGGTGGCGGTCCGCGGCCACGGCGTCGGCGTTCTACCGCTGCGTCGGCGACCGCTGGTGCCCCGGCGGCGCGGGCGTCGGCGACGACCTCTGCCGCGACGGCCACGAGGGCCCGGGCTGCGCGTCCTGCGCGTACCCGACCTACTACTTCGACCGGTCGTCCCTCGTCTGCGAGCGGTGCCGCGCGGGCCAGGAGGCGCTCACCGTCGCCGTCTGCGTCGCCGCGCTCGCGGCCGCGGTCGCGGCGTTCGCCTACGGCGCGAAATACGCGAGCGACCACGCGGTGCAGCTCCAGTCGTCCGCGGTCTACCGCGGCGCGTCGAGCGAGCGCGTGCCCATCCTCTGGGCCGCGTTCCAGATCATCGCGTCCGTGGACCACACGCTCGACGTCAAGTTCCCGCGCGCCGTCGAGGACGCGCTCAAGTTCCTCAAGCTCTTCGAGCTCGAGTTCGGCCTCTTGCCCGCGAACTGCATCGTGAAATACAGCATCTACGAGAAGCTGCTCATGCAGACCGTCGCGCCCATCACCGTCGTGCTCCTCCTCGGCGCCGCGGCGCCGCTCCACGCGCGGCTCCGGCCGCGCGCGCGCGGCGTGCTCGGCCTCCACGCCTGGGCCGCGCTCTTCTGCCTCTTTGTGGTTTACCCGGCGACGTCGAACACGATCGCCGAGGTGCTGCGGCGCTGCGAGCGCTACGACGACGCCTGGAGCCACGGCTACGTCGCCGCGGACGTGTCGAAGCGCTGCGGCACGGCGACGAACGGCGTCTACCGCGCCTACGCGGGCGCCATGCTCGCGGTCGTCACCCTGGGCACGCCCGCGAGCTACTTCGCGATCCTCTTCCGCTACCGCGCGAAGATCTGCCCGCCGGCGAAGCGCGAGAACGCCGCGCGGCGCATCCGCGACGCGGACCCGGACCTGGAGGCCATCTCGTTCTTGTTTCGCAAGTACCGGCCGGCGATGCTCTACGGCGAGCCCTACGACATGGCGCGGCGCGTCGCGCTCATCGTCGCGGTGTCGTTCTGCGGCAAGGCGACGGGCGGGCTCCGCGCGTCCGCGGGCCTCTTCCTGAGCATGGCCTTCCTCATGGTCGGGCGGGACCTGAGCCTCTACAACGACCGGCTCACGAACGTGCTCAGCCACGCGGCGAACTGGGCCGTCTTCGTCGTCTTCGTCTCCGCGTTCCTCGTGAAGAACCGGCCCTTCGGCTACGAGAACCAGGAGCTCGCGGCGGTGCTCTTCGCCGTCATGGCCGTGCTGCTGGGGACCTTCGTGATCACGTTCCTGCGGGACCGCTCGCAGTCGAAGCTCAACGAGCTGAGGCTGCGGGAGATGGAGTTCCGGGAGATCGAGGGCAACCTCGACGTCGCGCAGCTCCGCGGAGACGTCTTACGATTACGGACGCGCTACGAGCCGGACCTGCTCACCCTCGAGCGCGACTCGCTAAAGCTCGTGCCGGACATGGCGCGCGCGAACGAGCAGCTCGGGAAGCAGCCGTCGACGCTCGCGGAGGTCGCGAGCCACCGCGGGTCCGTCGTCGAGCTGCTCGCGGACGCGGTCACGGCGCCCGCCGCCCGCCTCCGCAAGTCGCTCCTGCCGTCGCGGGCCGCGAGCGTCCGGGAGCCGACGATCTCCTTCACGACGGCGCGCTACCCGTGCTACGTCATCCCGCTGTCGCGGCTCCGAGACCTGGACGTCCTACCGACGCACGAGGCCGCGCTCGACGCGGGCCTCCTCGAGGTCCTCACGCCCAACGGCGCCGCGCCGAACTCCGCGTTCACCTACTTCATCTCCCAGAACTGGGAGACCTTCGGCGAGTCGCCGCACCCGGACAACGCGCGGCACACGAAGCTCCGGTGGCTCAAGAACATGCGGCGCCACATGCGCATCCCGGCCGCGGTCGACGAGGTCTGGATCTGGTGGGATCTGGTGTCCGTGCCCCAGGCGCGCGCGAACCGCAGGGAGCAGCTCAACGCGATCCACTCGCTCTGCTACTACGCCCAGCTCTGCAGCCGCTTCATCCCGCTGGTCCGCGACGAGCGCGCGTGGCTCGAGCTCTACGGCGAGTCGCTCAAGAACCCGGTGTTCCCGACGGCGGGCACGCTCGAGACCTACGCCGCGCGCGGCTGGTGCCGCCTCGAGATTTTAGCAGCGCTGGCCCCGAAGAAGTTCTCGACGGGCGCGTGGCGGCCGGGCCCGCGGAGCGTGCGCTTCCGCTACCACCACGACCCGCGCGACGCGGGCGTCGGCCCCGTGCTCTCGCCGGAGCTGCTCCGGGACCCGACGCGGGGCAACTTCACGGACCCGGCCGACGCGGACGTCGTCCGCCCCGTGCTCCGCCTCATCGCGGACCGCTACGCGGAGTACGCGCGGTCCGGCTCCGACGCGTGGGACGCGACGGTCGACGTCCACGCGCGGCCCGATTGGCTCAAGCGGATCGCCGGCGTCGACCCGGACGCGCGCGAGGCGACCTTCCTCGGCGACGTGCCCCGCTTCACGGAGAACGAGGACCAGTGGCGCGCGCGGGCCTGCAGCTCGCCGCCGCGCCTCGCGGGCGCACCGGCGACGGCGCCCGCGCGGCTCGACTGGCGCGGCGGCGGCGACGCCGCGGTCCGCGTCGACGACGGCGAGGAGGGCGGCTCCCTCCTCTGCGGCGACTTCTCCGCGCTCAACGCCGCGCTGACGACGCGGTAAGGACCGGGGTCGCCGCGCGGCGCGGCGGCGCAGGACTCGGTTCATTTCCCTGCACCTTGAACAGCAAGTTGCATGACTTCGGCGAGCTACTCAATTAGCTACTCCAAGCTCTCCGGCGCCACGCCCAGCGCCTGCACGCCGATGGACTACGCGGACATGGACAACGACGAGAAGAAGAAGGCGCGGCGCGCGGCGCGATTTGCCGCGGACGCACAACAACCGCCGCCGCCGCCACCAAAAAAAACCTTCGCCCACCCGGGGGGCAAGATGACGTCCAACAAGGAGGAGGCGACGCGCAAGTACCTCGCGCGCCGCGGCGATTCGCTCAACGCGGCGCAGCGCGCGGCGCTCGCCGGCGTCGCGCCGCCGGCCGCGGCCGGCGCCGACGGCGACCGCGCGGACAAGGTCTTCGTGGGCAACCTGCCCTTTTCGACGACGAGCGCCGGGCTCCGGGCCATGTTCGAGCGCTACGAGATCAAGGGCGCGAAGATCGTCGCGGACCGCGCGACGAACCGCAGCAAGGGCTTCGGCTTCGTGACCTTCGCGACCGAGGCCGACGCCGCGGCCGCGGTGCAGGCGTTCGCCGGCGTCTCCGTCGAAGGCCGGCCGCTGTCCGTGCGCTTCGCGACGCGGCGCGGCACGGGCAAGGTCGGGGGCGCCGCGGCGCCGTCGCTGGGCAAGGACGCGGGCTGGGGCTCCTGGGCGACGCCCGCGGCGACGGCCGCGGCGACGCCGCGGACGCAGCAGGCGGTGCCGGACGACCCGGACGAGCCCGCGGCGCCCATGGCCCACACGGCGCGCGCCGAGGCCGCGGGCGGCGACAGCCTGGACGCCGCCGAGGCCCTGTCGCCGCGGGCCGCCGCCGCGGCGCTCAACACGGAGAAGTGCGAGGACGCGTACGTCGAACCCGTGACCCTGTGGAAGATCGCCGTCGCGGCGGACGTCGCGGCCTGGGAGGCGGCGGGCGTGTTGCGCGGGTCCGACCTCGACGTCCGCGACGGCTTCCTCCACTTCTCCGACGCTAAACAGGTCAAGGTCGTCGCGGCGCTCTTTTTTAAGGGCGTTCCGGCGAAGCTCGCGCGCCTCGACGTCGACTTCGTGCCCGAGGGCGCCCGGTGGCACGACGGCGCCGCCGTGGCCGACGGCGCGCTCAAGGGGCGGTCGGGCTGCCACGTGCGCAAGCTCAAGGACGGCTGCCTCCACGTCCACGCGGACCCGGCGCTCCCGTTCCCGCTCTTCGACGTCTTCGACCTGCCCCTCGCCGCCGACGGCGAGAAACACGACTTCCCGCCGGAGTGCACCATGACCGAGGGGCCCAAGGAGCAGACCATCGGCGGCTTTAAGATCGCGTACTAGTCGTGGGCAGACGCGTACGCCTCAGCGCATCGACGAGCTTTGCTGAAGCCGTCGCTGAACTGAGCTCATGGGTTTGCCTCGACCTTCCAGGTGTCGAGCGCCGCCGGGATCACCGTCGAACGCTCCACGGCCCAGCGGACGCGGCCGGCAACGAACGCGTCGCGTCTCGACCGCTGCGCGTCGCCGCGTCGTCGACGACTCCGGTGCGCGCGCGCAACGCGCACGACATCATGCGCCGCCTGCTCCTGCTGGCCCTCGCCGCCGCGGATTTGACGCGCGGCGAGGCGCCGTCGTTCCTGCGGCGCACGGCGCTGTCCATGTGCGAGATGGCGCCGCGCGAGGGCGCCGTCGAGGACTGCCGCTGCGACTTCGAGACGGCCGACGACGCGACGAGCGAATTCTTCGGCCCGCTCCTGCGCGACCTCACGCGGCGGTCGTTCTTCCGCTACTTCAAGGTCGCCCTGGACCGGCCCTGCCCCTACTGGCCCGACGACGGCATGTGCGCGCGGCGCGAGTGCGCCGTCGAGAGCTGCGCGGACGACGAGGTGCCCGCGCCGTGGCTCGAGGAGGAGCGGAACCGGTCCGAGTGGCGCGGCAGAGGCGGCGGCGACGCCTTACCGGGCTTCCTCTGCGAGGCCGTCGACGCGGGCCCCGACGCGGCCGTGGACCGGTCCTTCGCGGCGACCGTCGACTGGTCCGAGAGCGGCGGCGACGAGGTCTGGATCGACCAGCCCGACGACGAAAGTGGCATGATCTACGTCGATCTCAAGGCGAACCCGGAGGGCCACACGGGCTACGACGGCGAGCCGGCGCGGCGCATCTGGCGCGCCATCTACGAGGAGAACTGCTTCGACCTCGACGAGGCGCCGTCGCCCAAGGAGCAGCTCGTGCTCGCGTGGCGCCGCGACGTCGTGAGAGATACGGGCGCCCCCTCGATACAGGGCCAGTGCCTCGAGCGCCGCGTGTTCTACAAGCTCGTGTCGGGCCTCCAGGCGTCGATCTCGACGCACATCGCGACGTCGGACTTTGGGTTCTGGGACGTCGTGCGGTCCGCGCCCGCGGACTTCCGGCGGCGGTCCTCGGCGTTTTTCGGCGCGTTCTTCGAGAAGTGCCTCCCGGGCGAGGACACGTGCGTCGCGGACGCGGCGCCGCAGTCGTCGCCCTTCGTCAACGACGCCCTTTTCGTGGACCGCGTCGGCGGCCACCGGGACCGCCTCGACAACCTCTACTTCGCGTACTTGTTCGTGCTCCGGGCGGTGACGCGCCGCGTGGAACTCAACCGCTGGTTTGGGACGTCCCGACCAAACTTTGAAATTCTCTCGCTCGGTCACATCGAAGTCGATTTGGCTGATTTTTGGACGGATCGATTGCTCTCGTCGAGTTCTCGAAGCGCGGCGGAAGTGTCAAAGCATTCGAATACGCGCACATTGGAATTCGGGTTGAAGATTTGATTTCCACCCAGGTGACGCGGGCCGGCGCGGAGCTCGTCGACTACGACTACGCGACGGGCGACGCGGCCGACGACGCTATGACCGCGGCGCTCGTGCGGCGGCTCGTGGCGTCGGAGGCGGCGCCGCTCGACGCGCGCGGCGACTGCGCGGCGGCGGACGCCGCGCGCGCGGCCTTTGACGAGACGCTCCTGTTCGCGGCGCCCGAGGACGCGCGCATGTCGCCGCTGGAGCGCGCGCTCGCGCGCGAGCACGTCGACGAGCTCCGGGGCCAGTTCCTGTCGCGCTTCCGCAACGTGTCGCAGATCATGGACTGCGTGACCTGCGAGCGGTGCCGGCTCTGGGGGAAGCTGCAGATCCTGGGCCTCGGCACGGCGCTCAAGATCCTGCTCGCGGACGGCGACGCCTTCGGGCTCGGCGTGCTCCAGCGCAACGAGGTCGTCGCGCTCGTGAACACGCTCGCGCAGCTCGCCAAGTCCGTCGACTCGATCCGCGCGTGGCAGAAGCGCGACGTCCGCCGCGCGACGGCGAAGATGGCCGCGCTCGCCGGCCTCGGGCTTGTCGTCTCCGCGGTGTTCGCGCGGCTCGCCTGGCGCCGCGCGCGGCCGAAGGCGGACTAACACGTCTTTACTTTACTTTGAACGAGCACAACACAACAGCACATGGGGGGTCAGGCGTCGGCCATCTGCCGCTTGAAGTCGGCCTGCGCGTCGCTCAGCCGGCGGAAGACGTCGTACTTCGCGTCGTGGAAGGTCCGGAGCTTCGGGTCCGGCGCGACGACGTCGGCGGCGCGCGTCATGGCGGCCATGGCCGCGAGGAGCGTCGGGTGCGCGTTCGCCGCCGTCGCCGCGAGCGCCGCGGCGCCCAGCAGCACGGCCTCGGCCTCCTCCGGCAGCGACACGGGCACGTCGAGCGCGTCGGCGAGCGCGCGCACGTAGAGGGCGTTCCGCGCCATGCCGCCCGTCACGACGGCGGCGGCGCAGGGCGCGTGGCCCGAGGCCTCCAACACTTCCAGCACGTGGCGCGTCTGGTAGGCCAACGCGAGCACGGTGGCCAGATACACGACGGCCAGGTTGTCGAGCGTCGGATCGAGCTTCAGACCGACGACGCTCCCTGCCCGGGACGGGTCCGCCAGGGGCGCCCGGTTGCCGCGGAAGTCCGGGTCCACGTGGACGTGCCGCGCGAGCTCGAAGACCGCGACGCCCCGCTCGCGCGCGAGCGCGTCGAGCCGCGAATTCAACAAGTCGTAGACCTCGCCCGGCGGGCAGTCCACGGGCCTGCCGGCGTGCGACGCGACGACGTGGTCCAGGAGCATGCCCGCGGCGCTCTGGCCGCCCTCGCTGAGCCACGTGCCCGGCACCATCGCGCCCGCGTAGGGCCCCCAGACGCCCGGCGCGTAGACGGCCTCGCGGCTCGTGGCCATGATGCAGCACGACGTGCCCGCGATGATGGCCACGGTCCGCTCCGGCGGCTCGCCCGACGCCGCGAGGGACCCGACGCCGCCCGCGTGCGCGTCGATCATGCCCGACGCGACGGCGACGGACCGCGGCAGCCCGAGGTCGCGCGCCGCCGCGGCCGTCAGCCCGTTGCCCACGGCCGCCCCCGGCGCCGCGAAGGCCCCGCCGATGTCGCAGGACCGCCGGAGGTCCGCGAGGCCGCACACCGCCAGGAACGAGTCGTCCCAGTGCTTTTTCGGGTGCCAGTTCCATTTGCAGACGACGGTGCACGTCGACCGCGTGCCGTCGCCCGACGCGCGCCAGCTCAGGTAGTCCGCGAGGTCGAAGAGGCGGCAGCCCGGCGCGACGCACTCGGGCTTGTGCTTCTTCAGCCAGGCGATCTTCGGCATCTCCATCTCGGGGCTGATGACGCCGCCGACGCATTGTAAAGCGCCGTGGCCCGACGCCGTGATCGCCGCGGCCTCCGCCGTCGCGCGGTGGTCCATCCACACGACGACGTTCCGCACGTCGTCGCCCGCGACGACGGGCTCGTCGGCGACGGACACGGCCGCGCCCGCGCCGTCGACGACGACCAGGGAACAGGTGGCGTCGAAGCCCAAACCCACGACGGCCTCCGCGGGGCACCCGGCCTTGGACACGGCCTCGCGCACGCTCAGGCAGACGGCGCGCCAGATGTCGTCGCCGCTCTGCTCGACGAAGTCGCCCTCGCCGTAGGTCCACGTGCGGATCGCCGCGGACGCCGTCGCCAGGCGCGACTCCATAGCCCGCGTCGAAGACGCCCGCGCGCGCGGAGCCCGTGCCGACGTCGACGCCGACGACGACGCGCCGCGGCGTGAAGCAGTTGAACATGGGGCCTGCGGGGGACCGCGGCGCGCGCGCGCGCGGCGCGCGGCGTTTTTTCGAGCGTCGTCTCTCGGCCGGGCTCATCTAATGAGATTCCACGTGTAAGTTTCTTCCCCAAAAGCAGTGTCGGTTGTCCCTATACTTTCCTAATCTTCGCCCGAAGTGAAGTCGGCATGCCATGGGACGCCGGAATCGTGCGCGGTCCGCGCGCCGCAGTCCACTCGATTGCGGCAAGTGCGATCGAGCGGGAATCTGCTTCAATTTTGCCTTCACCGAGGCTTCAAGAAGGCGCGGCCGCGAGTTAGTCGCGAGCGGCTCACTTAGCGGCTCATCCCTTATCGGGTAACACATCCCGACAGTAGATTAAATAATGGAGGCAGCGAGTGGTCTGTTATGGAAATGTTTCCAACAGAAATTTCAATCGAAAGTGTTTACATTGCGGCGCCGCCAGTCCTACAGCAGCGCCCCGAGGGCCAGGGCGAAGACGGCCGCGGCGACTGCGGCGTTCAGGAGGTGGAGCTGGAGGAGGGCGAGCGCCTCGAGCGCGGACCGGTGGAGCGCCGCGGTCGTCGCGGCGTAGGTGAGCGCGACGAACGTGGCCCCCGCCGCGGCGCCCGCGAGTTTCGCCGCGCGCGCGCCCGCCGCGCCGCGGTCGGGCTCGTCGTCGAGGTCGAGCATCGCGCGGAGCGTCACGAACGACGGCTCGGGCGTCCGCGTCGCGTGGTAGGCCTTCAGCTTGCCGTCGTAGACGGAGCAGTCCAGGGGCAGCGTGAGCTCCACGGGCCCGCTCCCGTCGCCCGCGTCGTAGAGCGCCGACATGGGCACGGCGACGACCCCCAGGAGCGCGTCCGCGAACGTGTTGAAGTTGTCGTCCTCCGAGTCGAAGACGGCGACGTGGAGCTCCTGGCTCGACTCGTGGACGTCGAAGAGGAAGGTCGCCGGGTGCTCCCAGGCCGGGTCGCAGTCGTCGTGGATCGTCGTCGTCGTCCGCTTCGTCGCGCCCAAGGTGCAGACGACGTAGGGATCCGACTTGCCGCCGACGTCGTTGTTGAGCAGGCTCGCGCAGGACGCGATTTCCACGCGCAGCTGCCCGATCGGGTGCGACGCGTCGCGCGCGCTCTCCTCCGGGAGCACGTCCAGCGCGCGGTCCGGCCCGAGGAAGAGCGTCGCCAAATCGACGGTCGCGCGCGCGGGCCAGCAGAGCCGCGCGGCGATGACGTCGTCGAGGAGGCGCTGGATGAAGCGGTCGATGGCTCCCAGCGAGATGCCCACGGGCAGCGCCGTCACGGCCTCGTGGACGCCGAACTCGGAGTTGATGGTCAGCGTCGGCTTGCGCAGGAAGCCGTACCGGAGGAGCGACGCGCACGGCAGCCCCGTCGTGAGCGGGCCGAGCTTGAGGCGCAGCGCGCCCTCGACGCCGAAGCGCGACACCTGGCCCTCGACGTCCGGCAGCTCGTCGCCCCCGAGGTTCGCCTCCATGTCGAGGCGCACGCGGTAGCCGTGGTAGAGCACGCCCACGTCGACGTCGACGAAGTCGTAGCCCGTCAGCGAGGGCGCGACCGCGACGGACGTGAGCGTCGGCGCCTCGGAGCCGATGTCGAGCTCGAGCTTCGTGAGCTTGTCGATGGCCCGGTTCTCCATCCGCGCGATGGCCGCGTTCGCGATGGGGAGCACTAAGACGTTGACGCTGTTGTTGATCGTCGCGCGGATCGTCGGCCAGAAGAACTCGAGCCCGAGGCTCAGGAGCCGCACGACCCACGGCGGCCAGGGGCGCGGCGTCGCCGCCGTCGCCGGCTTGCGCTGGACGAAGACCCAGAGGAGCGCGCGCAGCAGGCACCCGCCGACCACCGCGACGACGCGCGACGAGCCCGCCTCGAACTTGGCCAGGCGCCGGAGGCCGACCCAGTTCTCGAGCGCGACGGCCGCGACGCCCTCGCCGGAGGACCGCGCCGCGTACCAGACGTCGGACCGCCGCGACGCGCGCGCGAAGAGGACCATGACCTCAGCGTTGGGCGGCGCGCGGTGCTTCACGCGCAGGGCCGCGTGGAACTGCTGGAGGCGGTCGAAGGCCACGACGCCCTCGTCGAGCGTCTTGAACTGGCGCCGCTTCGGCGTCTTGCCGTCGTGGTCGTAGAGCACGAGCACCGCGTCCACGCGCGGCGACACCGCGTCCCATTCGGCGCCGTTCAAAGCAGCCATTGGCGGCGCGACGTGCTCGGCTTTTCCTTTGTGGCATTTGAGCGAGGGCAACTAAAATGCTTGAATTTTCGATCCAAAGCCGTATATCAAGGCACAACCGAAAGCAGCGCACACGCCTTCGTTTCAGCGCCTTGCCTCGTTTCCAACAACACACCACCAAGCAACCATGCGCGAGATCGTCCACATCCAGGGAGGCCAGTGCGGCAACCAGATCGGCGCCAAGTTCTGGGAGGTCATCTCCGATGAGCACGGCGTCGACCCCACGGGCACGTACCACGGCGACTCGGACCTCCAGCTCGAGCGCATCAACGTGTACTACAACGAGGCCACGGGCGGCCGCTACGTGCCCCGCGCGATCCTCATGGACCTCGAGCCCGGCACCATGGACTCCGTCCGCGCGGGCCCCTTCGGCCAGCTCTTCCGCCCCGACAACTTCGTCTTCGGCCAGACGGGCGCGGGCAACAACTGGGCCAAGGGCCACTACACGGAGGGCGCCGAGCTCATCGACTCCGTCCTCGACGTCGTCCGCAAGGAGGCCGAGTCCTGCGACTGCCTCCAGGGCTTCCAGCTCACGCACTCCATGGGCGGCGGCACGGGCGCCGGCATGGGCACGCTCCTCATCTCCAAGATCCGCGAGGAGTACCCCGACCGCGTCATGTCGACCTACTCGGTGATCCCGTCGCCCAAGGTGTCGGACACGGTCGTCGAGCCCTACAACGCGACCCTCTCCGTCCACCAGCTCGTCGAGAACTCGGACCAGTGCTTCACGCTCGACAACGAGGCGCTCTACGACATCTGCTTCCGCACGCTCAAGCTCACGACGCCGACGTACGGCGACCTCAACCACCTCATCGCGGCGGCCCTCTGCGGCACGACGTGCTCCCTGCGCTTCCCCGGCCAGCTCAACTGCGACCTCCGCAAGCTCGCGGTCAACATGGTCCCGTTCCCCCGCCTCCACTTCTTCATGGTCGGCTTCGCGCCCCTCACGTCGCGCGGCTCCCAGCAGTACCGCGCCCTCACGGTGCCGGAGCTCACGCAGCAGCAGTTCGACGCGAAGAACATGATGTGCGCCGCGGACCCCCGCCACGGCCGTTACCTCACGTGCTCGTGCCTCTTCCGCGGCCGCATGTCGACGAAGGAGGTCGACGAGCAGATGCTCAATGTCATCAACAAGAACTCGTCGTACTTCGTCGAGTGGATCCCGAACAACGTCAAGTCGGCGATCTGCGACATCCCGCCCAAGGGCCTCAAGATGTCGACGACGTTCATCGGCAACTCGACGGCGATCCAGGAGACGTGGAAGCGCGTGGCCGAGCAGTTCACGGCCATGTTCCGCCGCAAGGCGTTCCTCCACTGGTACACGGGCGAGGGCATGGACGAGATGGAGTTCACGGAGGCCGAGTCCAACATGAACGACCTCGTCTCCGAGTACCAGCAGTACCAGGACGCGACGGCCGAGGAGGAGGGCGAGTTCGACGAGGACGAGGAGGGCGACGACATGATGGGCTAAGCGCGCCGCGGCCCGGCGCGCGCCCCACTGCGACGAGGCAAAGACAAGTCCTCCTCCGAGTCGGCCGGCGCCGCCACCCCCCTCCCCGTTTAGCTAGTTGTAAGTTCTTCAAGATCAAGTTTTCTGCGCGACGAAGACGATACCTCGAGCGATGCTGGTGGACCTCGTCAGAAGCGGGAAGAAAGGCTGTATTTATTTTGGTGGTTGTGCTGCAACTTGCAGGGTGTTGCCGCGGTCATCAGGACTGAGCCATCCAAATCTGCCATCCCGGTGCTCCTGTCCGCCCCACCGCGCGCCGCGCTGATCGGCACGCGAGAGAACCTGCGAGAAATGAGCGTGGAAACCGTCCAACCCGGCGCCAAAATTTCTCCCGATGGTTCGGCCGAGGACAGTGGCGTGGTGCCAGTAGTGTCCGTCGTGGCGGAGGCTGGGGACGTGGCTGAGCCCATCGTCGCCGTCACGGCCGAGGAGATGGCGGGCGCGCACGGCATGGCGTGGTGGGCGAACTTCTGGATGGTGACTTATGGGACGTGCACGTGGCCGGTCCACCTGGTCTGCACGTGCTGCTTCTTCCCGAATGGGCTGCGCTGGCTCGGGCTGTGCGAGACGCCGATGCGTTTCTCGATCAATCGCAGCGAGCTCATCGTCGAGCGGGAGGAGGGCTGCACGACCGTCGTGCCGAAGCCGTGTTGTGGAGACTACTTCCTGAAGCGCTACGTCTTCCCGGCGTCGAGCGTGCAGCGCGCCTTGGTACTGCGACAGGACGTGCTGTACGAGATCATCGCGTCGTCGGGCGGCGTCGGGCCCGACAGCGGCGGCGGAGCGTCAGTTGGAGCGAAGGACGAGGGGCAGCCGGTCGAGGTGCACTCGCCCGAGGACATCAAAACGCTGCCGAGCTCGTGCGACATCTTGTGCGAGGGCCCGCGCAGCTTCCCGCTGTGGCTCTATGGGTGCTGCTACTCGACGGCGTGCATGGAACCGCACAGGATGCAGAGCATGGGCACCGTCGGGCGCCATCAGTGCGCTTACCTCGCGGTGCGCGTGAGCGACGAGCGTGCGGAGAACGGGCGCGTCGCGCTCTCGCGCCGCGCGTGGCGTCCGGGCGCGGTCGAATCGCTCTTCAAGTATCGCGATGCGCTGAACGACCATCTCGCTGCGCGTGGAGAGTAACAAGGTGACGAATGTCGGGGAACCCCTGCTGTGTGCAGCAGCCCAAGTTAAGTTGCACTGCAACTTGCAGGGTAGGCCCTTGGAAAGTCGGGGTGTTGCCGCGCCGCGCCGAGCCATCGACGCCATCGAAGCGACGCCGCAGTCGCCTTTGGCGCGCGCGCTGCGCGCCGTACAGAACGCCATGGAGGACGGCGACGCCTTCGAGCTCGACGACCTCGACGCGCTCCTCGACGCGGAGCCCGTCGAGGCCGAGGAGTACGACGAAGTCGCGCCCGTGAGCGCGCCCACGAAGGTCGTCACGGACTACAGCAAGTGGGACAGGCTGGGCAAGACCATCGACGAGGAGGAGGACGAGGAGGAGCCCGAGGTCTACAACGACGAGCAGCAGAAGACCTGGGACCGCATGGTCAAGGCGTCGGGGCTCCAGGAGGAGATGAAGGAGGAGCTCGGGCTCGACGACAACGAGTCCGTCGAGGCCCGCGAGCCCAACGAGTGGCGCGTCGTCTACTCGCCCTGCGTCGCCGTCCGCGCGCCGACCGCGTCCGTTCGTTTATTTTCTTTCACCGCGCGCCCGCAGGCGAAAAGCCGAGCGTCGCGAGCCGCATGGTGGGCATCAAGCGCGTCAACAACCTCGTCGGCGTCGACTACACCATCGAGTCGCAGTGGCTCAAGCTCAAGGGCGAGCGGGGCTTCATGCTCATCCACGGCCAGGACCTCGGCCTCGGCCAGCTCCTCGTCCCGAACCGCGGCCACTACGCGGACGGCGCGCCCAAGGTCCCGAGCTCCTCGGAGTGAGGCGCCCGTTTATTTTGCGACATTAGCTTTCGACAGGGGGCAGCGACCTATCGCTTGAGCGCATCGAGGCGGCCCGCGAGGCTCGTGTCCTGCGGCGGCGCGGCGACGGCGGGCGTCGCCGTGCCGACGGCGCCCGCGTCGTCGAGGGCGAAGGACACGTCGAGCTGGTGCTCGTCGGCGACCTGCTTGAGCAACCCGTCGACCTGGTCCTCGGGCGTCGCCGACGCGGTCGAGTTGTTCATCGCGGACTCCATGTAGCCCGCGCGGACGTCCATGTCCTCGAACTGCTTCTCGAAGTCGTCCATGGTCTTGGAGATCTTCTCGACGTCCATGGACTTGAGGGCGTTGTTCATGCCCTTGACGACGTTGCCCATGTTCTTCGACATCTCCTTGGTGCGGATCGCGGTCTCGAGCCGCGCGGCGACGGCGTCGATGCGGCTGCCCATCTTGAGGTAGTTGAGGCCCTGGGTCTTCTCGCGGATGGCGTTCTGCGCGTAGATGCGCGCGCCCTCGGCGTTGCCCTTCTCGATGGCCTTCTTCACGTCCTTCTTGTACTTTTTTTCCTGCTTCTCGCACTTCTTCGACGCGCTCACCATCTGCTTGCTCGTCATCTTCAGGTTGATGAGCTCCTCCTGCAAGGAGATGCGGTTCCCCATGGTGCGCGGTCGGGTGCGGCCCCGGCGTCGGGTGGTGGGTGCGGCGTGCGGCGGGCGCGCGCGCGGCGAAAGATGTTGGTCTCGGTGGGCCGGGAGCTCTCCTCGATCAAGCGCGCAGAGCGCGGCACTTTTGGCCTCGCACCTCGCGACCAATCACGATGGCCGCAGCGGCTGGCAGCCCCTTCGAGACAGCTCCCCTCATCCTTCGCCGTGCCCGCGCCCTCGGTGAGATGCTCCTGTGAGAGCTCATAAAGCGCTGCGCGTGCTCCCTTGAAAAGCATGCTCGTCGTCGGCGGCGGCGGCGCGCTGCTCCGGGAAGGCATCGAGGCGACGTCGGCGAAGCTGCGCGTGCTTCCGCGCGGGAGCCGCGTGCGGCGCCTCGAGGCCGCCGAGGACGCCCGCGGCAAGCGGCGCCTGCGCGTCGCCGCCGACGGCGCCGACGGCTGGCTGTCGGAGGCGCTCGTGGAGGCGGAGCCCGCCGCGGACGACGGCTGGCCCGAGGTCGCGGCGGCGCCGCCGTGGGCGCCCGGCGACTCGCTCGCGCCGTTTCTGACGACGCCCGTCGCGTTCCTCGACGAGGCGCTGGCGGACGTCGCCGGCGTCGGGCCGGCGGACGTCGTCGTGGATCTGGGCTGCGGCGACGGCCGCATCCCGGTCTGGGCCCGGCGCCACGGCGCGCGGCGGTGCGGCGGCGTCGAGCTCGACGGGGCGCTCGTCGACGTCGCCCGGGCGAACGTCGCCGCGCGGCGGCTCGCGGACGTCGTCGACATCGTCCACGGCGACCTGGCGGCGGACGACGATCCGCAGGTGGCCGCGCTGCTGGAGGCCGCGACGCTCCTGACGGTGTTCCTGCTGCCCGAGGCCGAGCCCGCCGTCGAGCCGATCGTGCGGCGCCACGTCGCGCGGGGCGGCCGCGCGCTCTTCCTCGGCTGGCTGCCGCGCGGCTACGAGAGCGACGTGTGTCGGACGCTCGGCGCGGACACGGGCCGCGGCCTCGACGCGTACCTCGTCGCCGCGCTCCCGGCGGGCGGCGCCGGCGCGGCGCCGAGCCTCCGCCTCCTCCACAGCCCCGAGGAGCGCTCCGAGTTCGGCGGCGACGGGTTCTGCCGGAGGCAGAGGGGGGCGTAAGTGGGCTGCTCCTACAAGTCGGCCGTGCGCGCGGCGTCCCCGACGCAACTCAGGCGCCGATCGCGGCGTCCTCGAGGCACCTCGCGAGGCAGGCGTCCCTGACGGCGATGAGATTGGCGTTGGTCGCGTCGAGCTCCAGGCCGCGCTCGGCGGCGGCTTGGGCACCGGGGACGTCTCCCTTCCCCAGGAGGGCCGCCGCGCAACGGCCGTGGCCCTTGGGCCAGTCGGGCTGCAAGCGGACGCACCGCCGCCCGTCGCGTAGCGCGCCGTCGTACTCTTTGAGCGCCGCGAGGCACGCGGACCGATTCGAATACAGGACGTGGTCCGTCCAATCGAAGGCGAGCGCGGTACTGTAGTGCTTCGCCGCCCCCGCAAAGTCCGACAGCGAGAAGTCGCCGCCGCCGGCCGCCTTGTGCTTCGCCGCGGTAGCGCGACACAGCAACGCGTCGTCTCCCGCGCAGTGCGCGGGCAGGTCGCCGGCGGGGACGGGAACGTACTCGGCATCGTCCCGTAGCATCTGGAGCGTTCGCCGGCATTTTTGGGCGTTCGCGCCGCCCGGTTCGAGCGCGAGGGCGGCGCGGCACGCCGTTTCGCATTCGGCCATGGCCTCGTCGCGGTCGACCGTGTCCTCGTGGAACGCCGCTAATTCGCCGAACGTCGACAGGCGCTGCCTACCAAGTGCGACGGGGTCGGATTTCTTCACATCTTCAGGCGAAATTCACGCGAAAAAACACTCCTGTCGCTCGACGCTGGGCGCTGCCAGCCCCGTGCCCACGCTGGCTTCAATTTGACGCAGTGCCTCGAATCCTCCAGACCTCGCTGGATCCAGTTCCGACAGTCGCCGCCGGTGATGTGGTACGTGCCGTCTCCGTGATCGTGGAAGCCCGCGCCGACTCCCGAATTCGGGCAGATCTTCGCCCTCGTCTCGTGGATCAGCTTCTCCCAGCACGCAGCCCGGTTCGCGTAGAGCTTTTCATTTTTTCCTTCTCCGAAGATCGCCATGTTATACGCGTTGCTCGCGTCCAAGAACTTCCCCTGCCGGAAAAGGTCGTCGCCCTCCTTCTTCGCGGTCTCGAAGGACGAGGCGACGTACCCGCTCATTGTCACGTTCAGCAGGAGATCGGCAGCATCGCGGACGCCGGCCGCGTGGGCTCCATCACTCGCTTCAATGACGTGATTGAACAAATTGTTGAAGATGCTATCGATGCTGATGGCCGAATCACAGACGAAACGATGGTCGAGTTCGGCCTGGCGTTCCAGCGCTCGCGGCGCCCGGAGTGGGTGAGCTTCTACATCGACTACGACGCGCTGAAGCGCCTCCTCGCGACGGCGCCCTGGGAGTTCCTCGCGAAGCTCGTCCAGGACATCGAGACTTGCGCGCTGCACTCGCTGGAGGAGGCCGGGCGCATCGCGGCGCTCCTCCGCGCGTCCCGGGCCGAGGCGGGCCTCGAGGCGCTGCTGCGCCTCGTGGCCTTCGTCGAGCTCAACCTCGTCGCCGTGCGCAAGATCTTGAAGAAGCACGACAAGACCTTCGAGCCGTGCACGCGGGCCGTCGCGCGCACGGCGCACATGCGGCTGCTCGAGTCCTTCGAGCGCCAGTGGCCCGCGCTCCTCCGCACGGGCCTGGTCCGCGGCGCGCCGCCGCGGCTCGCCGCGGAGTGCTCGCGCGCCGTCGAGCGCTGCAGCGCGGCGCGCGCGGGCCTGCGCGTGCGCTACGCGTCGCTGAACGTCGTCGACGCGGACCTCGCGTCGTCGGAGGCGGCGCTGGGCCACTCGCTGGGCCTCGCCGCGGAGAATCCGGAGGTCTTCCCGAACGTGCAGTACGCGGGCGCGTTCCTCTTCGCGGCGTCGTGCTACGCGATCACGCCGACGATGCACGCCTACGCGACGTCCGTGGGCGCGCCCCGGGCGTTCGGGGGCCTCCTGCTCGGCGCGTCGACGGTCGCGGCGCTCGCGTCCACCACAGGCTGCGGCTGCGTCGGCCGGCGCTTCGGCTTCCGCGCGCCGTTGGTGGCCGGCGCGGCTTTGGGCGGCGCGGGCCAGCTCCTCTACGCGCTGGCGCCGAGCGTCGCGCGGTCGAGCGGGAGCGCGCGCGCGGCCCAGGGCTGCGCGCTCCTCGGCCGCCTGCTCCTCGGGCTGGGCTCGACGGAGCCCGTGAACCGGCGCTACATCGGCGAGGCCGTGCCGCCGTCGAAGCGCATCGCGGCGGCGGCCAAGTTCGTCGCCGCGGGCGCGACGGGCATGGGCTGCGGCCCGCTCCTGAGCGGGCTCCTGAGCTTCCTGCTCTCGCGCGACGACGGCGCGCGGCCCCGCGACCACGTCTTCGAGTTGAAGGTCGACTCCACCGTCGCGCCCGCGCTCCTGCTCTCCGTCGCCTGGTGCCTCCTCGCCTTCTACGTCGCCTCGGCGTTCCGCGAGCCGCCCGCGCGCGCGAGCGGCGCCTACGGCGCCGTCGGCGCCGGAGCGCCCGCGCGGCGCGCGCGGTCGCCGAGCGAGCTGCTCACGGAAGGCGCCGAGGCGGCGCCGCTCCGCGCGGCGCTCTTCGGCGTCGTCGCCTTCGAGGCGGCCTGCGAGGTCTTTTTAGGATCGACGTCGGCCGTGTCGTCGCTCGCGTTCGGATGGAAGGCCCACGACATCGGCGCGTTCCTCGGCGTCGTCTGTCTGCTGACGATGCCGCTGAGCAAGATGGTGGAGGCCGCGGCGGCGACCTTCGACGACCGGGAGATCCTCTTCGCGGCGACGGCGGCGACGGCCTGCGGGGCTCTGGCGCTCGCGACGGCGACGGGGTTCGCCTACGTCTGGGCGGCCGCGGGCGGCGCGCTCTTCCTCGGCGCGTCGACGATGGAGTCGGCGCTCATGTCGCTCATCGGCCAGTGGGCGAAGCGCGACGCGGGCGTGCTCGTGACGCTCTTCGGCGCCGGCGGGCGCCTCGTCGGCGACGGCGTCGTCTTCGCGGCGTTCGCCGCGGACCACCCGGGCGAGGGGCCCGCGCGCCTCGCGCTCTCGCTCTTCGGGCCCGTCTTCGGGCTGCTCGCCGCGACCGTCGCGCTCCTCGCGCTGTCCCTCGTGCAGCGGCGGCGGAACACGAAGCCCGTCGAGCCGTCGGACGACGCGCGGAGGCGCGAACCCGGCGAGGACCGGCGGCTAACGTACTAGGGACCGTGGTCCGCGCCCGGCGGCACGTGCGACCTCCGTTATCACACGTCCCCGAGGACCGGCCGGTAGTCGCGGAGCTTCGCGCGGAGGAAGTCGTTGTCGCGCTGGATGAGGCGCAGGCTCGCGGACGCGTTGGGCGTCTCGTCCCGCGCCCAGCCCGGCCGCAAGCGCCCGCCGTCGTAGCCGACCGCGTGCTTGCCGCTCGGCAACCCCGCGACGCCCTCGCCGTAGGAGCCGAGCTCGTCGAGCAGCTTCCGCTGCACGGCGAGGAGGCGCTCGGATTCGCCCTCGAGCCACTTCACGGTGGGCGAGTCGGCCTGGCGCAGCGTCAGCATGCGCCCGAGCACCTTGAAGCGCGCGCCGACGTAGAGGTCCGCGGGCTCCGCGGGCCCGAACTGGCCCTCGACGTGGCTCAGGCGGTACCTGCGTGGACATCAAATCTTCAACCCGACTTCAATGTGCGCGTATTCGAATGTTTTGACACGAGCTCTTCGGCTGGGCTTCGAGAACTCGATGCGAGCAATCGATCCGTCCAAAAGTCAGCCGAATCGACTTCGATTCGACCGAGCTCGAGAGCTTTGAAGTCTTTTTTCGGCACCGTCCTCGCACTGCGTGCTCGTCACCTTGTTCAGGCAGAGCACGACGGAGCCGTCGCGCGTGTCGTAGGTAAGTTTCACCTCGCGCCGCACGCTGCGGCCGTGCTCCGTCTCCCGCCACCAGGAGGTGAAGCACAGCTGGGGCGGCGGCGGCGACGCGACGAGGGCCACGCGCCGCGGCACCTTGTGGCCCGCGCACTTGGGCGTGCGCGACCCCACGTTGTAGGGCGCCGCCTGGAGGCGGGACATGATGTGGAGGCTGTGGTGCGTCTCAGGCTGCCTACGAGGCGTCCATTAGCGCTGCGGCCTCAGACAGTGCGGTTTTGGGTCGAAGGTGAAGGCCGGCCGTCACAGCTATAGACGCTGCCGGTGCGCCCAAAAGACGCACCGAACCCCGCGCCCCCCGCCCCCCACCGCCGAAGGACCCATGGCCGACACGGAGGAGAAGGACGACGAGAAGGCCGGCGACGACGAGATGGGCACCTACACGCCGTCGCAGATCGACATCGACGCCATCGCGAGCGCCAAGAGTTTGGGCGACGCCATGCGCCTCCTCGCGCCCCAGCTCGAGGGCCTGCCCCGGAGGTCGCGGGGCAAGTACGGCAAGCGCAAGCACCTCACGCCCGAGGAGAAGGCCGAGCTCACGCGGCGGCGGAACCGGGAGAACGCGCGTTCCACGCGCATGCGGCGGAAGATGTACATCAAGCACCTCCAGCAGGTCGCGGAGACGCTCAAGGAGCGCCACGACGAGCTCAACTCGAAGATGGCCGCGCCGCCGCCCGACGGCTACACGCGGCGCCGCGACGCGGTGCGCCGGTTCCTCGAGTTGAGGGGCGCGCGGTGCCTCGACCCGTCGTCGTGGCGCGAGGTGCTCGGCGACGGCTTCGTCCTCACGCTGCCGCCGACGCCCTACCGCGCCTACCCGGACGAGGAGCTCCGGCAGCCCTCCGTGCGCACCGTCGCGGGTTTGGATGCTCTCCTCGCGGACGTCGCTTCCCTCAACGCGGCGCTCGACGCCGCGTCCGCGGGGCGCGCGGAGGCCAACGCGCGGCGCGGGTTGGACAAGAAGCGCAAGCGCGCCAGTCCGCCCCGCGGGCCCGCGGGCCTCGCCTACGAGGTCGACCCGGGCTCCATCGTCCACGTCGGCGACGTCTACATGTGCGCCTACGCGTGCACGGTCAGCGTCGAGGACCCCGCGGGCCTCGTCAGCGCGACCCACGCGGGCATGGCCAAGTGCACCTTCGCCCCGGACCACACGCTCGCCGCCGTCCACCTCCGCTTCGACGCCGCGACGGTCCACGCCACGCTCCGGGACCTCGAGTCCGCGCCCGCGCCGCCGCCCTCCTGAAGCACACCCCCGGGGCTTTAAAAAACCTCCATCATCGCCGTACGCCGGCGGCGAGGGCCGTGTCCTCGCACTCCTTGATGGCGGGCTCGAGCGCGGCGAGCGCGGCGGCGGCGTCGCCGGCGCCGGCGCCGGCGCCGCTGTCGCGCAGCGCGCTCTGGGCGTGCGCGCGCAGCTCGTGGTGCAGGTCGTCGCAGGCCGCGTCGTGCATCTCGTCGAGGCGCCGCCGGAAGATCTCGCCGCCCGCGGTCCGCCGGTACTCGAGCTCCGGCGGAAACCGCGCGGCCTCGAGCGTGCGCCGCAGCTCGCCCGCGAGCGCCATGAACCGCGTCGCGTCGGACGCGACGGACGCCGCGGGCTGCGGCGCCGGCTCGAGGCCGCCGGCGAGGTCCTCGGCGATCTTGGCCGACAGCTCCAGCATCTCCAGCACCTTGCGCTCGGCGGCGTCGAGGTCCGCGTCGGGGATGGACTCGTACTCGTTCTGTAACGCGGTCGACGACTGCTGCGCGTCGGTCATGACGGCGTCGCCGTCGGCTGCGGCGCCGTTCGAGGGAGCCTCCATCGTCGCGCCGGCGACGGCACCGTCGGCTTTTATTGCCACAGCAACAAAGGGCATGGGCTCAACTTTTGCGGCTTAAAAGCACAGCCCTAAAACGCATAACAAACGCGTGGCTACGGCCAGGCTCGCAGCTTCAAGTGTGAAACGCGTACGCACCAAGCAACGTCAGAAAGCGCGACCCTCAGGTCGCGCGAAACGAGCGCAAGCATGCCCTGCGACGACGCTTGGCAGGCGCACCTCGCGCTCCCGAACGTCGTCCTCATCGACTGCCGCAACCTCGACGAGCTCGAGAGCCACGGGCGCATCGAGGACGCGCTCCACGTGCCCTGCCGCCTGGCCGACGACGCGACGGCGGCCGTCGCGGCGGCGAAGTCGCGGCTGCCCGCGGACCCGTCGACGCCGCTCCTCTGCTTCTGCGCCGTCGGCGGCCGGAGCCGCCGCGTCGCCGCCGCGCTGCGCGCCGCGGGCTACGCGCGCGTCGCCAACGGCGGCGGCCACGCCGACGTCGCCGCCGCGCTCGCGGCGACGAAGCTCGAGGAAATAACGCTCGCGGACGTCGTCGAGGTCGCGTCGAGCGCCGCGGCGAAACGCTACGAAGCGGCGATCCGCGCGCTCGTCGTCGCCTGCTTCCCGGCCCAGTTCCCGACGGACGACGGCGCCCCGATCCTCGACGTCCTCGCGGGCTTCCACGACCTCGGCGACTGCGAGTGGCTGCTCGTCGGGACCGTCGAGGCCCTCGACGCGATGGCCATGACCGTGCGCTACCACGACAGCCTCTACGTGGCGACGCTCTGCGTTGCGCCGCGGCTCCGGCGCCGGGGCCTCGGGAGCCTCGTCATGAAGGCCGCGTCGGCCTTCGCCGCGGAGCTCGGGTTCCGGAAGGTGACGGGCGCCGTCGACGCCGACGAGCGGCACCTCCTGACGATGTACGCCGCCCTCGGCGCGACGGAGGAGGACGCGGCCTTCGCGTCGCCGAACGCGACGACCCAGCCCAAGAAGCGCCTCGCGGCGCCGTCCGGCGTCGTCGGCGGCGTACCGGCGCCCGCGCGCGTCGCGGAGCCGCGGAGCCTCGACGACATGCTCGCGGACGTCGAACACGTCGATAGGCACCACAAGGGCTTCGAGTGGCTCCTGGAGTGGGACGCGCTGCGGCCGCTGCTCGCGCCGATGACGGGCCTGCTCGGCGACTACGACCGCCTCGCCGTCGTCGACCTCGGCTGCGGCAGCTCGGACCTCGCGGGCCGCTTCGCGGACGCGTTCGGCGGCGCCGCGGCGGGCGTCGACCGCGACGGGGCGATCATCGACGGCATGCGCGCGCGGCGGCCCGACGTCGCCTGGGCGACGCACGACTGGGCCGACGGCGCGGCGGCGCCCGGCGCGCCCTTCGACCTCTGCCTCGACAAGTCGTCCTTCGACGCGACGCTCGCGGAGAACGACCAGTGCGGTTTGTTGCTGTGCGCGTTCCGGAGCCTGAGGCCCGGCGGCCGCTACGTCGTCGTCTCCCTGTACCCCCGGGACCTGCTGGCGCCCCTCTTCGCGCCGCTCTTCGCCCTGGACAACTTCGCGAGCGTGCCGCGGCCGGCCCTCGCGACGGCGCCCGCCGCGGAGGCCGTCTCCGTCGCCGCGTTCCGGCGGCGGGACCTCGCGGAGCCGCCGTCGCTCGGCGCGCTCCGGGACGCGGCGGACGCGACGATGGACGACTACTTCAAGCGCGCGGAGACCATGCTCACGCCCGCGCGCGTCGCGGAGATCCGGAGAAACTTCGCGGCGCCGCTCCCGCTCGACGCGGCGTTCGCCGCGCTCTTCACGGCCGACGAGCGCGTCGACTACGCCCGGGACGACTTCCGCGGCGACGTCGCCGCCTTCCGCGGCGACGGCGGCGGCGCGCCCCTCGGCGCGGACGAGGCCCTCGCCTTCCTCGAGTACGCGATGTGAATTTTTACAGGGACGGGGCGGCGCAAAACGGCGGGGGCTACTTGTCGTAGACGGACTTGTACTCCGCGACGTCGTAGTTCGCGCACTCGTAGTCGCCCATCTTGTACTCGGCGACCTCGTAGCCCCCGACGGCGTAGGTCTTCTCCTCCTCGGGCTCCCGCTTCGCCCGGCGCGCCTCCTCCTCCGCGAGCTTCCGCGCGTACTTTTCGTCGCCGGCGAGCGTCGCCTCGACGGTCGCGACCTCGGCCTTGGCCGCGGACCCGGACAGCTCCACGGCGCTCGCGAACTGGACCTCGGCCGTCTCGTAGGCCGGCGGCGGCCGCGACGCGCCGCGCGCGTGCGGATTGTGCGTCACGGCCGAGACCTCGCGCCGCGCGAGGTCCGCCGCGATGGCGTTGGCCACGCCGCGCTGCTCCGCGATCGTCGGCTCCGAGGGCCGGATCACGAGGGGCTCCGTCAGCGCGGGCGCGAAGCCCGCCACGGGCTCGGCCTCGAGGATCTCCTCGCCGCTGATGGGGTTGTAGGACACGGCCGTCGCCTCGGCGACGGGCTCCGCCGTCGCGTAGCGGGCGCTGCTGCTCATCGGTGGTAGGGTCGACGGATCGGCGCTCCCGGGTGTCACAGAGGCCGAGCTCCGCGGGCACTGCTGGCGGCGCGGCCGGAGAAATCCTTGATCGAAGCGCTCAGCCACGCCGATGATGTCGTCAACTAGCCCTTGTTGAAGGCATTCTTTGCAACGCTAATCACCTCGCTTTACCTCCTCGGCGGCGGTCGCCGGTCGCCGCCCTTGGGGACGTACTTGGGCTTGGCGCCGGGCTTCGGCGGCGCGGGCAGCAGGCTCCGCCGGCAGTTGGCGCAAAAGTTCGCGCCGCGCGCGACCTCGGCCTTGCGTTCCAGGGCCGCGCGGTCCGCGTCGAGCGCCTTCTTCGCGCGCGCGACCGCCGCGTCCGCCGACGCCTTGGCCTTGTCCGCGTCGGACTTGAGCCGCGCGGCCTCGGCGGCCCAGGCCTTCTTCGCGTCGTTGAACGCGCGGCGCAGCTTCTTCGCCGTCGCCTCGCCCGCGGCGCGCTCGTCGCCGAGCGCCTGCTTCGACGCCGCGAGGTCCGCCTCCAGGGCCTTGACGCGCCGCTCGAGCTTCGCCGCGCGGTCGTCGTCGGCCGGCGGCGGCGAGGAGGCCGCCTCCGGCGGCGGCGCCGCGGCCTCGGAGGCCTCGATCGCCCGCGCGGAGCTCGTCTCCCGCTCCGGCGACGCGGGCGCCCGCGCGACGGTCTTCTCCTGCGCCGGCGACGCGGGCCCGGCGGCGCTCGGCCCGGCGGCGCTCGCCCACTTGGCCTTGGTGCCGCGCGCCTGGGCAAGAAAAGGGTGCGAAATTCCCAACTTCAAAGGCTCTGATCTCGGCCGTTTCCCACTCGTTTCGGCTGATTTTTGGACGAGCGATCATCTCTCGGAACGGTCTCGACGCGTGGATGCTTTTTCCGGAACGCGCGCGCGCGGAACACTCACGTTGAAGCGACGTTGAATCACCCTTTTCCTGCCCTGCAGCGCGCGGCCGTCGCGACGATGCGGTCCGACGACTGGCGCAGCTCCGCGAGGAGCCGCGGCACGTCGGCGCAGGACGCGACCTCGGTCGCGTCCAGCGTCTCCGCGAGGCGCTTCAGCGTCGCCATGGCCTGGAGCGACGCCTGGCGCGCCGCGGGCGTCCCGGCGTCGCGCGTCGCCGCCTTCAACGCGTGGGCCGCGCCGTAGGCCTCGATGAGCGCGGCCGACGCGCCGTCGGGCGCGAGGGACCGCCAGTCGTCTAGATCGCCGCCGGCGTCGAGCGGCTCCCAGAGGAGCGGCGCGGCCTTTGGCGGCGGCCGCTCGTCGTCGCGGATGTCGCGCAAAATCTCGAGCTCCTCCTCGTCGTCGTCGTCGAAGAAGGTCGCCTCCGCGGGCAGGGCCTCGGAGATGGCGGCGTCCAGGGCGAGGTCCTCGGCCTCGGCGGCGGCCGTCGCCTCGACGTCCTCCGGCGCGTCCGCGCTCCTGGGCAGGTTCGCCTGGAGGCGCCGCATCGTCTCCTGGGCCGCCTTCAGCGCGAGCGCGGCGCCGGGCGCCTCGTCCGCCGCCGCGCGCGGGCTCCGGCTCCGCGACGACTTCGACGAGCGGCCGGCGGACGACGACCGCGACCGGCCGCGGCGCCGCTTCCGCGGCGACGGGCTCCGGCTCCGGCGCCGCCGCGTCGCGGCCGCGGGCGCGGCCGCGCCGCGCGGCGGCGCGAGGCCCTTCGGGGCCGCGACGGCGAGGGCCTTGCGCGGCGGCGGCGGACCGCGCGGCGGCGGCGCGAAGCCGCCGCGCGGCGGCGGCGGCGCGCGCGGCGCCGCGAAGCCGCCGCGCGGCGGGCCGGCGCTAAAGCCGCCCTTGCGCGGCGGCGGCGGCCCACCGTTGAAGCCGCGCGGCGGCGGCGGGCCGTCGCCGAAGCCGCGCGGCGGCCGCGGGCCGTCGCTGAAGCCGCCGCGCCGCGGCGGCGGGCCGGCGCCGAAGCCGCCCTTGCGCGGCGGCTCGCTGAAGCCGCCTTTCCCCGCTGCAGCGGGCGCTGGCGGCGCGGACGAGAAGTTCGAGCCCGGCGCCGACGAGAAGTTCGAGCCTCGCTTGCGGCTGTTATTTCGGTCGCCCATAGCCTTGTGCGGCCTCCGCGCGCTTAAGCGCTTCTTCAGCTTTGGCACGCTGAAGTCTCAGTGCACCGCGCCTTTCGAGATGGTCGCCTGCGGCAGCCCCTGAATGCCACGATGGTAGCAACCCCTAAGTAATGCCGGGCCGAAGTCGCGTGCGCCTGCGGGCCACGCAGCTTGTCGCGTGCGCGCTCGCGGCCGTGCTCGTCGCGACGTTCCTGCACGCGCAGCGCGCCGTAGAGCGCGTCGTCTACGGCGCCGCGGGCCCGGGCCCGCGGCGGCCGAGCGCGCCGCCGGCCGCCCCCGTGCAGCCGCGGCGGCCGAGCGCGCCGCCGGCGATCCCCAGGCATGCGGCACCGCGCGCGACGCCGCGCGACGACCGGTCGCCGTGCCGGGGCCCGCGGTCCTACGCGCAGGCGGCGTCGCTGCCCTGGCGGCTCTACGACGCCTTCGCGACCACCGCCGACGGCTGCGCGACGGCGACGTTCGTCGCCCAGTACGAGCGCGGCTGCGAGGAGATGGCCGCCGTGCTCGAGGCGGCGGCGGCGCCGCTGAACGCGAGCGCGTGGCTGGCGACGGCGCGCGCGCCCGAGGGCGAGTGCCGCGTGTGCTACGTGAACCGATTCGACACGGAGGAGCGGCCCAAGTTCGACGCGGAGAAGAGGCGCGCCTTCGAACGCGACGGCGGCGCGACGACGGATCTGGCCTGCGTCTTCGACGACGGCTCGGAGGTCGCGGCGACGGGGCACGGCGACTTCCACGCGTTCCGGTCGACGCTCGTCTTCGAGTGCGCGATCCCCGAGCCCCTGCGCGCGCGCGCCTGCGGCGCCGACGCGCTCCGGCACCGCGACACGGGCGTGCACGTCGCCCTGCGGGCCGGCGGCCGCGCCCACGACGCGCGCGTGCCCGTGTGCGCCTTCGACGCGCGCGCGAGGGAACGCGGGGGCGTCGGCGCGGTCGCGTGGACGTCCGGCGACGCCTACGTGGACCGGAGCGGCCTCGTCAAGGGCGCCGCGAGCGACGCGCAGCTCCGGGCCTGGCTCGCGGCGCACTGGGCCTTTGGCGTGCGCTACTTCCTCGTCTTCGACTCCGGCGCCGGTTGGACGGAGCCCGAGCGGTCGGCGCTCTGGCCCGCGATGGCGCCCTTCGTGGCGGCGGGCCGCGGCGCGCTGCTCCCCTGGCCGTCGCGCGCGTGCGGCGCGCGCGGCGACGGGCCCTGGGTGACGTTGGACGCGGGCGAGCACGACGCGCTGAGCCTCCAGTCGTTCTCCGTGCCGGAAACAACCGGCGGAACGCCCTGTCCAGCAAAAAACTCTCTATCTCGGTCACATCGAAGTCGTTTCGGCTGATTTTTGGACGGATCGTTTTCTCTCGGCGGGTTCGTATTAGACCGCGAAAGAACTATGTCAAAACCGCACTTGCATATTGCAGTCGCGTTGCATATTTTTGTTTCCTGCCCAGGTCGTTCTGGGGCCGGCCGTCGCAGTACGCGGCGCAGAACGCGGGCCATCGGCGGCTGCGGGGCGTCGTGGACTTCGTGGCGCACGTCGACGTCGACGAGTACCTGGTCCCCGCGGGCGACCACGCCGACCTGTCGTCCGCCGTGGACGCCGCGCTGCGGCGCCGGCCCACCGCGCCGAGCGTCGGCGCGCCCCACGTCTTCTACGGCGCCTGCCCCGGCGCCGGCGTCGCCCACCCGGCCATCTCGCACGTCGCGGACCGGGGCTGCGCGGGGAAGGCCCAGCCCACGCGGACGAAGCAGGTCGCGCGAGCGACGGAGACCCGCTACGTCTGGGACCACTACATCCGCGCGCCCAAGCGCCCCGTCGCCGACGCCGACGCCTTCGACGACCTCAAGCTCGTCCACGCGCGCGCGGGCTACGGGTTCTCCGACGGCGCCGCGCCGGCGCGCTTCAGCGTGCGGCACAACGCGAAGGCGGAGCGCGAGTACGCGACGACGATCCTGCCCCGCGTGCCGCTCCCCTGCGCGGACCGCCGCACCGACGCGACGGCGCCGCCGTGCGCCCCGAAGGCCGCGCCGGGCTACGACCTCTGCTGGTGCACGGACGGCCACCTCGCCGGCTGGCTCGCCCGCGTCGCCGCCGCGGAGCGCGCGTGGTGGCCGCCCTAGAGCTTAGGTCGCCTCCAGCACGAGCACGCCGCGCGGCGCGCCGCCGGCGTTGTCGGCGTCGCCGGCGACCATGGCCTTGGCGAGGTCCGCGAGCGGCACCCAGACGGGCGGGTACTTGTACCGCGCGACGTCCAACAGGAGCGCGAGGTCGCCGTCGGCGTCGTAGGCCGCGAGGGGCGACCAGTGGCCGCCGCCCGCTTCGTCGAGGTCCTTCCGGTAGAAGTTGGCGAGCACGTGCGACGCCGCGTCGTCGGCTAGCGCGTGTTTCACGAGGCGCCGCAGCTCGTCGGCCGAGGCGTTCCACGCGGCCGTCGCGCTCACGTTCGTCGCCCGGAGGTCGGGCACGAGCGCCAGCGCCGCCGTGAGCTGGTCGCGCGACATGCCGTACATGGGGTCGCGGACGGCCTTCATCGTCGACGCGAGCACGCCCTGCGTCCAGTACGCGTACGGCGCGTAGGCCCCGTCGACGGGCGCGGCGACGGCCGGCAGCGCGTTCAGCGCCATGACGCTCGACGCGACGGCGCAGTAGCTCTGGGTGGACTGCGTCGCGAAGTGGGGCGCCAGGGCGACGTAGGAGCGGCGGAGGGTCGTCGGTTTGAGCAAAATGTCGAAGCCCGCGGTCGTGTTGAGCGGCGTCGCGATGGTGGGCGTGGGAAGGAAGTAGTCCGCGTAGGGAGAAGCGTCCAGCGCGTGTCCGCGGCCCAGGAACAGTATTGTGAAAGCGAGAAACCGTGCAGCCATTGCCCTGTGAGTTGGTTGACGTCACCTTGACGATACAAATCCTGCGCCGCCTCATCGTGGATGACCGTGTCCGGCGAGTCCGCGGGCGCGCGGTCGGGGAAGTCGTTGAATATGTACAAACGTTAAACCCTACCCCGCCCTATCGTGGATGACCGTGTCCGGCGAGTCCGTGGGCGCGCGGTCGGGGAAGTCGTCGCCGACGTCGACGTCGACGGCCCGCGGCTTCTCGTCGACGCGGACGAGCTCGACCTCGCCGTCGGACGCGTCGTCGCCGAGGCCCCCGTCGACGAGCTCGACGTCGCCGTCGGACGCGTCGTCTTCGAGGCCGCCGCTGAGGCTCTGCTCGAGGTACTCCTCCGGCGTCAGCGCGCGCTCGCGCCGCGGGCTCGCCAGCGGAGTCGACATGACCTCCCGCAGGAACGCGCGCGTCGCCGACGGCGTCCCTGGCTCCTCCTCGTCCGGGTCGAACTGGAGGCAGATCTTCGCGTCGTCGAGCGACGCGAGGGCCGCCGCCGTCTCCTCCCAGGAGTCGCGCTTCGACCTCGGCGACGGGCTGAAGAGCTTGCGCCACGCGTTCGGCGTCCCGAGGAGCCGGTTCTTCGTCGGCGACGACGCCGTCGTCACGTCCTCCCAGCGCTTCGGCGGCGCTTTCGAGTCGTCCCGGCGCCGGCGCGCGCAGGCGGCGCAGAGCGCCGCGCCTAGAATCGCCGCGGCGACCGCGACCGCGACGACGCCGAGCGACGCCGCGTTCGTGGCGCCGCTCGCTGATTCCTCGCGCGGCGGCGTCGGCGATGCTGACGGCGCGGGCGACGGCGGTCGTGATGGTGTCGCGGATGGTGTCAGCGACGGCGGCGGCGACGGCGGCGGCGACGGCGCGGGCGACGGCGGCCGCGACGGCGCCGCCGACGGCCGCGGCGACGGCGGCGGCGACGGCGGCGCCGACGGCCGCGGCGACGGGTTCGCGGACGGCGAGGGCGACGGCGCGGGCGACGGCGAGGCGGACGGCCGCGCGGTGGATGGCCGCGCGGACCTGTGCCGAAACCAACCACTGGTTTGGGGGGTCCTGACCAAACTTCAGAATTCTCTAGCTCGATCAAATCGAAGTCGATTCGGCTGATTTTTGGACGGATCGATCGCTCTCGTCGAGTTCTCGAAGCCCAGCTGAAGAGCTTGTGTCAAAATTCGAATGCGCTCACATTGAAGTCGGGTTGAAGATTTGGTTTCGGCACAGGCGAGGACGGCGGAGCGCTCGGCGCCGGGACCGGCGCGAGGGACGGCGTCGCCGTGGAGGGCGCCGCGGACGGCGCCGCCGTGGAGGGCGCCGCGGACGGCGCCGCCGTGGAGGGCGCCGCGGACGGCGCCGCGGACGAGGGTCTCGAGGACGGCCTCGCTGAAGACGGCGCGATCGTCGACGGCGGCGCCGTCGGCGGCGGCGTCAGGTAGGACGGCGCGGCCGTCGACGGCGTCGCGGACGGCGCGGCCGTCGTCGGCTTTCTCGAGGGCGCGAGCGTCGACGGCGCGGGCGACGACGGCGCCGGCGAGGGCGGCTGCGTCGACGGCGCGCGCGTCGGCCGCGCCGTCGTCGGCCGCCGCGTGGGCGCGTAACTCGGCGCGTAGCTCGGCCCGTACGTGGACGGCTGGTAGGTCGGGGCCCCCGCGGCCACGGCCAGGAGCCCCTCGGCGTAGACCGTTTCCGCGATTCTCTCGTAGCCCTTCTGGTTCGGATGGATCGCGTCGTCGTAGAGCGACAGGTCGGGGTCGTCGCCGCCGAAGGCGTCCCAGAGGCTCACGACGACGTCCGGCGCCGCGCCGTCCTCCTCGAAGGCGTCGAGCGTCGCCGCCGGCAGCGCCTCGTTCATGACCGACGGATCGTCGCCCCATTTGCCGGAGGCCGAGAACTCGTCGCCCGGCACGTAGGGCACGGGCAGCAGCGCGACGAGCGCCGCGGCCCTCGCCTTCGTCTCCGCCAGCAACGCGCCGTACTGCGCGACGAAGGTGTCGCGGTCCCAGTTGTCCCGCTTCGCGTCGTTCGTGCCGAGCATGACCACGGCGATGTCGAAGCCGTCGTCCAAGGCGTCGTCCCAATTCGACGTCTCGCGGTAGGGGTTGGACTCGTCCGTGCCGTAGTCCGCGGCCGTCTTGCCGCTCGAGCCGTAGTTGCGCACGTCGTAGCCGTCGCCGAGGAGCGCACCGAGGAACTCGGGGTAGGAGTCCGCGTGGTCGTCGTCGTCCTCGTCGCTGCCGTGGCCGCCCTTGGTGATGGAGTCGCCGAGGCACGCGACGCGCACGGCGGCGTCGGCGGCGCCGACGAGCGCGAGGGCCGCCAGGTGCCGTCTCAGACCCATGCGGCGCAACCCGAGCGGCGTCTCAGCACCATGCGGCGATCCTCATTCTTCCATAGCAGATCGCATTGTTGACATTGCTGCATTCATCAACAAACCCGATACTAGGCAAGGGGATCTTCAAGTATCCCCTTGTACTAGGGTACAACGACACCATCGGGGCAGCCCCGACCTCGTGCCCCAAGTGCCGCTGAACGAGGACGATGGAGCGGCCCGTCCTCCTGCTGCTGCTCCTCCGCGGCGTCGACTCGGGCCTCGTCGGCCGCGGCGCCGCGGCGGCGCTGTCCCTGTTCCTCCGCCCGGCCCTGCTCCCCACACTCACAAACGCCGGCGACTGCGTGGACATGAACTACTGCAACGGCCACGGCACCTGCCAGACGAAGACGGACAGCTGCGACTGCTACGAGGGCTGGGGCGCGGCGTCGGACGTCGCCGTCTACAAGCTCCACGACTGCAGCGGCCGCACGTGCCCGGGCGGCCCCGCGTGGACGGACGTGCCCACGGCCGCGTACGTCGCGCACGCCGCCGCGGAGTGCAGCAACAAGGGCACGTGCAACCGGGCCACGGGCATCTGCCAGTGCTACAGCGGCTTCTCGGGGGACAAGTGCCAGCGGCGCGACTGCCTCAACGACTGCTCCGGCCACGGCCGCTGCGTGTCCATCAAGAAGATGGCGACGCTGTCCGACGCGCTGCCGCTGTCCGCGAAGACGACGTACGCCGGCGACGAGGAGACGACGCGCTGGGACCAGGACATGGTCTACGGCTGCGTCTGCGACTCGTCCTGGGGCGTCGGCCTCGGCAGCGGCCAGACCCAGCAGCCCGAGTGGTTCGGGCCATCCTGCTCGCTCCGCCGCTGCCCGTCGGGGGACAACCCCATGACGCGCGCCGACGAGACGAACTGCACCAACGTCACGGCGGCGGGGGGCTACGGCGTCGGCCGCGCGGGCAACCTCTGCCACGTCGACTGCGCGGACCGCGGCTCCTGCGACCACGAGACCGGCGAGTGCAACTGCTGGACGGGCGCCTACGGCCACGACTGCACGCTGAGCTCGGCGCTGGCCATGTAGGGGGGCGGCCGGTCGAGGCTAAGGTTCCCCACACACGGCGTGAGCGGCGGTGTCGAGGTCACTTGGTGTAGCGTAAGCCACGAGTAAGCGGTTCGCGGCCGCGGGGTCCCGCGGGGTTGTGGGTGCGAGACTCGGTGCGGCTCGGAGCGAATGGGATCTCCGAGCCGGGGCCGAGCCGCCAAGTGAGCCACTCGAGCCGCCACCACATCCGGCTTGATGTGCAACATGAAGCAAACTTAGGCCGGTTCTGCTGTGGCAAGAGGCGCTGGGTAGGCATGAGTGGCATTCAATAACAGTCTACACGATGTACTACCTGCACTACGCGAGCGGCGCCGAGAGCCGGCCCGTGGGCGTGCGGTCCCAGCCGTCGAGCGACGGCGCGCGCACGGGCACGGCCGTCTGGCCCAACGACGTCATCTGCTGCGTCGACGTGTTGGTCGTCGGCGCGGAGGAGTGGGCCGTGCTCGAGGACGGCGGCGGCTACGTGAACGTGCGCCACCCGGCGACGGGCGCGCGCCTCCTGCGCGTCGTCTCCGAGGCGGCGGCGGCGGACATCTGGCGGTCGGCGAGCGGCGGCGGCGGCGGCGAGCCGTCGGACCTCGCGGCGTCGCTCGCGGACGTGTCCGCGCGGCAGCGGCGCGTCGACGAGGACATCCGCGCGGCGCGGCGCCAGCTCGAGCTGTCGCGGCGCGAGCTCGCGGAGATGCGGCGCCTCGCGGACGCGCTGCGGCGCGAGCGCGCGGCGACGGAGCCGCCGGCGGCGGCGCGCGCGACGCCGCCGCCGAGGCCCGCGCGCGAGGCCCGGGCGTCGAGCGCGCCGTCGGCGGCGACGCCCGCGGCGGCGCGGCGGCGGCGGCCCGCGTCGCCGCCCGACGCGTCGCCGTCGCCGCGGGACGCGTCGCCGTCGCCGCGGGGCGCCGGCGGCGACGGCTGGGACGACGGGCCCCTCGACGCGCACCTCCACGACGACGACGACGCCTGGGAGCGCATCTGGGACCACGCGTCGGGCGCCTTCTACTTCTGGCACAAGGCGACGAACCGGGTCACGTGGACGGACCCGGCGTCGGCGACGGCGCCGCTGTCGCCGGCGCCCGACGACGAGCAGAGCCACCGGCCGACCGCCGCGTCGCTCGCGCGGTGCCGGCCCGAGGGCGCGCCGCGGAAGCAGTACGTGCACTGCTGCGAGGTGCGCCACCGGACCGACGCCGACCGCGGGCCGTCCCAGTTCCTCGAGGGGAACCCCGACCCGCTCGTGCTGTCGGCGCACGACTTCGAGCACGCGCGGTTCCGGCGGCCGCTGCAGTCGCCGGCGACGGGCGCCTACGAGACGGGCATGTTCGGCCCGCCGTCGCCGCGGCGCCGGGTCGTGACGCGGAAGATCGTCGGGCCGCAGCTCGGCGCCGCCGCGCGCGCCGCGGGCCGCGACGCGGTCCACGCGTCGCCGGCCTTCGCGAACCCGCGGAGCCGCTTCAAGCCCATGTTCCACCGCCTCGACGACGGCGCGCCCATCGCCGAGCCCCGCACGCCGCGCTACACCGCGTAAACTCTGCGATCCTTCTGCGGCAACGTCGATGCAAGAACACTTCAACTTGAAGCGGAAGCGGCAGCGGCAAGTGAGGCTGAGCCAGGGTGGGCTGAGAATTCCAGACCAAAGCCGTCGGCATGCTCGGCTCCCGGCTGCGCCGCGTCACGTCGGCCCTCGGCCGGCGCCAGAGTAGCCTGGCGCGCCTCACGCCCGCCGGCGGCGTCCACGGGTCCCAGTCCATGACGGAGCCGCGCCAGTGGCGCAACAAGGCCCTGCTGCGCGTCCACGGCGAGGAGCTCTTCTTCAAGACGGGCACGCAGGCCGTGAACCTGCTCGTCAACGAGTCGAAGCGGCGCGACGGGAACAAGGGCGTCTACCTCGACCAGTTCGGGTGCTTCATGCAGTCGCTCGCGCCCGTCTTCGATCGGAGCCCGCGCTACGCGTGGATCGCGAAGATCCTCCTCGAGCCGGAGCGCTTCATCTCCTTCCGCGTGTCCTACATCGACGACAGCGGCAACACGCGCACGAACCGGGGCTTCCGCGTCCAGTACTCGTCGACGCTCGGGCCCTACGAGGGCGGCCTCCACCAGGGCAGCAAAAGAGAGCGAAATTCCCAACTTCAAAGGCTCCATTCTCGGCCGTTTTCCACTCGTTTTGGCTGATTTTTGGACGAGCGGTCGTCTCTCGGAACGGTCTCGACGCGTGGATGTTTTTCTCGTGACGCGCGCGCGCGGAACACTCACGTTGAAGCGACGTTGAATCACTCGTTTCCCGCCCAGGCCTCCACTTCGGCGCGCACGTCGACGCGGACCTCGTCAAGTCCATGGCCTTCGACGGCAACTTCGGCAACGCGCTCACGGGCGCGCGGCTCGGCGGCGCCGCCGGCGGGTCCAACTTCGAGCCGCGCCTCGCGTCGGAGTCCGAGATCCAGCGCTTCTGCCAGTCGTTCATGACGGAGCTCTCCAAGTACGTCGGGCCGGACCGCGACCTGCCGTCCATGGGCGTCAACGTCGGCGCGGCGGAGGTGGGCTACCTCTACGGCCAGTACAAGCGCACGACGGAGCACTACGCGCGCCACGGCCGGGGCATCTTGTGGGGCGGCGCGCTGCCGCACCCCGAGGTCTTCGGCTACTCGGCCGTCCACTTCGCGAAGCACCTGGTCGAGTCGCGCGGCGAGTCCCTCGCGGGCAAGCGCTGCCTCATCACGGGCTCCGGCAAGGTGGCGTTGGCCGTCGCCGAGCGGCTCCTGGCGCTGGGCGCGGTGCCCCTGACGTTCTCCGACACGTCCGGCCACATCTACGAGCCCGACGGCATCGCGGCGACGAAATTCGAGCAGATCTCGACGATCAAGGCGGAGCGCGGCGCCCGCGTCGGCCGCTACATCATCGCGTCGACGACGGCCAAGTTCAACGAGCCCGAGGACATCTACTCGATCCCCTGCGACATCGTCTTCCCGACGATCCGCGGCGAGATCGACGCGGACGTCGCCGCGCGCCTCGCGGACAACGGCTGCGCCGCCGTCGTCGACGCGGGCTACGCGCCCTCGACGCCGAGCGCCATCCGCGCCTACAAGAAGCTCGGCATGGCCTACGGGCCCTTCAAGGCGTCGCTCGCCGCGGGCACGGCCATCGCGTCGACGTCGTCGGAGCGCGTCATCTACAAGGAGGCCGTCATCGACGCCGTCGACGAGGAGGCGAAGCGCATCTTCGAGGAGGCGAAGCGCACGGCCAACGAGTACAACGTCCGCGGCGACCTCCACCAGGGCACGAACATCGCCTCCTTCCTCCGCGTCGCCAACGTCATGGCCGCCCACGGCGCCATCTGAGAACACATCGCACCCCCCCGCCCCCCTAAGCTTGAAGACATCACACGCGGCCGACGCGCCGAAGCTCGAGGACATCACACGCGGCTTACGCTCCGCGGCCTACGCTCCGCGGCTTCGCGCGGCGCGACGGGCTTTTCCGGGGCGCCTACTCGTCGGCGAAGGGGTTGAGCCAGTTCTTCTTGGGCTCGAGGTTCACCGCGTCGCCCTTGAGCTGCGTGTAGTGGCGCACGCCGTTGCGTTTCGCGTCGTCCAAGGTCATCTGACTCCCGCGCTTCTTGCTCCGGCTCGCCTGGCGCTTCGCGGCGTCGGCGTTCTTGGCCGCGTTGTACTCGGCTTCGGACATACCCTCTGGCACGTAGCCGCCGCCGCTGCTCGAGGGGGCGTCGGCGGCGACGGCATTTTGAAGCCATCGAAGAAGCCGCTGCGAACGGTCAGCGGGCTCGTGTAGATTTGGGGCTTCACCCAGGCCGATGCGGTGGACGCGAGCAAAAGGTAGCAGATTGACTTCATCCTGTTACGCTTGGCACGGGCCGCGAAGCCGCTCTGTTCGCTGTCGGTCGACGGGCCGCGAAGCCGCTTGTTCGCTGTCGGCCGACGCGAAGCCGCTCTGTTCTCGATGCCAGATCGAAGCCTGTGATTCTTGCCGAGATCGATTCTTGAAGCCTTCTTGATGCCAAAGTTGCACCAAAATTGCCGCGCTGAAATCACGTCCAGATCCAGCGGTTTGCCCTTTTACAACGCGGCCGGTCTAGCGTTCGAAGGGAGGCGGGTAGCCCAGGGAGCCGAGTCGCGCCATCGCCGACCTTGACGACGCGGCGAACGCCGCCGCGCCGCGCGGCGCGACCACGATGATGGGAGAGCGACTCAAACCCGAGCGCCGAAGAGGACGACGGATCGAAGTTAGGGCGCACGCGCACGCTGGACGGGCCCCTGCACGACGGTCCGGCCCCGGGACGGGGGCCGGGGACGGCGGGCACGGGGGTTCCGGCACGGTAAATGCGCTCCGGGCACGCGGCCCGGCACGGGCCCGGCACGCGGCACGGCACTCGGCACGGGCCCCCGGGCACGGGCCGGGCACGGGCCACGCCGTGCGGCGCGGCCCGGCACGGGCCCGGCACTCGGCACGGGCCCCGGGCACGGGCCGGGCACGGGCCGGGGAGGCCCGGCACGGGCCCGGCACGGGGCCCCGGGCACGGGCCGGGGACGTGGCCGGGGACCGCGGCACGCATCGTCGCGCAGGGGCCCCTCGCTGGCCTTCTTCGCCTTCGCAGCTCATTGCCGTCGTCGACATCAACATCGCTGCAAAGACAAAAGCATTTGAACTTCGCGGTGGCATGGACATCGAGCTCGGCACTCTCGCACAGCAGTAGCAAAGATCGCACTGCATCCGAGCACCCATTCCGCACCGGCCATCATCACCGCACATCCACACGCGCAAAAAGACCGACGCAAAAAGCCGCCATGTTCAAGCGCTTCGCCGTCCCCCAAAACGCCGAGGAGGAGGCGGCGGAGCGGCGGGCCGTGGCGAAGAAGCTCGCCCAGACCTGCCTCTTCCAGAACGTGGACCCGCGCGCCGTGGCGAAGGTCGCGGGGCGCATGGAGCGCGTGCCCTTCCGGCCCGGCGAGCGCCTGGGCGCGCTGCAGGACGAGCCGCAGACGTCCATGTACGTCGTCACGCGCGGCTCCGTGGTCCGCGAGCGCCGCGAGGCGACGGCGAAACTGCGCGTCGACGAGGGCCCGCGGGGCATGGGCGACGTGCCCGACTTCGCCGTCGCCGTCGCCGGCGGGCCCGACGGGTCCGCGACGGTGTCCGTCGTCGGGCCCGACGTCGACGGGTTATTGGCCGCGGTGTCCAAGGCGCTCTACTCCTGCGGCCTCTCGGTGCGCAAGGTCGAGAACACGGCGACGCGGAGCGGCGGCGTGCGCGACAACTTCGTCGTCGAGCGCGCGGGCGAGGCGCTGGGCGAAAAGTCGCGGGGTTTGGTCCGCGCCGCGGTCGTGAAAGCGTGCCACGAGTGCGCGCTGGGGTCGCTGCGCTACTACGGCGTCAATTCCTTCGGCACGCTTCATGTGGTTGAGCGCCTGCCGGCCTTCGCGACGACGACGGCCGTCTCCCACGGCGTCGCGTACCGCCTCGACGGCGCCGACGTCGACGCGGCGCTGCGCCAGCACGGGCCGGGCGTCATCGCGGGCCTCTGCGCGGAGATCTTCCGCATGTCCGAGACCTACGAGCCCCTGCCCCTCTTCGAGCAGCCCCCGAAGCGCGTCAACGTCGCGGCCGTGTCCGTCGCGGCCGCGTTCGAGTCCTACTACCGCGCGATGCTCAACACGCTGCTGAACTCGACGGTGTCGACCGTCGCGGACGCGCCCGCGACCATGTTCCCGAACATGACGGTGCAGATCCCGACGCGCATGCTCTACATCAACGGCTTCAAGCTGTTGCGCCAGGCCTTCGACGACGCGCTTCGATCGGACGACCGCGAGACGCACGCCTACGAGAGTCTCATCCCCGCGCTCCTGCCCGGCGTCCTCATGACGCCCGTGTCGTCCATCCTCGAGGCCTGCAACGCCGAGTACGCGAACCCGGAGCCCCTCCTGCGGCGCGCGGCGCGCGGCGCGACGTTCCGCTGCGGCCGGGAAGTGATCTTCGGCCTGGGCCTCAACAATTTGGCGGACTACTGCGAGGAGCGCGTGCCCCGCGACGTCGCCAATTCCAAGCTCGCGCGCAACGCGCTCGGCTCGGTAGGGGCGGGGGTCGTCGCGGGCTACTTCAGCCACGTGCCGCACAACCTCTCGACGCTCGCGATGCTCGAGCCGGGGAGGAGTTACGGCGACCACTGGCGCAACCTCGTCGCCAACGCCCGGGCGAACCGCCTCCCCGCGAACCTGCCGCCGGCCCAGGCGTCGGTCCTCGCGAACGCGCTCGCGCTCTTCCTCCCCGCGGGGCTCCTCATCCGCACGACCCAGATCGTCGGCTCCTTCTGCCTCCTCAACGGCATCTCCCACGCGCTCGACGTCTCGCGCACCGACGAGTAAGCAGGGTGGTGGGACGCGTCTGCGGCGGAAGTGCGTCCGGAGGTCGGACGCTTGTGCCGATCGGCAGGCTATCGGCGCGACCGAGGCCGCCGGCCGCAACTTGGACCGCGGCACCTTGCACATCGCACGTCGATCGATCGAGCGGGCTCAAACACCACGCACAACACCTCGGCAGGCAGCATGCGGTGGCTCTTGGCGCTGGTGGCCTCAAGCGCCTGGGCCCTCCGGGCGCCCGCGCGCTTCGTCGCGCGCACGCCCGCGTCGGCGCGCGCCTCGCGCTGGCGCGGCGCGGCGGCGGCGGCGCTCCCGCGCGACCCTACCCTGGTCGTGCTTGAGGGCAAGACGCGCCAGATCACGGAGGACGACGGCGCCGACAAAAATCGCCTGGACAAGTGGAAGAAGGAGGTGTCCGTGCTCGTCGCCGTCGCCTGGGCGCGGTGCCGCGTGCTGGCCCTGCGGTTCCGCGCGTACGCGGCGACGCCGCGGGGCAAGCGCGGGCTCAGCGTCGCCTTCTTCGTGTGCCTCGCGCTGCTGCTGCGCGGCGCCGGCGGCGCGGGGTCGACGAAGGCCGTCGAGGCCGCCACGGAGGTGCCCTGGAGCGACTTCCTCGGCGCCGTCGAGCGCAAGGGCCGCGTGGCGGACGTCGTCGTCTCTGCGTCGCGCTACGAGTTCGTGATGGACGGCGCCAGGTGCTTCACCGTCCCCGCCCAGATCCAGAGCGAGCTGGCCCAGAAGCTCATGGACGCGGGCATCACCTGGAGCCGGGCCAAGGGCGCGGCGCTCACGCCCGCGCGCGCGTTCTTCTATCTGATCGCGGGAGGCTACTGCTTGGCCTTGTTCCGAGTCGCGCGGCAGATGACGGGCGGCGGCGTCGGGTCCGTCGGGCGGCGGCGGCGCGCGGCGGTGAGCGAGGAGGACGCCGTGACCTTCGAGCAGGTCGCGGGCATCGACGCGGCGAAGCGGGAGGTCGCGGAGCTCGTGGAGATGACGACGAACGGCGCGCAACAGCGGCGCTACGCGGCCGTCGGCGCGCGCGCGCCCCGCGGCGTCATGCTCGTGGGCCCGCCGGGCACGGGCAAGACGCTCCTGGCGCGGGCGCTGGCCAACGCGGCGCGCGTGCCCTTCATCTCCTGCTCCGGCTCCGAGTTCGTCGAGATGTTCGTCGGGCGCGGCGCCGCTAGGGTCCGCCAGCTCTTCGCCAAGGCCGCCAAGCTCGGGTCCTGCGTCATCTTCATCGACGAGATCGACGCTTTGGGCAAGGCGCGGCGCGAGTCGAACTTCGCCATGAACGGCGCCAACGACGAGGTCGAGCAGACGTTGAACCAACTGCTCGCGTGCATGGACGGCGTCGTCCCCAACGACGGCGTCGTCGTCCTGGCGGCGACGAACCGCCTGAGCGTGCTCGACCCGGCGCTCGTGCGGCCGGGCCGCTTCGACCGCATCGTCCGCGTGCCGCCGCCGGATTTGGTGGGCCGCGAGCAGATCCTGCGGGTCCACGCGCAGAAAGTCGCCATGGCCAGGGACGTGGACCTCGGCGACACCGCGCGCGAGACCAAGGGCCTCGTCGGCGCGGAGCTCGCGGCCATCGTCAACGAGGCCGCCGTGCGCGCCGTGCGCCGGGGCTCCGACGAGGTGTCGCAGCGCGACATGAAGGACGCGCTCGTCGACTTTGCGCTCTCGCGGAGCCCGCTCGGCGGCGCGCTGACGGGCCTCTTCAAGCCCAAGGACACGACCCTCAAGCCGGCGACCTAGGCGCTCCTGCTCTAGAATTTAAAGGGGGCGCCGGCCTACATGATCGCGCACTTGGCGAGCGAGTTGAGGCAGTTGTTCGGCGGCGGGTCCTCGAAGGGGTCGTCCGCGGCGACGGCGACGACCGCGGGCTCGGGCGGCTCCTTCTTCTTCGACGCCTTCTTCGCGAAGCTCGGGATCTTCCGCGGCGACTTGGGCGACTTCGCCATGGCCGCGGGCTTGGGCGGCTCCGGCTCGCCCTGGGAGCTCACGAAGTCCGCGAACGTCGGCGGCGGCGCCGCGGGCAGCGGCGACGCGGGCGACGCGGGCCGCGGCGCGGCCGCGGCCGCGGCGCGCGGCGGACTCGGCGACGCGGGCGCGGCGACGTTGTCCGGCGTGACGACGGGCGGCGACGCGGGCTTCGACGGCGGTGCCTTGGGCGGCGACGCGGGCTTGGGCGACGGCGGCGGCGGCGGCGCCGGCGCCGGGTCCGCCAACGCCGGCGGCGGCGGCGCCGCCGGCGTGGCGGGCGTCGCGGGCTCGGGGGCCTTCTTCGGCGTCGGCGGCGGGCTCGCGGGCGGCGGAGCGACCTGGAAGACGGGCACGAGCGCCGCGCCCGACCGCGCGCACTCGTCCGCCGGCTTCGCCACCAGAGCGTAGCTGGGCAGCCGCAGGTGCGGCGACAGGGGCGTCGGCGTCGGCACGGCCAGGGCCAGGCGCTGGCCGTCGACGTCGAGGCACGCGCCCGCGGACAGGTAGGGCGACGACGCCGCGTCCAGGAACCGCTTCCGCGCGCCCCGGTCCGCCGGCGGCGCGGCCAACGACGGCCGCGCGAGGAGCGCCGCCAGCGGCGGCGCGGCGCCGCCCGGGTAGCGGTCCGTCGCGTGGGCGTGGCAGCGCACGAGGGCGCCGTCCGGCGCCACGAGCACGACGCCGCCCGCCGACGGCTTGAACCACGACGGCTCCGGCTCCGGCGCGCGTTTGAAGACCAAGGCCTTCTTCCGCGGCCGCGCGCGCGAGCCGCCGGTCGAGTGGACGAACGTCGCCTGCGTCGCCTCCAGCACCGGCGAACCGGGCGCGCCCGCCCCCGGCGCCAGCAGCGCCCGGGCGACGCGGTAGAGGGCCGCGAGCACGGAGCCCTCGCCGGAGCCGCCCGGCGCGTGGACCTGGGCGGGAAAAGGGTGACGTTGGAGGCTCATATCTCGGTCGTTTCGGCTAACTTTTGGACGAGCGATCATCTCTCGGAGCGCTCTCGACGCGTGGATGCTTTTTCCCGAACGCGCGCGCGCGGAACGCTCATGTTGAAGCGAACTTGAATCACCCTGTTCCCGCCCGGCGCGTGGACCCTGCTCCCCGGCACCGCGACGGGCGCCGCGGCCGCGCGCACCGTCGCCGCGACGAACTCGTACAAAGGCGCGGCCTCGCCGTCGATGTCGACGCGGAGCTCGACGTCCGACGCGTCGAGGGAGGCCCGCACCGTCGTGCCCGCGGGCTCGCGCGCCGCGCCGCGGCGCGCTTTCGCGCGACCGTCGAGGAAGCCCGCGAGGGCCTTGCGCGCCTTGGGCACGTCCGTCGACGACCGCGCGAGCGCCACGACGAAGGAGACCTTGGTTTTGGGGCCCGCGGCCTTGCGCCCGAACCAGGACGACGCCTCCGGCGCGTCCTTGGCGTCGAGAAAGACGTTCAGCTCGCGCACGGCCGTGTCCTTGCGCGTCCGCGGCGGCTCTAAAGACGCGAAGGGCACGAGGACCGTGCCGAGGCGCGTCTCGTAGGTGCCCGCGACGCCGACCTCCACGAGCGACAGCGCGAGCGTCGGCGCCGCGGAGTTCTTCGGGCGGAGCTCGTGCCAGGTCTTGCCCTCGGCGGCGTCGTCCCACGTCGCCGTCGCGCCCCGGAGCGCCGACGGCGGCGACCGCGCGCACTCGGCGCCGGCGGCCGCGTCGAAGGCCGGCGCCTCGCCGGCAAAGTCGGGCGCCAGGAGGCGGAGGTCCACGCGGACGTCGCGCTCGCGGCCGACGCCCGCGTCGAACGTCGACGCCGCGGGCACGCCGTCGACGGCGTCGAGCTGCACGAGCAGCGTCGGCGCGTCGCCCGGCCCGCGCTGCTCCGCCAACGCGAGCTTCGCCGCCGTCGCGTGGCGGTGCGCGATCGCGCGGCACGCGGCCGCGCGGACCGCGGGCCACGTCGCGTCCAACGCGAGCTGCTCCGCGTAAAGAGCGAGAGCCAACCGTGGATCGATGTCTCCGGGGGCATCATCATCCCGCTCCTCGCCGTCGATCTCCCAGTCGTCGACCTCGAAGTCGAGCGTCGACCCCGGGGGCGCGTCGCGGAGCGACGCCCAGGCAGTCGGCGCGGACGCGCCCGGCGCGGGCGCTGCGGCGCGCGGCGGGAAGGGCGGCCGGTAGCGCCGCGGCCGCACCTGCTGGTCCACGGCGCGCCGCGCGCGGCCGACCTCGTCGCGCGCGAGCTGGCAGGGGTGCACGTAGAACTTGCCCGCGCGCGTCACGCACGACGACTCGCCGAGCTCGTAGTACGCCTCGCCCGACGACTCGTCGCGGAAGACGCCGCAGCGCACGTGCTTGTGCAGGAGCTTGCGGATGGCGACGTAGCGCGCCGCGCCGCGCCACTCGTCGAACCAGGCGCGCCACGTCGCCGCGCCCGCGCGGCCCGACCGCGGCGCCGCGAGGTCCCGCGCGTCGCGGCGCCGCTTCGCGACGTCCGCGCGCGCGGCGCCGATGGCCGCGGCCCAGCGCGCGCGGACGCGCTCGAGGGCGCGCGCGGCGGCGGCGGGCGTCGCCGCGTGCTGCGCCGTCTGCTGCTTGACGAGCTCGATGCGCCGCTTCAATCGCGCGAGCTCGTCCGCGACGGCCGACGGGTCCAGGGCCCGCTCGGGGCTTTTCGCCGCCGAATCGGCGGGCCGCGCGCCGCGCGGGTCCTCGTCGAAGGCGTCGTCGTCGTCGTCGTCGTCGCTGTCGAAGTGGCCCGCGAGCAGGTCGCCGGGGGACCGGGGCGCGGGGGGCGCGCCGCCCGGCGACGCGTCGACGAGCGCCGGCGGCGTGCGCCGCGCGACGTCCTGGCGCCGCCGGTGCGCGCGGGCTAGGCGCTCCGCGGCGTCGAGGAGGAAGGCTAAAGCCAGCGGCGTCAGGCGCCCGCGCAACCGCGTCACGTCCGCCGCGACGTCCGCGCGCTTGATCCACCTGGGCAGGAAAAGGGTGCGAAATTCCCAACTTCAAAGGCTCCGATCTCGGTCGTTTTTCGGGGCGTTTCGGCTGATTTTTGGACGAGCGATCATCTCTCGGAGCGCTCTCGAAGCGTGGGTGCTGTTTCCGAAACGCGCGCGCGCGGAACACTCACGTTGAAGCGACGTTGAATCACCCTGTTCCCGCCCTGTGATCCACGGGCGCAGCTCGTCGCCGTCGCCCGCGACCGCGCCGCCGTCGGACCCCACGGGCGGCGTCTGCTGCTTGAGGGCCGCCCCGAGGTCCAACGACAGCGTCGTGTCGAAGAGCGCCTCGTCGCAGGAGAGCACGGTTGCGCCCCGGCCGCGGACGGCCGCCTCCGCGGCGGCCCTAGACAACGCGCCCGCGGTCCGCGCGAGCTCCCGCGCCTTGCGCTTCGCCGCGGCGTCGTCGACGCCGTAGATCATGTCGCCGAAGGTGGCGTCGCCGGCGCCGTCGGTGAGCGCGGCCCGGGGCCAGGCGCCGCGGAGCGCCGCGACGACGCGCGCGTCGCGCTGTTTCCGCTGCGCGGCGTCGGCCTCGTCGCAGCCGCTCGCGCCGTCGCCCGCGCCGCAGTAGCACGCGACGCCCGTGAACCGAATCTTCTTCGCGACGACGTTCTCGGCGGCGGCCGCCGGCGACGCGCCGTCGACGGTGAGCTTGTGGATGACGCAGCCCGAGAGGAGCTTCTCGCCGGTGCCGTCGCCTGGGCAGGAAAAGGGTGCGAAATTCCCAACTTCAAAGGTTCCTATCTCCGTCGGTTTCCGCTCGCTTCGGCTGATTTTTGGACGAGCGATCATCTCTCGGAGCGCTCTCGAAGCGTGGGTACTGTTTCCGAAACGCGCGCGCGCGGAACACTCACGTTGAAGCGACATTGAATCACCCTTTTCCTGCCCTGGCCGTCGCCGAGCTCGGTCCCGGGCCGCGGCGACTCGACGCGGACGTGGACGCGGCGGATGACGAGCACCGACGACTTGACGATGGAGGAGATCGTGTCGCTGAGCGCCGTCGCCGACTGGTGCTCGCCCTCGGGCTCGGCCTTGGCGGCGTCGCCCTTTTTCTTCGCCGCCTCCTGCGGCGGCCGGAGGTAGTTGGCCCAGTACAGGTTCACGGCGATCTCCACGGCGCGCCGCGCGGCCTCGCCGTCGACGTCGTAGTCCGCGGACCGCAGGTAGATGTCGACGTCGTCGACGGTGAGCGTCACCGCGCCGCTCAGGTTCAGCGGCAGCTCGAGGCGGAGCTTCGCGGCGTGCGCCGCGACCGGTTCGAAGGGCAGCATCATCTTGTTCAGCTCGCTCGTGTTGAGCCAGAGGTCGTCGAAGCTCACGGTGCCGCCCAGGGACACGCTGAGGTTCTCCGCGCTGAAGTTGCGCAGCCAGCGGCCGCAGAGGCGGCGCACGAACTTCTCCAGCAGGTAGGAGAGCATCTTTTAGGGAGGTTGTGGTCGGGTTGTTGTTCGCGGGACCAGCGGTGGGGCTCCAACAGTTTTCCGGAGGCTCGGACGGGCTCAGCCCCGGGTCGTGGGCATATTTCGATGCCTCAGTCGCGGGCCACCCGCCGATGCCGACCTTCGAGACCGGGTCGAGCTGATTTTCCACAAGCGTCACCATCGACCTTGCCCTTTTTTTTCGCACACAGCAGGAGCTCACTCGCGCGCGACGCCAAGCTCTCGTAGGCGCCAAAAGGCGGCCAGCCAACGATGCCACCGTCGTCCACCGCCTTCCTCGGCCTGGTCGCGCTCGTCGCCAGCGCAGCAGCGCTCCAGAGACCACACGCCCCCGCCGCGTTCCCCGCCGCGGCGCGCGCACAAGCAACCACCGCCGCCGGCGCCGAGTCCCCTACCGCGCCCGCGCCAACACCCACAACCGACGGCGCGAAACCGCCCGCAAAGTCCGCGCTCGTCTTCGGCTTCTTCGCGGCCAAGGACCGCGAGCTCAACTTCATCAAGAAGCAGTACGCCAAGTACGGCTACGACGACGTCGTCGTCGAACCGAGCGCGATCGCGCGCCTCGCGCGGCCGAGCGGCTGGTACAAGGTCTTCCGGGAGAACGCGGGCCTCGGCCGGGACCACCACCTCGCGCGCCACTTCGACGTCGTCCACTGCATGTCCGGCGGCTTCCTCCACCTCTACCTCACGCGGGGCGCCGGCGTCCCCCTGACGTGCGACACGCTGCTCCTCGACAGCACGCCCATCCTGCCCAAGCCCGCGGCCTTCGTGACCTTCGCGCGCCAGTTCATCCGCGACCTCGGCGCCGGGCGCCTCGTGGACCTCTTCCCCCGGGTCCTGCACCTGTCCATCGTCCGCGCGCGTTGGTCCCTGACGGCGTTGCGCCTCCGGCTCCAGCACCGGCTCCTCCGCTGGAGTTCGGGCGAGAAGCTCGGCCACCTCACGGCCTGGCTGCGCATGTCCTCCGCGGCGGCCATCTCCGGCGGGGCGCTGACGTCCTTCGACGAGATCAGCAAGCACGCGGAGCGCACAATCTTCGCCTCGTCGCCGCGCGCGGAGCCGCCGAAGCGGACCGTCTTCCTCCACAACCCGGACGACCCCTACCTGAGCCACGACGACGTCCTCGCCACGCTCGACGCGGCCCGGGCCCTCGGCATGCCCACGCACGTCCGGGAGGTCCCGACGAACCACGTCCAGACCATCTTCCGCGACCCCAAGACCGTCATGGCGGCGCTCGCGGAGGCCGAGGCCCTCTAACAACGGTTACGCGCGGCCGGCGTGCGCGACCAGGCCGACGAGGGCGACGACCGCGGCGGCGCCGGCGAACTGTCGCCGCCGCGCCCGCGCGGCCGCCAACCGCCGTTTCTGGTACGCGGGCCACAGCCCCGGGTCCAGGGCGACGCCGTGCTTCTTGAGCAGCGCGTCGAGCTCGCGCAGGTCGACGACGCTCGGCGTCGACGGCGACGTCGTGTGCCGGTAGAGCTCGAGGCGCGTCGCGCGGTCCGCGTCCGACAGACCGTCGGACTTGGTCCGGAGGAGCGCGCAGGCCGCGAGGGCGTAGCGCGCCACATCGTCGAAGGCGCGCGGGTCCTCGAGGTGCCTCGCCGTCGTCGCCTCGTCGTCGCCGCGCGTCTTCATGGCGTCGACCGCGAACCGGAACTCCGCGAGCACGGTCTCCGCGTCGAGGGCCTCGCCGCCGCCCGCGAGGACCGCGGCGCGCGCGACGGCGTCCGTCGTCAGCGCCGCGCGCTGCCGGAGCTCGGCCTTCGTCGGCGACGCGACGCAGCGCGACAGGTTCGCGAGGCCCGCGTTCGGAGCGGCAAATTCCAACGCGGCCGCGAGCGCCGGAAACCGGCTCAGCGCGACGTCGAGGCGCGCGGGCCGCGCGTCGCCGTAGACGCGCCGCCCCCGGGCGTAGGCGCCGTCGAGGAGCGCGCGCGCCGCCGCGCCCTCGCGGGCGAGCGCGCCGCCGTCGTCGAGGAACGCGCGCGCGCGGACGCCGCCGTCGACGTCGTTCGAGCTCATGAGCTTGAGGGAGCCGGGGTCGACGCGAAAGACGGCGCGGCAGGCGCGGAGCTGCTGGACCGACGCGACGCGCGCGCGGTCCGTCTCGTCGACGACGAGGTCGTCTTCGTCGGAGAGCGGCCGCGGCTCGCGCGCGCCTTTAAAAAGACCGACGCAGACGGCGACGACGGCGACGACGCCCGGGAGCGCCACGAAGACCCAGGGCACGCCGGACACGCCGGCGATGGCCGGCTTCAGGACGGGGCCGAGGACCGCGCCGGCGACGAAACCCGTCGGCGCCGCCACCGGCAACAATCGGTCGACGAGGCGCCCGAGCTCCGGCGCGTCGACGCCGAAATGCCATCCGAAGAGCGGCGCGTAGGTGTAGGGCGCCAGCACGCCCGTCGCGGCCCCCACGGCCGCGCCGACGGCCGCCGCGGGCCCCGCGGCGAGGAGCCACGCGGGCGACGCTTTGGGCAGGACGCGCGCCATGCCGTCGAGGAGCCGCCGCGGCCCGCCGTGGGCCGCCTCCAGGAGGCCGTAGGTGAGCGCGGCGACGGCGCCGTTCGCCGCCGCGGCGGGCGCCAGGAGCTCCGCGTGGTCGACGAGCGCCGGCAGCGCGTCGCGGACCGCGAAGGAGAAGACTCCCGCCGCGGACCCGACGAGGAGGAACCGCGCGTTGCGGCTCGGCACGACGTGGGCCGCGAGGCGGTAGGCGCCGACGACGGGGAAGACGGGCGTGCAGACCGCCGTGACGGAGCCGACGAGGCCCGCGCGGACGAGGAAGGGCGGCGTGGAGGCTTCGCTGTTGGAGAGGTGCAGGTGGCGGGCCGTCGGCGTGCGTTGCGCGCTCGCGGCGCGAGTGTGCGACGTGCGCAATAGGCGCGTTGCGGTGGTTGTTTTCGAGGCGCGCAGGGCGCGGATGGCGACGCGCGACGTCGCCTGGCGCAGCACCATCGTTTCTTGCCACTGCACTTGGCGAGCGGTCAAGCATGGAGGCCAACAAAGCCGACAAACCGGCGCCCGAGATGCAGACGAGCCAGGGCGGCGGCTTCTTCATGGGTCCAAAAATGACGCAGGAGGACATGGAGCGCGCGCTCAAGGTGGAGATCGAGCGCGAGTTCCGCAACGGGTTGAAACGCTGCGTCTGCTGCCAGCGGCCCGGCGAGTGGAAGCTCAAGTGCGGCCGCTGCAAGAAGGCCTACTACTGCGGCCGCGAGTGCCAGAAGTGGCACTGGAACACGCACAAGCAGAGCTGCGTGCCCTTCGGCGAGGCGCCGCCGCCGAAGCCGAAGCCGAAGCCGAGGCCGAAGCCGCCGCCCGACGACGACGACGGCGGCGACCTCTTCGACCTCACGGACGACCAGCTGCGCGTGTCCTACCTCGAGGGCTGCGGGAGCGTCGACGCCGCGGCGGCGCACGTGCGGCGGCGCTGGGCGGCGCGCGGCGCGCCCGTGGCCGCGGCGCTCGTCACGGGCCACGGGGGCCGGCGCTGCGTCATGGAGCTGCCCGGGCGGCCCGCCCTGGACGTCGAGGACGTGCTGCGGGGCCACGCGCGGCCCGCGCTGCTCGAGATGGCGAAGAAGAACCCGAAGTGCGCGCTGAGCGTCGGCGCGACGGGCAAGGCGCGGCGCATTCCGCCGCTCACCGCTTCTCCTCCGTCGTTCCCGTCCCTGCTCCTGGACGACGCGATCCCGACGGCCTTCGTCGGCTTCAGCGGCCTCGACGAGGCGGCGATCAAGGCCCTCGCCGACGCGGCGCTCCTGGACGACCTCGCGGGGTCCGGCCCCGTCGCCGCGGTCGCGGGCTACGACGGCGACGGCGGCCTGCCCGTGCCCTGCAAGGGCCTCGAGTCCGCCGTGCTCGTGCGCTTCACGGGCCTCGGCGACGCGCGGCCCGCGCTGGCGCCGCTCTACGCCACGGTCCACGGCCGCTGCAGGAACAACGTCGTCGCGGCCGCGGTCGCGAAGAAGGCGTTGTTCTACGCGCTCGAGGCCGACGACCGCTACGCGAGCCCCGTGGACGGCGCGGAGCTGCTCGTCAACTCGCGGGGCGTCCCCGTGGACACGGCGGCGCTGTTTCGCACGACGCGCCTCGACGAGGCCGCGGCGATGACCGAGGCGGAGATCGCGAGCCGGTTCCGCGTCGACGCGGACGTGCCGAGCTAATTTTGCTACTGCCGTCGACGCTCTCTAGCTCAAAACCGCGTTGCACGCGACGGAGATCCGGAGGCCCGCCGCGCGCGCGTCGCCCGGGAGCGCGCGCGGCAGGACCGCGTGGGACACGTGGCCGGGGAAAACCCACAGGTCCCCGGGCGTCGGCGGCACGGCGACGTAGGCGTACTCGTGCGTGAACGCCTTGAGCTGCGTCCGCAGCAGCAGGTGGCCCGCGTCCCGGTGGGGCGGTTTCGCCGCGCCGCCGTCGACGAAGAAGACGCACGCGAAGGCCGCGTCGCCGTGGTCGTGGAGCGCGTTCGCGTCGGCGTCGCCGGAGCCGTTCAGCCAGCCGGACAGTTTCGCCAGCGCGCCGTCGGCCGCGAGCGCCTCCGCGACGAGCGCTCTCAACGGGGCGTACCAGGCGCCGGCGTCGCCGTCGAAGGCGCGCTCGTCCGACCGGCGGCCGCCGACGTTCGAGACGCGCGCGCCGGACCGGAGCGCGCTCGCTTGCCGTCGCAGCGATCGCAGCAGGGACGCCGGATCGCGGACGACGTAGCGGCGCGCGATCGACGCGCCGCCGCCGCCCGGCGCGTTGTCCGGCAGGCGGTAGCGGTCGACGCGCGCGAAGGAGCCGACGGCGTGCTCCGCGCTCGCGTCGAGGCAGCCGTCGAGGTCCAGGCGCCGGAACGAGGCGCCGTGCTCCCTGCCGAGGCGGAACCAGCCCTCGCCCGTCCACATGCTGCCGAGCAAGCGGTCGGCGACGTTGCCCTCGGCGCCGTCGGCCCAGGTGCAGCCCGCGAGCACGTCGTCGAAGGCGGCCATGCGACGCGTCGCGCGACGCTTCCGCGCAGCGATGTGCGCGCGGTCGCAGCCGCTGCGCGCGCACGCCAGCGCTCGGCGCAGGCAGCGCTGCTTTGGAGATGCTCCAAGGTGTTTTGGCCATGGCTGAGTGCATGTTGTACTTCAACCTGGACGCCGTCTTTGAGTGCCGAGCCGATCAGGCTGGGCCGCCGTCGGGGCAGCTTCTGAATCGGCAATGGCCGTGAATGCGAAGCGGCGGTCGAGCTCTTGGCAGCCCGACGCAAGCCGAGAGCTGTTCTGGCAGCACCAAAGAGAAAAGGCGCAACGAAATCTGTCGGAGGAGTGGCCGCTGCAGACGGTGCTGGCCGTCACCAAAGCGAGGGAGAAGGCCGCCGCGGTCGCGCCGCCGGAGGAATCGCCGCCGCCGCCGAGCGTCGCGCCGCCGGAGACGCCGGCGTCGCCGCCCGCCAGCCCGGGGCTCCACCCGTGCGGCCTCGAGCGCCTCGCGTCGTCGCGCGACCACCTCGACGCGCTCGACGACCCGACGCGCTGCGGCGCGCTGCACATCCTGCCGCCGACGGCGCCGCCGCCGCCGCCGCCGAGGCGGCGGCGGTGGTCCCTGGGCTTCTGCTCCTGCCGCGAGAATTACGTCGACGAGATCGCCCTCTAGGAAAACGCGGGGACGCTCCTCCCGACTCTAGGCGCCTAACATTTACGTCGTGCAGTGGACCTCGTCGCCGGACCCGTCGTCCAGGAGCGGGACCGGGTAGGGGTGGAGGAACCGGGTGAGCCACGCGGGCGGCGCGGGGAGCCGCGGGAGCTCGTCGGGCCCGCAGGCGCGGCCGCGGCCGTCGCGGCACGCGTCCGCGGGCCAGGCGTAGGCCACGACGTCGGCCTTCGGCGGCTTCTCGACGCGCCAGGCCGCGGGCGTCGCCGACGAGAGCTTCGCGTAGGCGACCTTGAACGGTTCGCCGCGCGCCTTCGCCAGCGCGAGCGCGCGGCGGAGCTCGTAGGCGGGCATGGCCAACGCCGGCGGCGGTTTCGCCCCCCCCGCCGCGGGCGCGAGGCCGGCGCCCTTCTCGTTGTGGAGCGCCGTGTCCGCGTGGTCGCTGTTGCCGCGCTCGAAGTAGTTCCGGGCCGCGTAGAACTCGAAATAGCGAGCGGGATGGCCCGGCACGGCGTCGCGGAGCAGCGCCACCGCGTACGGCGGCTGCTCGTGGGACACGTCGGCGTTGAAGAAGAGCTCGTCGAAGACGCCGCCGGTCGTCCCCCGGCGCTCGAGGCGCACGACGCCGCCGCCGAAGGCGCCGCCGAGCGCGGTCCGCGGGTCCGCCTCCTCGTAGAGCCGCTGGAGCACGCCCGTGGGCGCGAGCAGGTGGTTGCCGTAGGCGCCGTCGAACTGGCGCAGGTTGCCGTACATGCTCGACGACGCCATGGCCATGACGCCGACGACGGGGAAGACGAAGCCGTAGGCGACGCCGGCGCCGACCGCGCCGCGCCGCAGCGGCCCGTCGCGGCAGACGAGCCTCTCGACCGGCGCGCCGTCGAAGAGCGCGCGCCGGTAGTAGCAGCCCCCGAGCACCACGAAGAGCGCGCCCGCCGTATCGACGGCGCCGCGGTGCGCCTTGAGGAAGAGCGCGGCCATCGCGGCGAGGACGGCGACGCCGCCCGCGGCGCCGCGCTCGCCCCGCGCCGTCCCCAGCAACGCGCCGGGCAAAAAAAGAACGAGGCGGCAGCCCATGGAGATCGAAAATCCGCCCGCGTAGGTCACGGGCATCAGGTTGATCGTGAAGTGGAAGAGCGCCGCCGCGGGCACGGCCCACCTCGAGCCGCGCAGCATGAGCAGCGGCACGAGCGCCTCGATGCCCACGATCTGCGCCGGCGCCGACGCCATCAGCCCCTTGGCGAAGGCGCCGGTCGTCGCGATCGCGTCGCCGAAGAGCGCCGCCGCGAGCTCGGCCACGAGCGTCGTCGCGCAGGACGTCTTCGGCTCCAAGAAGGACGTCGTGAGCTTCCAGAAGGCCGCGGAGAAGTAGAGCGTGACCAGCAGCGCGCGCGCCGCCGGCAGGAACGCGGTCCGCATGAATTCCTGTCCGCCGCCGCGGAGCACGGCGACGACGTAGACGAGCTCCGTGAGCGCGACCCAGCACATGTAGTCCCAGACCGCGGGCATGCGCGCGAACCAAAACGCGACGTTCGCCGCGTGACCGGCGGCCAGCAGCGGCTTCGACGTCGGATGCGCGGCGACGGCGAGCGACAGGGGCAGCCGGATCTGCCAGTCGAGCGCGCCGATGGGCCGCTGGTCCATGGCGCCGGCGATGCCCAGAACCTTGTCAACGAAAGGCACGAGGTTGTGCAACACCCAGGCCCAGGCGTACTCGGCGTGGAGCTCGTCGTCCGTGAAGAAGTAGCAGTGGAGCCGCTTGGACATCGTCTGTGGCATCCTCGAGCAGCGAGAGTTTTGCTTGAGGCAAAGATGAAGCAAACGAGCATGTTGAGGAAGGCGATGGGAGTGCAATAGCTGCACGAAGTGGGCAATAACAGCGCGCAGCCATGGTCCTCCGGCACTCGCTGACGCTGGGTTTGCTGCGCGGCGGCTTCCTGCGCGCGCCCCACTGCCGCCGCCGGCTCGCCCTCCGCGCCGGCGAGGGCGCCGCCCCGGAGGCGCTGCCGGCGGCGAGCGCCTACCACACGCCAGTTATGGGCAACGAGTGCGTCGACTGGCTCGTCACGAAGCGCGACGGCTTCTACGTCGACGGCACGCTCGGCGGCGGCGGCCACTCGTCGCTCATCCTCGCGAAGCTCGGAGACGGCGGGCGGCTCGTCGGCGTCGACCGCGACGCGGCCGCCATCGAGGCCGCGGGCGACCGCCTCGCGGCGGACGGCCGCTTCTCGTCCGTGCACGCGAACTACGACGCGGGCGTGCGGCGCGCCGTGGAGGCCGCGGGGCGCAAGGCCGACGGCGTGCTGCTGGACCTCGGCGTGTCGAGCCGCCAGCTCGACGACGCGGCGCGCGGCTTCAGCTTCCGCGGCGACGGGCCCATCGACATGCGCATGGACGGGCGGGACGGCACGACGGCGTCGGACCTCGTCAACGGCCTCGACGAGCGGGACCTGGCCTTCCTGCTGCGGGCGAACGCGGACGAGCCGAACGCGGGGCGCGTCGCGCGCGCGCTGGTCGCCGCGCGGCCGCTGGGCTCGACGACGGCGCTGGCGGACGCCGTCGCCGCCGCCGTGCCCCGGCAGAAGCGCTCGGCGCCCGCGGCCCACGCCCAGGCGCAGAAGAAGGCCGTCGCGCGCGCGTTCCAGGCGCTGCGGGTCGAGGTCAACGACGAGTTCGGCGCGCTCGAGCGGCTGCTGCTGGACCTGCCGGCGCTCGTCGCCGAGGGCGGCCGCGTCGTCGTCCTCACGTACCACTCGCTGGAGGACCGCCGCGTGAAGCGCATCTTCCGCGACGGCCGGCTCCGCGGCGACGCGCCGCGGGACGACTACGGCAACAAGCTCGCGCCCTTCGCGCCGCTGCACCGGAAGGCGCTCCCGCCGTCGGAGGGCGAGGTCGAGCGCAACCCCCGCGCGCGGTCCGCGAAGCTCCGCGCCGCGGAGCGGACGGACATTACTATGGAGTAAGGCGAGGCACCGCAGTGTGGCGATCGCGAGGCGGCAGCGCGCGCTCTCTTACGAGGCTCGACGGTCCCCGAGTGGAGTATGGCGAGGCACCGCCGGCGGTCTAATCGGAACGCATCTTCCGCGACGGCCGGCTCCGCGGCGACGCGCCGCGGGACGACTACGGCAACAAGCTCGCGCCCTTCGCGCCGCTGCACCGGAAGGCGCTCCCGCCGTCGGAGGGCGAGGTCGAGCGCAACCCCCGCGCGCGGTCCGCGAAGCTCCGCGCCGCGGAGCGGACGGACATTACTATGGAGTAAGGCGAGGCACCGCAGTGTGGCGATCGCGAGGCGGCAGCGCGCGCTCTCTTACGAGGCTCGACGGTCCCCGAGTGGAGTATGGCGAGGCACCGCCGGCGGTCTAATCGGAACGGCTGTGGTTAGGCGGAAGCGCTCTCTTACGAGGCTCCCGCGGAAATGTCCCCGAATGGCGGGTCGCGGCATCACCCGCTGGCGGCCGCGAGCGCGCCGAGCGCCGGCGCGGAGGCGGAGATGACCATGGACTTGCGCCGCGCCGCGGGCGCGAGGCCGCCCGGGACCTGGTGCGCGAGCGCGTTGTGCGCGAGGTCGTGGATGTCGTCGTCGGAGTCCTCGAAGGCCGCGTCGCGGCGCCGGAGCTTGATGGCCTTGGCGTCGAGGCCCGACGCGGAGAGCGACCTACCGAGCACGACGGTGACGATTTCTCACCACCCAAAATCTCTCGAACATCGTCGCGGCCACAGGACGCGGACGGCGACTCGCGCCGCTTCGCCGCGGCCGCGCGCTTCGCGAGCTTGGCCGTGCGGCTCGGGTTGTGCCACAGGTTGAGCTCTGCGAGCTGGCCCTGGAGGCCTGGGCAGGACAAGAGAGATTCAACGTCGCTTCAACGTGAGTGTTTCACGCGCGCGCGTTCCCGGAAAAAGCATCCACGCGTCGAGACCGTTCCGAGAGATGATCGCTCGTCCAAAAATCAGCCAAAACGAGTGGAAAACGGCCGAGAAAGGAGCCTTTGAAGTTGGGAATGTCGCTCTCTTGTCCTGCCCCGCTGGAGGCGCTTCAGCTCGATGTGGTCCTCGGCGCCGAGGCGCCCCTTCTTCTTCTCCTTCTCGCGCTTCTTCTCCTTGAGCACGCGCACGCGCGACGCGACGCGCTCGTGGAGCTCCGCGCGCTTCTCCAGGGGCGTGTTCCGCATGGGGAGGAATCCGAGGTCCCGGTCGCGGCGCGACGTGTGGCTCACGGGGAACCAGGGGTCCGGCTCCGGCGGGGGCTCCTCGTCGAACTCGAAGCCCCGGCGGAACGACGCCCGGTTCCGCCGCGAGTCGGGCGACCCCGACGGCGACCCCCGCGGCGTCGCGAGGAACGGCGCGCCGCGGCCCCGCCGCGGGTCGGGCGACCCCGACGGCGACCGCTGGGGCGTCGCGAGCGCCGGCGCGCCGCGGAGGAGCGCGGGCGCGGACTGGGGGCGTGTGAGCGTCTTCTGGGTCGCCCGCGGCGGCGGCTGCTCGGGCGGCGCGTTGAGCGAGTGGTGGTTCAAAGGGATGACGGTCCAGGCCTGGCGCGCGGGCTTGCCCTCGCTGTCGAAGAGGCGCGACTTGGCGACGCCGAAGTGCTGCGGGTGGCGCACGGGCCGGCTCCCGTACTGCACGCGCCGCTCCTCGCGCCGCTTCTCGCGCCGCTTCTCGACGCGCTGGAGCCGCTTCGCCTCCGCGTCCTCCTTGACGCGCGTCATCTCCGCGAGAATCTCGGCCAGCGACACGGGCTTCGGGTCGATGACGACGCGGGGCGCCAGGCGCAGGCCCACATCGTCGAGCAGCGTCGGCGACGGGGTCTTGGGCATGGCGCCCTACGTCGCCGCCGCCATGCTCACGGACGGCGCTGATGGAAGAGCTGCCCCGACGACTCTTGAAACTGTTGAAGGGCACGTTGATTTTCATGTTGAAGTCCGACCCGCGGCCGTAGGCTACGCCCATGCGTGCTTCTTCGACCGCGCCGGCGGCCGCCCGATGCCGCGAGACGGCCGAACTTCCAAAATCCGCTAGATTGTAAACTCGCGGTCGCGGCCCTCGGCCCCGGGCGCGGACGTCGCCGCGCCCGCGGCCGCGGGCGCGGCCTTGGCCGCGAACGCGGCCGCGAGGTCCGGGAGCGCGTCCTCGCGGCCGCGCGCGCGCGCGTAGCACGTCCCCGGCGCGTCGGCCCAGTGGAGGCCCGGCTCGACGGCGTCGAGGTAGGCCGCGCGCGCGCGGTGCCCCCGGAGCGCGAGCGCCTCGAACGTCAACACCTCTTGCGGAGCGCGAGGTACGCGTGGAGGAGCAGGAGCTGGCCCCAGAGCAGCGCGAAGCACCCGAAGTAGACCGCGACGAGCACGTCCCAGGTCGCCGACTCGCGGTCCGCGTGCTTCTCCGCCGCCGCGAGGCCCCCGGCGGCGACGAGCGCCGCGCACGCGACGAACGCGAAGGCGACGACGCCCAGGAACGCGCCGTAGTTGCCCCGCCCCACGGGCCGCCGCAGGAAGACGCAGTAGTGGTCGAAGTCGAGGACGACGCCGCGCGTCGACGCGTCGAACTTGGACCGCGGCGGGCCCGCGACCTTGGCCCGGTGGTGGAGCACGACCGGCGACCGCCGCGCCGCGTCGCCGTCGCGCGCGAGCGCCGCGAGCGCCGCGGCGTAGGCCTTTCGCGCGGCGGGCTCGTCGCGCAGGAGGCCGGGGTCCGCCGTCGCCGCCACGTAGTAGCAGTAGGACCCCGCGGCCGTGGAGACGAGCGCGACGAGCGCGAGGGCCTCCACGGTCCCGAGAGACGCGCCGCTCGACGTCACGAACGTCGCGTAGAGCGCGGCGAGCACGGCCGTCGCGATGGCCCAGCGCCGGGGACACAGCGACGCGTTGAGCGGGCCTCGTTCCGAGATGGGCCAGGCGCACCGCGGCTCCCGCGGCACCGTCGGGCAGGCGAGCACGGGCGCGCCGTCGCCGTAGCCCGCGTTCGACCGCGCGCAGCGCGCGGACCAGAAGCTCCGGCCCTCGCGCGCGGCCGCGAGGGCCTCGGCGTCGCGCACGGGCACGCGCTCCGCGAGGACGAGCTGCTCGACGGCGTCGACGGCGTCGCGGCTCGCCGCGGCCTCGAGCGGCGTCGCGCCGCCCCGTCGACGCCGTTCAGGTCCAGGCCGTAGAAGCCCATGACGCTCAGCGCGTCCGCGTCGCCGCGCGCCGCGGCGACGTGCGCGGGCGTCTTCCCCGACCCGTCGGCGGCGCTCCCGGCGCCCGCGGCGCAGAGGCAGACGACGCCGTCGAGCCGCCCGTGCTCCGCCGCGTGGTACAGCGGCGTCCGGCCGCCGGCGTCGCGCGCCTCGAGGAGCGCCGCGGCGTCGCCGCGCGCCAGGAGCGCGCGCAGCGCGCGGCCGGAGCCGTTGCCCGCGGCGACGTGCAGCGCCGTCACGCCCGAGCCTACGAGGTGCGTCGGTCACGATTGTCTCGTCGTTTTCCCTCTCTCGAACATCGTCGCGGCCGCGGGACGCCGGCCCGGGCCCGGCGCGCCGTACCTCGCCGCGGCGGCGGACACGCTCGCGCACGCGCGCGCGTCGTCCGCGAGCGCCGCGGCGAGCGGACCCTCGGCGTGGTCCGTGAGCGGCGCCGGCGCCGGCGCCGCCAGAAGCGGCTGCGCCTCGAGGTCCGCGCCGGCGGCGAGCCGCTTTTTGAGAGCGCGGTTCTCGTCCTGCATGCGCCGCAGCTCGTCCTTGAGCCGGCGCTGCTCGCCGATGGACAGCGACGATTCTTCCACGGGCGCGGCGGCCGGCGGGTCGCTGAAGAAGGGGTTCTCGTCGTCGCGCGACTCGTACTCGTCGGCGCGCATCTGGGTGTGCGCGGGTGTGCTTCGCGCGAGCTGCTTGTGAACGTCGTTGATGACTTCGGCGTCGGGCTGGCGGTGCTGGGTTTGGATGCGCCACGCGGCGGGCGACGTCCAGTTTTTTTTGTCAAGCGTCTCGGCTCGAGCCGCCGGCCGACAAACACGCAGCCCAAAGCTTGCGCGCGCACGATTGGGCTGCTCAAGGTCGGACTTTGCCCGCAAGTGCGGCCTCGGTGCACGCTCGCTGAAGCACAGAGGCCTGCTCTCGACTCGATCTCGACGCCTTGCCATGGCCGCGCTCGACGAGGCGACCATCGCTGCGAAGCTGGACAAGCTCGACGTGTCCGACGGCGCTGCGACGACGGCGGACGCGACGGAGCCGCCCTTTGCGATTAAGTACGACCCGCGGGACGTGGCCAAGCTCGCGGCCCACGAGAAGGTCGAGGACTACCCGCCGCGGGCGCTGCCGACGGGCGAGGTCGCGCTGGCGCCCCAGTTCCACCTCGTCGGCGCGCACTGCGGGCGGGGCTTCCTCGCGTGCGACTGCGAAACGACGCGAGAGATTCCGGTCGGCACGGACTACCACTTCGCGGGCCTCCCCGCGCCGGGGTCCACGCGGTCGTCGCTCCTGCGGCGCTGGGCGAGCTGCGTGAAGATGTCGCCGACCATGGGCGCCTTCGCCGCCGACGCCTGGTTCGACGAGCACGGCGCGCGGACGATACAAGCGCTGGAAACGCGCGGCGGCGTCCTCGCGCGCATGGTCGACGATTTCTGCTCCGAGCTCGACGAGGACCCGAACCTGCCCATCCTCTGCCAGCTCGGCGGCATCCCCGAGGGCTTCCCGGCCCACGAGGCCGTCGACGTCGTCGCCGGTGAGGCGCGCGCGGCGCGCGCCGCGTTCGTCGCCGGCGACTGGAACTGCGTCGAGGCCCGCGCGGAAATCTTCAAGATGACTTCAATGAGGACTCAAATCTCCAATCCGACTTCAATGCGTATTTGCTCCGTGCTCTCCTTCGAGAACTCGACGAGAGAAAACGGCTCGTCCAAAAATCAGCCGAATCGACTTCTATTCGACCGAGAGTGCTTGAGGTTTCGTCGGGACGACCGGCGGTCGATTTCAGCGGTCGATTTCAGGTCACGAAGCTCGGCGCGACGCTGCTCCACGCGTCGTTCCAGACGTCGGACCCGGACGCCTACCCGGCCGACGACGCGCCGCTGGACCACCTCTTCGCGGGGCTCGACGTCCTGGTCAACGCGCTCAACACGGGCTTCTCGAAGCGCGGCTGGCGCTTCGCGGCGGAGCTCGACCGCGCGCCCGCCGGCGACGGGGGCGACGCGCCCGCGCGGGTCCGCCTGCCCGCGCCGGAGGCGCGCCTCGCCGCGCTCGGTAGCGACATGGACTAGGCCGGGGGGTACCGGTTCGCGAGGGCGCGCCCGCGGCGGGCGCGCGCCCGCGCCGCTACCATGCAGCAAAATATGCAATGAGGCTTCGCATGTTCATGCATCTCTTTCTGACACCGAGCTATTTACACATCTTCGACACAAACGAGTTCGGGGTCGGCTTTTCCGGGGCGAGGTTGCGGGCGAATTGAGGACGGGATGCTTGGGAACTCGCCCGCCGAGGCCGGCGAGCGAGGCGTAGGCTCGGGTGTTTCACTTTCACCTCTACCAGCCGATGTCGCCGCCGATGACGACGTCGCCGTCGAAGGCGCCCGACGCCATCTGGTCGTCGATGGAGTGCGGGACGACGCCCGCGGTCATGGGGAACTCGACGGGCGCCGTGTTGACGATGCGCACGACGTTGCCCGAGCCGGGCGTCTCGAGGATGGCGAAGAAGGGGCGGTCCATGCCGTCCTCCGTGTACAGCTCGATGACCTGCTTGTTGTTGTTCGGGCCCTGGAGGAGCTCGATGCGCGCGTTGAGGGGCCGGCCGTCCGTGCGGAGGAGGACCTCGACGGAGTTGACCAGGGGGTCGAACGGGTACGTGCGGAGCGCGCCGCCCTGGATGGTCGTGGCCGAGTTGATGGTGTCGACGGAGGGGTTCTCGACGTCGTTGGCGTAGACGTCGGCGGCGATGGGGAACTCCATCTGGCCGATGTTGCGGATCGAGACGGTGTTGGGGCCGCGGGGCGTCGCGATGACGCAGCTGAAGGGGCGGAGCTGGCCGTTCTCGACGTACACGCGCATCTTGCAGGGCGTGTTGTCCGGGCCGTGCCAGAGCTCGAGGTCGGCGTCGAGGGGGCGGCCCTCCGTCGAGAGCACGACCTGGACCTGGTCGACGAGGGGCGACTTGTAGGACCACGTGCGGAGCGAGCCGCCCTGCACGAGGATCGTGGAGTCGGACTGGGGGTTCTTGAACGACTGGTACGGGGCGCCCAGGGGGTTCGTGCCGCCGCGGCCGAGGGCGACGCCGCTCGGCGCCATCGTCGACTCCATCATCTTCATCGGCGTGCGCGCGACGCGCGGGCTCTGCTTCGCCCCGGGGACGAAGCCATCGGTGGCGGAGAGCGCGAGGGCGAGGATGAGGGCGCGGACCATGGTGCTTGTTGTGAGGCGGTGGGTAGCAGTCGGTGCTATTGCGTTGGCTTCGGCGGCGGATGATCGGCTAGTACGTCCAAGTGCGAGTGCCAGATCCACGTCATGCCGTCCGGCCGGGGGTGTCATGCACGGGTTCTTGCACTTTCAACCTCCACTTCAAACCAGACGCGCGGCAGTCGGCCGCCGCCCTAGCCTTCCTGAAGTCGCTCGGTCGACGAGCAAGCTGAGCAAAGTCATCCGGCCACGCCCCGGAACTCTCGTCTACCGCGTATCGGCGGCGTCTAAAAGACCGCCGCGCGTCGCCTAGTAGGGGGGCCGCCCCCGGGCCGGCCCCCCCCCTGCCCGGGCGCCGGGCGGCGGGCCGCTCGGGTCCGTGGCAGGACGTCGCTGAGTCACCCCGCGGCGGGGTGGGCGCCGATAAGGCGCGAGGACGCTCGGCGTCTGGGCCGGCCGTCGAGATCGGCGGGCCCCCACAACCACCGGGACCGCGTCACAGTTCATGCCGCCCGACGAGTCGCCTTTTCGACCCCCTTCGTGGGAGTCCGAGTCGCCGCTTTTATTTCGACACCGAGTTCTTACATCTTCGACACAAAAGGGATCGGGTTCGGGTGCGGTTTTCACGCGTTTTGGTTCTGGTTCGGGTTCGGGCGACGAGAGCGGGAGGGAGCGAGGGGGATGCTTTGGTACCTCGGCGAGGCGAAAGCTCGGGTGTTCTACCAGCCGATGTCGCCGCCGATGACGACGTCGCCGTCGAAGGCGCCCGACGCCATCTTGTCGTCGATGGAGTGCGGCACGACGGCGGCCGTCATGGGGAACTCGACGGGCGCCGTGTTGACGATGCGCACGACGTTGCCCGAGCCGGGCGTCTCGAGGATGGCGAAGAAGGGGCGGTCCAAGCCGTCCTCCGTGTACAGCTCGATGACCTGCTTGTTGTTGTTCGGGCCCTGGAGGAGCTCGATGCGCGCGTTGAGCGGGCGGCCGTCGGTGCGGAGGAGGACCTCGACGGAGTTGACCAGGGGGTCGAACGGGTACGTGCGGAGCGCGCCGCCCTGGATGGTCGTGGCCGAGCCGGCGGTCTCGGCGGACGGGTTCTCGACGTCGTTAGCGTACACGTCGGCGGCGATCGGGAACTCCATCTGGCCGATGTTCCGGATGGCGACCGTGTTGGGGCCGCGGGGCGTCGCGATGACGCAGCTGAAGGGGCGGAGCTGGCCGTTCTCGACGTACACGCGCATCTTGCAGGGCGTGTTGTCCGGGCCGTGCCAGAGCTCGAGGTCGGCGTCGAGCGGGCGGCCCTCCGTCGAGAGCACGACCTGCACCTGGTTGACGAGCGGCGACTTGTAGGACCACGTGCGAAGCGAGCCGCCCTGCACGAGGATCGTGGAGTCGGCGCCCTGGGCAATCTTGGGAGACTCGCGGGGGCCCAGGCCCAGCGGGCCGGACGACGACTGGGCGGTGGGCGAGCTGTACGGCATCGTCTCCATCATCTTCATGGGCGCGACGCGCGGGCTCCGCGTAGCCCCGGGGACGAGTGCATCGGTGGCGGAGAGCGCGAGGGCGAGGACGAGGGTGCGGACCATGGTGTCGGTGGAATGAGATGCGGGCGGATGACGTTCTCGTTCGACGCAACTAGAAGCAGGGGCAACATCAAGTTTGAGCTTTTCAACATGTACTTCAGCCGACTGCAATTTACGGCCACGCGGAGCCCCGGGGCCACCACCTCCAGGGCGCCCCCTCCTCCCGGCACGGCGCGAGAACGCTCGTCATCTGGGCCGTCCGTCAAGACCGGCCCGCCCCAGGAGCACCCGGACTCACCGGCGCGCCCATGCCGCCGTCGTCACGGTCGTTCGCGGTAGTCGTCGGTTGAACGTCCCTGTCGGACCCCTGCTCGTATTTCGACACCGAGTTCTTACATCTTCGACACAACAAGGTTCGGCTTTGGGTGCGGTTTTCACGCGTTTTGGTTCTGGTTCGGGTTCGGGTTCGGGCGACGAGAGCGGGAAGGGAGCGAGACGGGAAGCGGTGCGCTCGGGTGTTCTACCAGCCGATGTCGCCGCCGATGACGACGTCGCCGTCGAAGGCGCCCGACGCCATCTTGTCGTCGATGGAGTGCGGCACGACGGCGGCCGTCATGGGGAACTCGACGGGCGCCGTGTTGACGATGCGCACGACGTTGCCCGAGCCGGGCGTCTCGAGGATGGCGAAGAAGGGGCGGTCCAGGCCGTCCTCCGTGTACAGCTCGATGACCTGCTTGTTGTTGTTCGGGCCCTGGAGGAGCTCGATGCGCGCGTTGAGCGGGCGGCCGTCCGTGCGGAGGAGGACCTCGACGGAGTTGACGAGGGGGTCGAACGGGTACGTGCGGAGCGCGCCGCCCTGGATGGTCGTGGCCGAGCCGGCGGTCTCGGCGGACGGGTTCTCGACGTCGTTGGCGTACACGTCGGCGGCGATCGGGAACTCCATCTGGCCGATGTTCCGGATGGCGACCGTGTTGGGGCCGCGGGGCGTCGCGATGACGCAGCTGAAGGGGCGGAGCTGGCCGTTCTCGACGTACACGCGCATCTTGCAGGGCGTGTTGTCCGGGCCGTGCCAGAGCTCGAGGTCGGCGTCGAGCGGGCGGCCCTCCGTCGAGAGCACGACCTGCACCTGGTTGACGAGCGGCGACTTGTAGGACCACGTGCGAAGCGAGCCGCCCTGCACGAGGATCGTGGAGTCGGCGCCCGGGGCGTTCTTGGGGGACTCGCGGGGGCCCAGGCCCAGCGGGCCGGACGACGACTGGGCGGCGGGCGAGCTGTACGGCATCGTCTCCATGTTCATCGGCGCGACGCGCTGGATGCCCTTGGTCGCCGGAGCGAACCCATCGGTGGCGGAGAGCGCGAGGGCGAGGATGAGGGTGCGGACCATGGTGCTTGTGTGCTGCGACGGTGGATGACGTGCGAACTTCTTGGAGCTGCGGAACTAGAAAGCGCTTGAGCCGACTGCTACATCAAATACGTCATTCCGCCTGGGGTGAAAACGGTTAGATCGGGGATTTAAGCCCGCCCCCGCATTTCGCCGAGGGCTCCCGTTCGCACCCACTCGCCACGACCAATGCGTTCCTCAGCGGGCGCACGTTGCACCAGCGCGTCGCGCCCGTCAGCATGATCGCGCCTGTCGGCCATGCGACCACTCGGACCAAAAACCTCGGACCTCTCCGATGCACGCGTTCCCGACCGTTTTCCGCCCCGCATTCCCCCGGTGCAGCTGGACTGCAGCTCGTGGATCCCGACGAGTACGCTCAAGGGCGATGCCAACGACGTAATTGAGGTACAAGTTACCAAAGGCAGCTTTGCGATGGGGCGCACAATGTCATGAGCAGCCCCCCAACATGGAACGCTATGCACTCCTCCTCACCCTCCTCGCCCTCTCCGCCGCGCGGCGCCGGTCGACGAACATCGCCTGCGCGCCGCTCGACGCCGCGAGCGGCGAGCCGGCGCGGGTCTGCGCGCCCGCCGTCCGGCCGCCGGCCCACCGCCTCAACGACTCCTACCGCCTCCGCTGGTTGCACGCGCCCAAGACGGGCACGAGCCTGGCCAACGCCCTCTTCCACGTCGCGTGTCCGAGTCTGCCGGGCGCCGCGGCCATGCCAAAAACCCAGCGCGACGCCGTCGAGCGCGGCGTCCCGCGAGAGCTTTCGGCGGGGACAACGACGAAACGCACGAAGTTCGAGGGATTTCGGCGAGAAAGAAGATCAAAAGTCGCATGCGGTAGGTCGAGCTCTACTTCGAGCGGTGCTTCCCGGCCGCCGCGAGCCACGGCGCGTGCTTCCTGCGCAAGGCGGGCACCTTCGGAAGGGCCCACGTGCCGTTGCGCGACTTCGACCCGCGCCAGGCGGCCTACGTCACGTTCCTCCGCGAGCCGAAGGCGCGGCTCCGGTCCGCGTACGCGTACCGCATGCACCACTGCGACGGCTGCAACGCGTCGACGACGCTCGCGCGGTTCGCCGCGAGCCCGCTGAACCGGGGCGTCGCGAAGCGGCGCGGACGCCGCGCGGCGTCGGCGCGTCACGACGACCTCTTAGGTCTACGCGAACATGCTCGCGGGCGCCTGGGGCGCGCTCTACGGCACGCGCGAGACGACGTACCCGGACGCCGCGCGCGTCGCCGTCGCCGCGGCGCGGCTCCGGGGCTTCGCGGTCGTCGGGCTCATGGAGCGCTGGGCGGCGAGCGTCTGCCTGCTCCGGGCCAAGTTCGGCGGAGCCGTGCTCCGCAACGAGCTCGCGAACGTGCGCCCCGGCGCCGCGGCGGCGCCCGCGGCGGCGGACGACGCCCACGCGGCGGACCGGGCCGACGAGGCCGTCTACGCGGCCGCGCGGGGCATCTTCGAGGCGGACCTCGCCGCCTACTTTGGCGGCGGGATAGACGAGGCGACCATACGTCGTCGAAGCCCGGCGCCATAGCACGGTGACTCACATCTGCGCGCAGGCGGCGTCGACGAACTCCGGGGGCACGTCGTCGAAGCCCGGCGGCCGCGCGCGGTCCCGCGGGCGGCGGCGCGGCGTGTCGTC